CCAGTGAGTTTTCTACCTTCCAGTATTTTCTTCTTACTCATTACCATCACTGGTTTTCATTTTAAAGAAATACCTTTAGCTTGGCTTGTAAGATGTGCCTGGTGGCAAAAAATTCTCCTCAGCTCTTGTTTGTCTGGGAATGTCTTTGTCTATCCCACATATCTAGAGAAGAGCTTGCTGGGAACAGTATTTTTGGCTGGCAATTTTCTTCCATTCAGTATTGTGAAAGTCTTATCCTGTTTCTTCCTGCTCTGTAAGCTTTCTGCTCTTACAGCTTTGAGAATATTCCCTTTATCTTTAACCAGAGGGTTTTATTATAATGTATCTTGGGATAGACTGTATTGAGTTGAATCTTGTTAGTAACCTCTGGTGTTTGTCTACCTGCATTGTTGTATCTTTCTCTAGGTTTGGGAAGTTTTCTACTTTTATCTCTTTGAATATGTATTCTATCCTTTTGCCGTTCTCAAGTCCTTTTTTGAACCTCAACTACCCAGATATTTGCTCTTGTCATGTCACCCCAGATTTCCCAGTAATTTTCTTCATTCCTCTTGATGATTTATTCCTTTTTCTCTCCTTGATGTATTTTCTAATAGGCTTTCTCTAATTTTACTGATTCTTTCTCCTGTTTGAGACATTGTCATGTTTCTAATTTCATTTAGTGTAGTTTTCAATTGAAGGATTTATGTTGGTTTTTAAAAATTATTTCCATCTCTGTGTCAAGTCTCTCAATTAGAACATTAAATACTTTCTCTGTGTTCCCTCAAATTTCATTGAGTTTCCTTAAAACAACTATTTAAATATTTTTCCTGTCAGCATTTAACAGTGTCTAATCCAAGGTGGTTGGTTTCTGGAACCTTGTTTTGTTTGTTAGATGAGGTCATGATTCTCTGAGAGTTATTGATGCCTGATGGTATAGAATGTCACCTTTGCCTTGAAGGATGAGCTATTTTTTTCAGTCTTGGTAATCTGACTCAGCTTGTGGCTGTCCTTCCAGAAATTCTAAGCAGTCTGCTTATTTCCGCTGAGCTGCTTGTGGACACTTTGGGCACTTCATCATGAGATGGTACCTTAAGTGAAGTTTTGCTGCATGTCTTTTGCCAATACACTGTCACTGCCTCAGTGACACCTGAACTCATATTTGCTCATATTTGTACCAAATCTACAGTTAGTATGCTGCTCAGAATAAATTGAGGAAATCATCATAAAAGTGCTAGTCCATCCATACAAACCTTTCTCCAGGGCCAGGGCAGACCCAAAATCCAGTCCTTGGGCCACCAACACCACCATGTTGGATCACCCCCAGAGCCTACAGCCTACCTGGACAAGCATAGCATGGTTGTAAGAACAAAGCCCACACTGCGATGATCTGGCTGCTGCTGAGATGGATTCAGTCTGAGGCCACTTCAATTGGCCACAGATGTGAGTGGGGCCATAGAATTCCAATTACCACCACTTCAGGGCAAGTCCAAAGACTCTCTGTTGTCATTGGCCAGGGGATAGGAGCTCTTAGTTTCTACCTAATGTGGGTTTTATCAGCTCACACTAAGTTCCAGGAAATTATCCCATGATTATTTGATGTCTACCCAAGGTTAAGAAAGAGATGACGTGGGGCCAGTGCCGTGGCTCACTTGGTTAATCCTCTGCCTGCGGCACCAGCATTCCATATGGGTGCCAGTTTCTAGCTCCGGCTGCTCCTCTTCCAGTCCAGCTCTCTGCTGTGGCCCGGGAAGGCAGTGGAAGATGGCCTAGGTACTTGGGCCCCTGCATCCACATGGGAGACTGGGAGGAAGCATCTGGCTCCTGGCTTTGGATTGGCGCAGCACGCTGGCCGGGGCGGCCATTTGGGGAGTGAACCAACGGAAGGAAGACATTTCTCTCTCCCTCTCTCTGTCTCTCCCTCTCTCTGTCTCTCTCTCTCTCTCTCACTGTCGAGCTCTATATGTCAAATAAATAAATGGGATGACAAAAGCAGCCCCTTGGGTGATCAGGCTGGTACTAAGCTGGATCATAACTGGGTCTCATAGTAACGAAGCCCTATGCATTCATGGGTGTGCACACCAGGCCAAAGGGAGGCTGGTAGTGATACCTGCCAAAACAATTTCTTCTTATGGGGCACAGCTCTCCAATGTCAGGACAACTCTAGAGGCTCTGCCTGGGCATACTGGCCTGACAGTTGAGAACTCTGGGCTTTACCAAGGGTTGAGTCTCACAGCTGCCAAGTTCTTAACTACCCTTTCCACTCCTACTCCAGAGCAACTGAAGTCTTGTTCCACGCTTTTTTTTTTCTTTAAAGATTTATTTTATTTGAAAGGCAGAGTTGCAGAGAGGCAGAGGCAGAGAGAAGAAAGAGGTCTTCCATCCACTGGTTCACTTCCCAGATGGCCACAATGGCTGGTGAACACTTATCCAAAGCCAAGAGCCAGGAGCTTCTTCCAGGTCTCCCATGCCAATGCATGGGTCCAAGGACTTGGACTATCCTCCACTGCTTTCCCAGGTCATAGTAGAGAGCTGTATACGAAGTGGAGCAGCCAGGACTAGAACTGTCACCCATATGGGATGTCGGCACTGCAGACTAGGGCTTTGATCTGCTGTGCCACAATGCCAGCCCCTCTTGTTTCACTCTTTACAGAATGTTGCCACCTGAGTAAGGAGGATCCAGATGATCAGTCTCTGAGTATAAGCCTGGGGGTAGGATCTGTGGGGCTTGTGGGGCACTGCTTTTTGTCATAGCAGACCTGGTATCTCACTATCTTCCAAGCAGCAAGCAAGGGCTGGAGGGATGATGCAGGCAATTCTTTTCCTTCTGTTTTCTTCAATGGGGCTTTTTTATTGTTACATTAAAACCAGGCATGGGTCTTCTACCAGACTTCATAGCTCTTGTAAAAGTGACTTGGTGAGTGAATAGCTATTGAAATTTGATGTCTCTCTGAAGAGATAATCACTAGGACATCTTATTCAGCTGCCATCTTTCTGGAAGCTTTATTTTTTTTATATCCTTGAGCAAATGCCACAATAGGCAATACTGTTAATAAAATAGTATACTCAATGCTTGATATTTTAATAAGATATACTTTGTGCAAATTAACATTTAACTTAAAATGTTGATCATCTGTACGTTTTCCCCAGTGATTAGCTTTAAACTTTAATAGTCAAGAACTAAAGCAAACATAATTTCAAAAAAGTTAAAGAAAACATTATAAAAATGTTTGAAATAGACATTGATCCTTCAAAGATTTATTAAGCAACAGCAGTGTATTGCTATTGTGTTGGATATGGATATGGATATGTTGATAATAAAAAATTGAGCATTACTCTTAAGGAACTTAGTTTAGCAGGAAGAAAGAGCTGTACACAGATGATTTTATAATAAAGCATGGAAATGCTTCTTCAGAGGCATACACAAAATTGCTCTTATAACAAAGGATAGAAAAATTAACTCTGCCTGAGGCTCTCCAGGCAAGTTTTCCTAAAGAAAAGGCATATGAGAAAGGTGATGGAGATGCAGGGGAGAGTCTAGGTCAGAGCTGAGTGAGAATGGAAAAGGCATGTACAAAGAGGAAAGCAAAGTGTGAGCAAAGTTGCACAGGTCTGAAAAAGTATATGATATAAATAGGAAGAAACTCATTGTAGTCAGAGCAAGCGCTACATGGACAAGAGAGATAGACGTAGTGGGACCAGACTATGAAATATTTTGAGGATCAGGTATGGAGTCTGCCTTTTATCTTACATATTATGGAAAATCAGCTGGGATTTATAAGCAAGGGTTGATAGGATTAGCCTTGTAACAAATCAAGCCGAAGGCAATAATATTCATTTCCTTTTAGTGAGCTGTCTTATGTTGAGAAGCTTAGGTTAATGAAGCAAGCAAGCTCCCAGGGACAAGGAAGGGTAAAGGGTTGCAAGCCTGCCCCCATCACCTCCATCCTAACTCAGGTCAGTGTTTGCTGTTTGCCCAGGAGCCTATCAGGAAGGCAGACAAGATATCTAGGAAAGGTAATTGAAGATATAATTTATCCATTTGTTTCTGATTTTGCATCCAATGTTTTATATTATAAAAATCGGATTTTACAGATGAAATGAAAATCACCACAATTCTCAGAGGTAATTCAAAAACTCACACCCAAAAAAACAGATTCAGTAAATATTATCTAGAGTAGAAGCGGTCCTCAGAGAACTGGGAATTCTCAAAACACTCCCTCAAAACACAGCCCAAAGAGATGTAGTTTCAAATAGTTTTTCATGTGGCTTCTTACTTATATGTAACAATGTACCATGGAACTATTGTATGGTATATCCTAACAGACAAAAAGACAAAGGAAGAATAAATGTGCAAAAATGTACAAATGTACAGCATTAGAATTCTAATTGCAAAAAAAAAATCAAAATCTTCCCATCCCAGAAGATTTACTATAATATCTGTAACATGGAATCAAGCATCATCTTTCCAATTTTTTCTAAGTAAACTATCTCATGGGAAACTTCACTGCATTTCAAAAACTTAAACAGAAGAAAGATGCTCAGTTTCCATATCAACCAGGCCACTTTATCTTTTGTTTTGCAATATTTATTTGTTCATTTAACCAATGAGTATTCATTTGAATGCCACAAATATTTATTGTGTGTGCAAGTACTGGTAGGAAAGCTAAGATCAAAATAGATCTGTGCCATCATAGAGTTCCAAGGCTAGTGAGAGGAAGAAATACTAAAATTTCAAGTAAAGGTATAAATACTGAAGTACAGAGGCCAGCGGGGGCTTCCCTGCTCACTGAGAGGTAGGTAACATAGTTTGGAATCCCTAATCCATGTTCTTGGCTGGTCAGAAGCTACACTCAAGACTCAGTGCCTCCCTGACTACTGTTCTCATCCAGCCTTGGGCTTCCCAGTCTCTGAGGAATCAGTCACTATTCTATACTTTATTCACAGAATGCATTAATACTGCTTCCAGAACTTCCACACGACACTTATTCCCACAAAGCATTTGTAAGTGCAGTTAACTTTAATTAAGATTTAATGGTGATGGGGACAGTCCATAGCATGGATGAACAACAAATACACATGAAAAAGCATTTAGATATCCCTATCTTTAAAAGTCCATTCAACCACTTTCTCCTGGACTCTCATGTCTTCAATACCCAGCCTTCCACCTCTGTACCACTTCCTCTTTCCTTTCTGCCCTTTCTCCTTCCTTTTGTTGGCCTTCCTTCCATTGCTCAGAAGCAAGCAACCAAACAAAAAGAAGAATAAATCCTTTTTATGCTTTCATGGAACCTGTCCCTTGGGCTCCTGAAGATACCTATGCTGTCAGAGTTATACTTTCTTGTCCAAAAGACTTATCTATATATTATGCTCAACAGAGCCATTTTATACCCTAAGAGAAATTATGCTGCCATCTGTTAAGTTACATATTGTTAGTCTGGATTTATTACATAGTACAAAAAGTGGGAGACACAACAAAGTGCAATGTTAGAAAGGGTGGCGAGGTTTAAACTAAGAAAGCAGGGCAGTAAAGCTTCTCGGAGAACTTGTAAGATGATGAGTTAGGCACAGAGAGTGTGGTGGTTGAGGGGAAGGGAGCATTCCCAGCAGGGATGCACAGCATGTGCTGGAGATGGGAAGGAGCATTGAAAACACAGGCAAGACACTAGCATCGCCAGCTCCGAAAGAGCAAAGGAAGAACAATGAGGGTGAGGTGAGAGGTAAGCAGGGGTCAGATTGCTTGGGTCCTTGTAGTTCGTGAGAATCCAATTTTTATGCTTCTGGCTCTTCCCTAGTAAATGAAATGACATGATGAATTGTTTTTTCTAAACTTTGAGTTTATTGATTTTTGAAACAGAAACAGTGATGCCAAACGGCAAGCTTGTACACAACATACACACACACACACACACACACACACACGGTACATAAAGCACCTGTCTTGAGATCCACTTAATTTAACATTATTAAGAAGTCTATCCGATAGCCATACACACAAATCTGGATCAGCCAAGATTAGCTGAAAATCGTCTTCATATTCATTTTCTGCCCACAGGAATCTTTTCTGTGCAGAAAACCAGAATATGAGGGTTTCTGTAGGACCTTTAAAAAAAGTTGCCTGCCAGCAGCACATGAAGTACCAGTTTTCACAATCTGTATCTGCCCAGCTGACACACCCATTTCCCCCCTAAACAGCTAGTAGCTTCGTGCTCTGCCCTGCGCCTTACTATTGGCATGGCAGGAATTATTCTGAGTTTTGTTCACCACCAGGGCAAACTGCGCTTTCAATTGCATTTTTGTAGAAAGGTGCTTTCTTGGGTTTAGTGAGTCCCTGTGTATTCAGTTACTGAAAATGATATGCATATCCCTTGTAGACAAAATGCCCACTGTTTACTGCCATTGCTAACCTAGCTGGTAGCACTTGGCACATTACAATTGATTCACATATTCATACTGATGCTCATTCTGTTATTTTCTAGAAATAAATTATTTTGCTTGTCTAACCCTACCTACCCCAAATCACCTTACTGTGCTTCTCCACTCTTACTTTTCAACTACTAATACCCATGCCTTTTTAAGCTTTTTATTGAAAGTAATAAATTAAGACATTTGTCTTAAGGTGGTTTTGCCTTGGCACTCTCACAGTGTTGAGTATATAGGAATCCATTTTAGTAGCAACAATATTGACTGACCATAGAAAGTCAACAATATTGACTTTCCATCTATAACCAGTTAGTCTTACACAATGGTAAATTTCTATATAGTAAAATACTTTAAAATGAAGATGTACTTTTTCGTTCTGTGGCTCTTCCTCAAAGTGAAGCTATTATCCATCTGCTGAGACTGAGTTCTGGATGTGCTGTAACTATAACTGGTCATCCTGTGAGTCAACACTGGTGGTAGAACCTTGGCTGCTGGTGTCAGTAGTTTCATAGGACTTTTGGTCTTTGGCAAAGTTGATGAAAACCTGGTTAGTTGAGGGAAATAAAGCCATTAGTGCTGGTAAGCCAAAGAAAGAATTAAGGTAATTCACATATATATATATATATATATATACACACACATACACATAAAAAACAAGAGAACAAATAAGAAAAGTTGATCTTATAGAAAGATGCCCACACAGATATATGTACTCTCATCAAGAAGCCTTTCAGATAGTCAAATTTAACAGGGGTTTGAATATAGCACCAATATCTATGAATGTATGTATTTGTGAGTGATTAGAACCACTATGTAAATTAGAAGCTGTAGTTGAATATATATAGCCACATAGCTGTATCCATAAGATCTAGATTAGTATCTGTCTACTATGAAGGAGCCCAGTCGCAAATGCTGTCAAATGTTTTTAGAAAAATGCTGAAAGATATTTCACTAGTTTTAAGAGTTCATGCACTAAAGTAAAATTTGTATAAAAAGTCCACATTAACATTATATTCCATTTGTTCTGTTTAAAATAATTGAATCTATTAGCCATGGATTCATCCAAAAACTATTTATCAAAAGTATTTTCTTGGGGGAGGTAAGCATGGTGCTGGTAGTTGGTCAGAATTCAAAGACTAGATCTTCCATGTCAGTTCAGCCACAGTTATTTAAAGTTTCCCATTAAAATGCCCAAAGCCTCATAATAAAATTTACCATAAAATACTGTACCATATATTGACTTTGAGGCCCTCAACTTTATTTTGTCCATAAAAAAAGTTCTTGCCTTTCACATTTTTTTAATATTCCAAAATGAATTTAGAAATAATTTTGGCAATTTATTAAGTTTTTCAGGTGCAGGAATAGATATTGGGTCAATTAAAAGCCAATTGAATGTCATTAAAAACAAATACCCAGCATGTATAATAATTGATTTCTGATATTGGATACATGGGTCATGGTATAAATCTTACCTCTTCCAAAGTGGTCTGACTCACTAGGAAATTAGTAATATTTAAAGCAGTCTTGTTGGTTTCCAGCAGATCAAAAATGTTTGCTACTCCTCCTGCTGTCACTGGTACATGATACTCTAGCATGCTAAGGTGCTGATCCTGTGAGAACCAAAGGAAAATACTATTTTGCAACATTAGGTCATATTGATTTGATTACACAAAAGCTTTCCAGAGAGCTAAGGAAAAGACTGAAATGTACTGCACTGAGAATGCTGCTACTGTGTAAATAATGGGTATGTTTTGAATCTAAAGCTTGAAAAAATGAGATGAAAACTTTTAAGAATATCAAAGAGAAAACAAAAAGTTAATCAGAATTCCAAAGCATTCTACATTCATTTGTACTTACAAAGTCACTATAATCTTGCATGGAAAAAATGTAAAATTATATTTTACATATTAGATTATTCTCATATAAATTTTCTCAGACATCAATTTTAGAAATTTTATAGTTAGAATCATTCTAAAAGGCTAGGAATTAACTATTCAATTTATATTGGATGAGGATGTTAGATACTAAAAGCAAAGAAACCTTATTCAAATGGTGTTGCATTGTTTCTCAGCTCACCCTAAAATTCTTTTCATTGTCTAAATGTTACTCAATAGTATCACCTCTACTTAGAAATGCTTAGGAATATCTTTAATATTTTATTTTGCTAGATACGTAATCAGTTACCATATCTTACCATTCCTTTAAAATCTTTCTCAAATTTCACCATTTGTCTATCAATATTATTATTAGCTTGACAATCATCATTCCACATCTGAGTTACTGTAACAACCTGTTCAGAAGCCTAAAAAGTTTGAACACTCATCTATTCTGGCACTAAGAAGCTAGGATAATTTTTCCTAACACTAGTTTGATCAGGCTGTTTTCTTCCCTCAGAATCAGCCCCTATGAACTCAGCTGCTCATTGCTTGGTCTTTCCTATTGACTTGTGTTTGTATTCTGCCCATCACTACAACCTGGCATCTTGCTTCTTTTTGCTACCAAATCGCACTTTCCTTCTATGAGATCTAAAATTCACTTCAGTACTGAAAAGGATGACCTGTTTACAGAAAAATCAGACTTTTTTCGCCACTTCATTTGACTTCGATAGCCCTAGTCCCATGAGGAGCAGACCAGGAAAAATATAATTTCATCACTTAGTACATAAACACAGATTACAACACAGACATTTACTAAAAGAAAAAGTGTTATAACCAACATGATTTTGTTCAAAGAAGGTGCCCTTTAACTTCTAAATTGGATTTAAATTTAAATGATAGAAAATGGGTTTTGATAAGAAGTATGAAAGCTATTATTTGCTAGAGAAGTTAGCCAAACCTTGGGTAAGCCAATGCAAACATATAGTGCAAAAATAAAAGCATTTTTTTAACAAATACCACATGTTCCCACTCATATGTGGAAGCCAAAAAAGATTATCTCTTAGAAGTAGAGAGTAGAAGAGTGGTCACTGGAAGCTAGGCAGAGTAGGAGGAATGGGGGGTACAGTTAGATCCCAAAATACAGTTGCATAGGAGGAATAAGTACTAGTGTTTTACAGCACTACAAAGTGACTATACTTTATGCCAATTTATTATGTATTTTGTAAAGAACAAGAAGAGAGAACAAAGCTTTCTCACACTATATATATATATATATATACACACACACACACACACACACACATTTTTAAGGGCATGGAGTGTTAATGACACTGAGTTGATTACTATACTTTGTATACATGTATCAGGTAATCATGCTGTACCCCTTAAATATGTACAATTAAAATATAAATTAAAAAATAATTCTTGGGGACAGTCTTGTGGTACAGTGGGTTAATCTACTGCCTACAAGAATGGCATCCCCTATGAGCACAGGTTAGAGTCCCAGATACTCTACTTCTGATCCAGTTCCCTGCTAATGCACCTGGGAAAGCAGTGGACAGTGGTCTGAGTACTTGAGACTCAGATGGAGTTCCAGACTCCTGGGCTCTGCCCTAGTCCATCCCCAGTCATTGTGGCCATTTGGAGTATAAACCAGAGGATGGAAGTTCTCTGTCTCACTCTCTCTCTCTCTCTGCCTTTCAAATAATTTTTTTTAATATTCTTTCAAAGTGCCTTCTATTTTGTTCACTAAAATCACTTCACATTAATATTGTGCCAAATAGTTTATGAAGTGTGTTTGTGGATACTTTATCATTTAGCTCTCACAGCAATTTTATGAAGTTGATATTATTATTCCTATTTACAGTTGAGAAAAATGAGACTTTAAATATCTTGTGGAAATCACTCAGTCATAGTGAGCTCTGCCCAAGTTTTTCCAATTTCTTTTCATCATTCCACAACTGACTTCCTTTTAAAAACAATCATTTTTACCCACATTATCTTCTACAAGCTGATTATACATCTAAGATGTTATAATGTTAACTTTTTCTGTCAAGTTGATTCAAGTACGTTGTATGTGAGATATATATCATCTGTGGGTGTCCATTCCATGGTTATATAAATGTAAGATGAAATCAATTCTACAGTATTTTAACTAGGCTGGGACTTGAAGATTTGATTTCCACAGAGCTCTGCTCAACCTTTGTGGGCTTATCTTTCAAATGAGAACAAAGGAGATAATCTGCTTCAGCTTTGACATCCTGGGACTCTAAATCTTCTTTCTAAGAAGAAATGCCTTTGGATATGTACTGCCTATCACCACTCAGTTCCTCAGTGTATATAACCAGTAAACTAGCAATGAATATACCTTGAAGATGAGTACAGTATTATCAGAAGGCCTTTGTGAGGAAGAAGTAAATCATGTATGTGAAAGAACTATGTCAACTTTTAACAGCTACAAAAATATAAAATTAATTTTAAGATTGTATTTGTTCATACTCACTGTGCTTTGAGATGTCTTAAGTATCTTGATCTAATAAGTATATCAAGACTAATAGTTTGGAGGCCAGTGCTGTAGCACAGTGGGTAAAGCCACCGCCTGCAGTGCAGGCATCCCATATGGGTGCCAGTTCAAATCCTGGCTGCTGCACTTCTGATCAAGCTCTCTGCTATGGCCTGGGAAAACAGTGAAACATGACCCAAGTCCTTGGGCCTCTGCACCCGTGTGGGAGACCCAGAAGAAGCTCCTGGCTCCTGGCTTCAGATCGGCACAGCTCCAGCCAACTGGGGAGTGAACCAGTGGATGGAAGACCTCCCTCCTTCCCTCCCTCCTCTCTCTCTCTCTCTCTCTCTCTCTCTGCCTCTCCTCTCTCTCTGTAACTCTGACTTTCAAATAAATAAATAAATCTTTAAAAAAAAGACTAATAGTAAGGCTATGTTAAACTTAGAAATGGCAAATATCTGCTATGACCAACCAAATTCAAAAGGTGATGCACTTACTTTTAAGTATGTTTTTGGAAAGTGCAGCTGCATGAACCTTGTGAGGGTCTCCATGCTTACTTTGTCATTCTTCAAGTGAACTTTGACAGTAAATCCACGTCCAAACCTAGAAAGAAAAAGTGAAAAATATATTTTGAGTTATGTTTTGCCAAAATAGCTTCCCTGGAGTTCTAGATAATGAAACAGGAACCAAGCTGACCATTGTAGCCTCTTTTCTTATATAAAGACTATCATTTTGCCAGAAAAGTTCAGGATAGGTTGAAAATTAGAAATACAAGTGCACTGTCATGATTTTATATTTATTTTTACCTCTATATAAAGTCAGACACTTTGGTAAAAGCTTTGTTGTTAATAAAATATAAAAACCTGGCTTTTTTTTTTTTTTTTTGACATCCATGACTTGGCAACTGATTTTAATTTCTGTGGCTAAATATGAATAATTTCTAATTTAAAGTGACCAAGGTCTTGAGAGGCAAGTCAATGAACATTTGTTGTCAATAATAATTAAAGTCATTGAGGTTTTAAAAATAAATATTGGAGCCAGTGCTGTGGCTAGCAGGTAAAGTCAGCGCCTGTAGCACCAGCATCCCATATGGGCACCAGTTTGAGTCCCAGTTTCTCCAGTTCCAATCCAGCTCCCTGCTAATGTGCCTATGAAAGCAGAGGACGATGGTCCAAGTGCTTGGGCCCCTGCACCCATGTGAGAGACCCTGATGAAGTTCCTGGCTCTTGGCTTCAGCCTGACCTAGTTATTGTGGTCATTTGGGGAGTGAACCAGCAGATGGAAGATTCTCATTCTCATTCTCTCTCTCTCTCTCTCTCTCTCTCTCTCTCTCTCACTCTCTCTCCCTGCCCCATCTCTGCTTCTCCTTCTCTTAACTCTATCAAGTTTAAAAAAGAAAAAAATAAATATTAAATCAACAGGATAGCTAGCTGCAGCAAAAATAGAGTCTAAACAAGTCACAACATACTACCTATGGGCAATATAAGGCCTGTTTCATCCTTTTTTTCTCCTATATTAGTTAATATTATATTTAGACAGTCAAGTTATTGTACAGAAAAAAAGCTAACATCCTGAAGTTTGGACTTTAACATGGAATTGTGTAAGTGCATAAACAAGCTTGTGAATATAAACTATTAATTTGATAGTAATACAGTATTTATGCATATTTACCCAATGTGTTCTTCTTTATAAAGTTTATTTATTTATTTTGAAAGAGTTACAGAGAGAGAGGGAGAGACACAGAGAAAGCAACCTTCCAACTGTTGATTTCACTTCCCAGATGGCTATAACATCCAGTTCTGGGCCAGGCCAAAGCCAGCAGCCAGGAGTTTCATCTGGCTTTCCCACATGGGTGGCAGCAGACAAAACACTTAAGTTATCTTCCATTGCCTTTTCCAGGTCTTTAGCAGGGAGCTATATTAGAAGTGGAGCAGCCAGGACTCAAACCATTACCCATATGGGATGCTGGTATCACAGGTGGCAGCTTTACCCATTCTGCCATAATGCCAGCCACCTAATACATTCTTGACTAAACCATTTTGCTTGTGGTAAAAATATTCAGTAGCATACTAAAAGCTTGTGCAAATAGTGAGTGAACACGCTAGATAAAAATCTGTCTTCATTTACTTATCAAAATCTAATTTGTTATTGAGTAAACTTTTGAAGCTTTTTCTTTAGAGTATGTTGGCTGTATCTGTATGTATTTGGCAGAACGACAAAGACAGGGGAATAGCAGGAAGAGAGACATCGTCCATCTGCTGATTTTCTCCCCAAATGGCAGGAACAGCCAGGGCTGGGTCAGGCCAAAGTCAGGAGCCATGAACACCATCTGGGTCTCCCACAAGGAATGCAGGGCCTAAGTACTTGGGCATCTTCTACTGCCTTCCTAGGCACATTATCAGGGAGCTGGATTGGAAGAACAGCCGGGACTGCAACTGGCAGTTCTATATGGGATGCTATCATCATAGACTACAACCTAACTCACTGTACCACAACACCAGCCTTTGTGTGTTATTGTCATTATTAACATTACTATTAGCTTTAAGCCTTCTAGATTTTAAGTCATTAACTGAAAGTAAATCAACCCCTCAATAAAATAATTTTAAGATGTGTCAATTATTGGCTTCCAGTGATTAGCCTCTCCATTTCAGTTTTACTACTCATTGTGGGTTAGGTTGTTGAGATAGTCACTGGAACTGAGTATAGCACCATTAGATTGAGACCTCACACCACAGGTGAACCAGTATTGCTTTGTACCTGCTCTTTATGTGCTGTAAAGATCCAATACATTGGAATCTTCCATTCACCATAATGGCCAGCCTGGTACAGAGAGCTTCACATTCTTCCATGCTGAAAGGAAGAGCAGAATTATGTCAACAATGAGGGCTCAGAAAATCGGGTTGAAGTTCAAGAGCATAATCTTAACTATTTCATTACAACACATTAGAAATACTGCTTTAGATTTTAGCTGTCTTAAGAAAAACTAAAACAAAACCCTTTTAAAATATAAATTAAATGTCTTCAGTTACAGTATATTACTGTTTCTCCTAAAACTTGAGTCCATCTCTTTTACTTAGGGTGCCCCCTCTATCAAACACAATATTTCTTTTAAGTTCGCTTTCCTAGGTAATCTTTCCAAAATAACACTGAACTCTTTTCATTATGCCTCATTGCCCATATTCAGTTAGCTTTTATGTTTTTAGATTTATAACTGGTTAACCTATATTTATTATAAAATCTCTAATTTCATGGACTGTGATACCTTAAGACCATATCATGTATTTCTACCCACTTTTTGTAAAAGTTAATAGAGATAGCTGAGAGGGTAGGAGGGAATGACGGATAGTCAAAAGCTATTCAGTCAGTGGGTACTAACGTACAGTTATATAGAAGGTGGTTCAGGTATTCTACTGCACATAGAATCGCCATAGATAATGTACTATAATATATTGTATATTTTTAAAAAATCAGAAGAAAGGATTTTGGATGTTTTCATCACAAAAAATGATAAATGCTTGAGGAGATATTATTACTCCGACTTGAACATTACAAAATGTATACATGTATGAAAACATCATATGTATCTCATATTTTTGTGTATCAATTAAATTTTTTTAAAAATCCATTATAAACAAAAAAATTAATGGAAATGAAATAATAAGTAAGTCTCTTGCTATAAACAAATTAACACTTTTTTACTATATGGTAATTATAGTGCAAAGGTGAATATAACACAGACTGTAACGCAAGGCTGACTTCACAAGAGAGGCACAGGTAAAATGCTTTTGTGCTCTTTTATATTTTGTGATGATAATGGTCAACTTCATGGAGGAGATACAAAGGAGCTGGCTGTGGAAGAACTGGTGATATTAGAACATAGAGAAATTTTGTGAGATCATTTCAAGTAGAAAACATAGCAGAAGAAAGGGTATAGAGGTGGGAAGGGGATCTGGGTGGACGTGGAAACACAAGTCATTCAGACTGAAAGGAGGGAGTATCAGGGAGAAAAGACCGGAAATTTGGATGAGGCCAGATGACACAGAAGGCCTTGCATCCTAAGCTTAAGGGTTCTCTGCTTTATTTTATAGGCAACAGGGAGTCAAGGTGACCATAAATCATGAGAAATTTGTTTTTAAAAAGAACTTGGATCCTGGCCCATCACGGGAACCATAGTTTCCCTATAAAACCTACTTGACTTGCTTCTGCTGCTATCAGCGTAAAACAGTTGAAAGCAAGATGTTCATTTTCTGAGCAAATCTCATGCAGGATTACCTTTTCACATCCATCACCCTAAGATGGTGTTATTAGACTTTGAAGGCCCAGGACTCAGTTTACCTGTGAGATGTCAGGATGACAGAACATTTGCTCTGCACTTCTTCTGAAATGATCTTCCAGAGATGCCGTTTTGACTTAGGATCCATCCCTGAGCTTGGCTCATCCTTAATAGAAAGTTACAAGAAAAATGTACCAAATTAATTAATTTTTGATGAAGTTCTTTACATGAATCCCTGAGTCTCACTTCCTTAGAACAGAAATCATTTCTTGAGGTCCTGTGACTAGTTGTTTTATACTTAATAGGCTTTTTTCTGCTGCTGTCAAAAAGCTCAAAATTAAACATTTAATATTGTCGATCTGTTTAAAAAGGTGTCTCAGTGAAGTTGACACCCTGTTACTTTACTTCTGTCTCTTATGTTTCTATGGAAAATTTTCTGCTTCAATTACTGACAAAGCAGACTTTTTACATTTAATTCTACATTGTCACGTATATGTTTGAAGCTACATCAACATGATTGCCACCCTGCTCCTGATAGCAGAAATGTGGCTGTGAGTAATAATGTGCTATGTGAAGCAGAAAAAAACACAACTTAATATTTCAGTTATTATGTTTGAGCTCTATTTTCAGTTCTATGTTTTTAATTGAAATTTAACACTCCTTGGGGAAATAAAAATGACATTTGTAGAAATTATCAAGTACAAAGATATACATCATTTTTCAAAAGGAATGATGCTTTGAAAATTTGTTCAGACACAAAATTCAAAAACATAACAGTACATAATATAACCAAGTAATAATACTTCTTAACAGATGATTTAAAAGAAAAAGTATAGGTCAAAAATAGGCAAAATTTTGGAACTAATGTGGGATAGCGGGTAAAGGTATTGCCTGTGATGCCAGCATCCCTTATGAGTGCAGGTTCAATTCTTGGTTGCTCCACTTCTGATCTGGTTCCCTTCTAATGGCCAGGAAAAAGCAGTGTAAGATTACCCAAGTTTTAGGCTCCTGCCACCTATGTGGGAGATCATTTATGAAGCTTATGGATCCTGCCTTTGGCCTGGCCCAGCATTGACCTTTGTGGTCATCTGGGGAGTGAACCAGGATGAAGACCTCTGTCTCTTGCTCTCTTTCTGTAATTCTGACTTTCAGAGTAAATTTTAAAATCTTTTCTAAAAAAAGGAATATATAGAAGTTTTAAAAATATAACTAATGGGGCCAGCGCCATGGCTCAATAGGCTAATCCTCCGCCTTGCAGTGCCGGCACAGCGGGTTCTAGTCCCAGTTGCGGCGCCAGATTCTGTCCCGGTTGCCCCTCTTCCAGGGCAGTGGAGGATGGCCCAAGTACTTGGGCCCTGCACCCGCATGGGAGACCAGGAGAAGCACCTGGCTCCTGGCTTCGGATCAACGCGATGTGCCAGCCACAGCGCACCGGCCGCGGCAGCCATTGGAGGGTGAACCAACGGCAAAAGGAAGACCTTTCTCTCTGTCTCTCTCTCTCACTATCCACTCTGCCTGTCAAAAATTAAAATATATATATATATATGTATATAAAACTAATGGTAAATATGTACATAGGATAACCAAAAGTTTTTTTAACACTAAAAAGTTAAATTTAAAGAAAAATGAGTATCAACTTGGGAAAACCATAAAAGATACTTTTACTGAAAGTTTTGAAGAAGACAGCATATATAGTAACTGCATGCAGACGAATATCAATACCTTTCTCTCACAGCTTGCATTTCAGTTCAGCTCATTAATACATAATATTTACATAGCACTTTTAACATTTTAAAATGCTTTACATCTATTATCTCACAGGGGTGCCTAAGGATTGTTTCATTCAATTTAATGGACATTTACACAATAGAATTTCATTATAAGCATCAGTTGGCAGTGATATAATACATTATAAGCTTCTGGTATTTCGAAAGATGGGCTATGCATTATTCTATCTGGGCAGTTTAAATGGTTTGATCCACTATATGACTTAATCCTTGGAATAATGTGCTGATTGATAGCTGGATTTTTATTGCATATAGTTAAAGCTTTTTGGAGTTCAGAAGTCCTTGAATATAGAGGATCTTCAAAAATAACACTGAGTTTGTTTTTGTGAAACAAACACCATTCTATTTTATTTTTAACTTAATAGTTTATCTTTTTCAGATAATATATTCCTAGTTTACATTATACTTAATGGCTCTACTAACTAAAGAATTCAACAAAGAAAAAGTAAAAAGACCATGGTCCAGTGGGAAAATAGGCAAAGGCTATAAAAACTAATCAAATGAAAAGATGTTCAACTTCACTCATATAAATTTAAAATAGTCACAATAACACTAATTCTGTAGTAGTATATAATTCCTATCAATGTGTTGGACAAATATTTAAAACAGACAAACACCGTTTTAGAATGTTGAGCCTGGGAAACAGAATACTATCTCACCACTATATGTAATTTATATGTCCAGGTCATCAATAATTTTTCAGATCTAAAAATATTAATGTTTAATGCATTTCTTGCCCCATCCCCTCAAGTTCAGATACAGTAATGTGGCATAGTGTTGATTACATCCTAAGCTAAGTAACAAGAAAATAAAATTTTAGCAAAATACATAGTCTTAAAATATGTCCATTCTCCTTAGTAGAAGCTGGGCAGTATTAGTTTACCTGATCAGTTCCTTACAGAAAAAGAGATATGATTTCTTCAGTCAAATAGGAATCAAGTTCTGCAATGATTCACAATCTTACTTACTCATTTAGACACCTGAATTTGTTTCAGCAACTCTCCCTCCCTGCCAAGTGTTTCCTCTTTGTATTTTTAAGACTTATGTATTTATTTGAAAGGCAGGATTACAAAAAGAGAGGACAGACAGTGAAAGAGATCCTCCACCCACTGGTTTACTTCCCAAATGACCACAATGGCCAGTGTTGGGCCAGGCTGAAGCATCCTGGTCTCCCACATAGGTAATACAGGTCCAAGCACTTGACCTATCTTCTGTTACTTTCCCAGGTACATTAGCAGAGAGGTGGATTGGAAGTGGAACAGCCAGGACTCAAATTGTTGGCTGTTATGGAATGCTGGTGATGCACACGGCAGCTTAACCCACTGTGCCACCATTCTGGCCCCAAGTCTTTCCTTTGAAACCCAATGAATCCACAACTTCAGCCAAATATTTTTGAGAGCATCTTGTTGTGGTCACAGATAATTTGTTGATGTAAATTCCCTGAGTGAAGTAGTATAGGGGAAGTGGTTTACATAGTATCTGGCACATAGACCTCACTAAATGTTGACTGTGATAATGATGAAGAAATGTTGACACACACAATTGGATATGCTATTTTAATTTGATAGTAGCCTTTTTCATAACCACTCTCTTACCAGCAGAAGAATGGAAGGTTTTCCTATCAAAGCCAGCGCAGTGGATAATTTTCTCTTTGTGCCGTAACTGCACATAGAGGTAGGTCGGTCCTTGTAGGGCATCAGGTGAAGTCTCCTCAGGAGTTTATGTACAGTCTGTGGACAATGAAAGAGGAATTACGTTGGCTTTCCTTGGCCAAACCTTTAAAGCACCAAACAAAAAAAAATCTGATTTGAAAGAAAAATTTTATCATGGAGGACATAAACCTACTCAAAACTGAAACAGTTCAACACAGATTTTATTTTCATTTTCAAAGGAACACTTAAAATTAATAGCTCAATTAAAGAAATAAAAGCAATTCCTTAGAGGTTCATTTTCAAGTGAGATCCCCCCAAAATGTGTGTCTCTGTGTGTTTATAATTGTAGATTAGTTTATGCTGTATTACAGCAGGATCCTCTTGTAAATCTTCAAAGAGCTAAAAGAGAATTCACAAGGCAGTTTTCTCATTCATTGACACCATTGCTTCATCTCTCTTCTTACTGAGTGCTATCACAAAAGCTTTATGACTATTTAAAACTGACCCAGTATCAAAACTTTAGCACATTAGGGAGCATTGGTTCATGTGGTTATTTCTGTAGTTAGATAGTCCCAGGCAAATAATGAAATCCTAGTTGGACTGTTAACAACAAGTCCTCAGGGCTGCAGAAACAAAGGAAGCTGCCCTAAGGGTTAGCCATTCCATGAAAAAGGGAAATAGTTGCAGTGAAGTACAAAATCACAGATTAAAAAGAAAATGGAAGTTAATATATTTTCTTTGAGCATTTTGGAATTAATACTGTATATTAGCGCTTATCTAAACATAAAGGATATACAGACATCAACCACCAATGCACAACCCATAGCCAAATGCAAGTGTAACCCTCTTTTTGATACTTCTTAAAAGAAAGACAGATCAAGGGGTTACTACTGTTGACTTCATATAATCAGGTTAGGATGGGTTCATTGTCGTTGTCAGCAGGAAAAAGCCATGGCTTTCCAGATGTCAAGTAGGTGTGAGACAGAAGAAGATGCAGAAATAAAAGTGGCTTTCAAATCAACTGGTTTCCCATCCATGTACTCACTTCTTTAATATCCTTCTCTGGAATTCCATGTAGCCTGGCATAGAAATACAAATGTTCTTCCACAGTTACCAGATCATCTAAGGCATCTTCCTGAGGGCAGTAGCCAACTAATGAGCTGTGAGAGTCAACATGACCCAGAGATCTGAATTAAGAAGATCAAACCATAGGTGAGTTTCAAAGGAGATGTCCCACTTGGTCCCCAAATACTGAGAATGTAGTTCAAGTTTAGTCATGGTAGTTGGTGATTTTGACAAAATAGGGTAAAATAATCCCACTTTTAGAACCAGATTTCAAGGTTTACAAATTTCAACTCACTTCAGTAAATTTTTTACTCCTAGGAATTTAACAATATGACTATAAGATAAAATACTCATATAAATTATCTTTCTCATTGAACTAGGTTGTTTTCAAAGCCTTAGTGTTTCATACCCAGTCTTATTTCTGATCAGAATGTTTCCACTTGAAGGAATTATGTCTCCAGTCAGCATCTTGAATATAGTAGTCTTTCCTGCTCCATTCACCCCAAGAAGGCCGAAGCACTGGTTTGAGGAAGCAGGAAAAAAAAAAAAAAAAGATGTGTCCTTAATCTAAACCAAAGATATGTTGTTGCTGTGTCTCTTTCTTCCTTCTCCCTGGGTGAAATAAATTACTTATAAATGTAAATCACTAGAACTATTCACGGATGCTGTAGTGTTCTCCTGGCATTTGGTAAAACTTCCCATTTTAAAACAAATGGGTACTTATGTATTATTGTTTTTCTTTAAGCATCTGAACATTCATATGTATATCAAGGGCTCATTTTACACATTATATTATAGCAATCTTCTATGTGACATAATAAAATACCCTACGAGTAGATGTGCTAACCTGAAGAAGTAATTATATTTATAGATTTCACATTATTCACACAAAATCAGAACTTCACAGAAAAACCTACTGAAGCAATACTTTCTTTATGCTGCCGAATAAATTTGATGCATGTACTTTATAGCTCTGCTCTAAAAACTAAGGGAGATAGCCATATTCTCTTTCTCCTTTCAATGCTGCCTTAACACTGCTCTATGAAAACAGCAAGAATAAAAATGGATGCAGTGCCAGGACCTCATTTCTGAAAACTTCTGATACTTTTATGCTGATTTTTTTAAGAAGTTTGGAAATTAAAGCTTGAGAGAGCACCCTAAATGGACTTCATGACTGAACGTTCCCTGTAGGGAAGACAGTAATATGAAAAGGGACTCAGGACTTGCTGGACAGTAGGAGTTGGTGATTCCTCTCTGCCAAGAGAGAACACTTATTGGGCAAATAACATGTGGATATATGTGAAATAAATATATGTATATATATTTACACATAAATAGAAGTTTGTATTTATATATGGAAATATTCAGAGATTGACTCATAATTCTAGAAAAAAAGGTATGTATTACTAATTTTACCAATAAAAAGGACAGTTAGAAGGAAAACAGTTACCTCTCCAGCAGGTATCCCAATACTGATGTTGTTTACAGCTACAATCTTTTTGTGGATAAGCTGGTAGGTCTTTGTGAGACGATGGAGTTGGACCAGGTCAAATTCAGCTGCACCACTCTCAACTCTTAATCTCTCAGCCTGCACATCTTCATCTTCATCTATTGTCTCCATTACAGGTGAAGAATTAAATTTCCTGAAGAAGAGTCTAAAAATAGACCCAGTGATTTTACATCAATTATTTTATACCAGTGATTTTTAAATGATGCCCTTGGATTTTGACATGTTTTAATGGGTTTTCTCTTCACTGAAAGTGTACCATAGTATTTAGGTTTCTCTTAAATGTGTTATATATGTATATTATGCTACTCAAATAACTTGAAAATTAGCATAGACTTTTCACCAAACTCACCATGATATTTCAGAAATAGATTTTGCTTTCCATGCCTTAAGTGATTACAGTTCCACTGTTAAAATTAAGAACTTAGGATCAGTGCAGTGATGTAGCACATAAAGCTGCCACCTGGGGTACCAGCATCCCAGATGGGCACCAGTTCGAGTCCTGGTTGCTCTACTTCTGATCTAGCTCCCTGCTAATGTGCCTGGGAAAGCAGCGGAAGATAGCCCAAATACTTGGGCCCATGCATCCATGTGGGAGACCGAGAAGATGCTCCTGGTTCCTGGCTTTGGACTCGCCCAGCTCCAGCCATTGGGGCAATTTAGGGAGTGAACCAGAGGATGGAAGACCTCTCTGTGTCTCCCCTTCTCTCTCTCTGTACCTCTGCCTTTCAAATATATAAATAAATCTTTCAAAATGTTTCATTTGTATATGTAATATAATATACATGATATAAAAAAATCAAATGGTATTAAAGAATGTATAGTGAAAATTAAATCGTCTTCTACTACATATTGTTTTCATCACCAAAAGCACTAAAATTAGAGAGAGTCTATGGATAGGTGTATATAAACGATATACATTTCTTTTTAAAGCAAATGGTAATATACTTTACACTTAGTTCTGAACCTTGCATTTTTCATTTAATATATATTAAAGAAAATCCTAAATATTGCATGGAGAACTATATCCAACTTTCTAATTGCAGATTAGTAGTATATCTATGAATGCATGTATATAATTGATTTACCTAGTGTCTGAATTAAGGACATAGACGTTATGTCTATACTTTCACTACTGGAAATGGTTATAAGGATGAATAATTTTATACATGCATAATTCTACACATATGTGAGTATATCTATTGGAAAAATTTCTAGAAATGGAATGACTAGGTTAGTGGTATGTGCATTTGTTTTAATTTGTGATGCTATCCTCAAGTTATCATTTGCTTTTCCCCAACTCATTTTCAAAATGATATATACTCTATCCTCTCCCATTTCTTCCTATGAAACTCCAAACTTCCAAATTCAACTCAAAGACTATATCTTCTCTTTATGCAAATATCTTCTCTCCACCAATGAATCTCAATCTCTTTATGGTTAACAACATTTTCTCACTCTACAGCAATACTTGCAGATACATAGGAAGGTTAGATAACTGTTTACTAGAATGAAGTGAATGGTGAATCATGCTTCAATTTTTGGAAGTTTTTTGAGCAAAATATGTTCAAATTACTAAGAGAAAAGCTTAGACTATTGACCCCTCACTGAGTATTTTTAATTCAATTCCATCATTAATATCAAACACTATATTTTCATTATATTTACCTGAATTTCTTGATTAGCCACTCATTGATTAGGAGTCGCAAGAGAAAGAACATGGTACCCTGAGCAACCAAAGCCACAAACATTGCTCCCAGTTTATCCATCTCAAAGGTTTCACTTGGGTATTCCACTCCATATGCTTTTAAGAAGTCTAAGACTGACTGTTGTTGAGAAAGTTCAATCAAACCATAGCCAAAACAGAATTGTGGGAAAATCAGGAAAATGCGCTTGAGGGTTTCAGAAATAAGTTCTAAAGTCTGAAATAAGGAAACAAAGATAAATTTCAATGTTATGCCTCCAAAAATTGACAAAAATATTTAAACTAGATATGGATAAATATTGAAATCTGTGAAGTTTGGTAATGTAGATTGAGAGTTATCTTACATGTATGCTGAATTTGCATCAAATGTTTACTATAAACAAACGGCAGAAGGGTTGTATTTTTCTTGCGGCAGCCTAAGCTGTTGGACCTAATCTTGGAGACAAAATATCTTCTAAACCTACCTTAGACCTTTGGAATATAGAACTAGAGAAGATACTGGATGTAAATGGTATTGGTAGGTGCCTGTGTGATGGAGGTACTTTATTTATGTAAAGTTTCAGAACCTAAGGTAATTCCTACTTGAACAGGACTAAAATACTGAAATGAAATGGAAGGATGGACAACATCTCAAAGAAGGGCGAAAGGCTCGTTTTCATGTTATTCACATTTGGAGCCAACTACTTCCTCCTCATGGATTTTCTTCCTCCTCCTAAAGTGTGCTTATCTATTTCTCAGCTCACTTCATTTCCTTTCTATTCTTTTCTGTTCAATTGCTTGGCACTGTTAGTACTTCTCTTCTCACTAATCATAATCGTCAGCTTTGAATGGAAAGTGATGCTTACAATGAAGTAGATTCCAATACATGATTGAAAGGGAGTGAATTAGGTTTTTTTCTCTGTGAATGTTCGAATGAATTTTAACCTATAGTCATATGAATAAGCCATTATTGTCCTTGTCACTAGCAGACCATGAAGATTTGTTAATGAGTAAAATGTTTAGCTAATTGTTTGCATGATTTATGCAGAGCTATATAATATATCTGATTTCACTTCTGTCACCCCACTTAAGCCCTATCAAATGTCAATTGTTTTGACACTTAGTGAATATAATCAGCAATAACCTAGATAGAGCCTTAGAAAGAATTTTTAAAAGCTGTACTTTATTCTCTCCTAAATTTAATGGAATTCAATCATATCCTTCTTTGCTATTTAAAGAATGCAGAATAAAGAAAAATTTTCACCTTGAACATGTTAACACTTTTGATACATTCACTGAAGTTTCACAGACTAATAAAAGATCTTACCGGATCATTAGGCTTTTCCTTGGAAAGAAAGTATACCACAGACAGGGAAACAATGGAATTGATGCCAAAAAACAAGTTGACACAGACATAAGTGATAAAGGCCATTCCTGTTTCATGGAAGAGCCCAGCCAGTAAGTACATCCATGAAAACGTTGCATATCTGTAGGTTAATAATACTGAGAATCAAAATTCTGTCGTAATCATTCTATTTTATAATATAATAAAATTAAAACTTAGATGACGTTCCAAAGTAAAAATTCACATTAGGGATAAGTTGCCAAGCCTTGCGACCAGATCTCTCTTTCAACCTCTTTTTGACCAAAAAAAAAAAAAAAAAAAAAAGGCATCCAAAGAATGTTTATCAAATAACAATAAGAATCCACTACAAATTAATCCCCTCTGGAGATGCTATTATCTGGAGCAGGCAGGAATTTTTGTTGCTTAGAAATATGGGTATAATCAGTATAAATCATATCATTTAGAGCTGAGGAAAATTAATGACATCAATGTAAGGTAACTAAGCAGAAACAGCATGGTTAGAGGCTAGATAGCATGTATGAGTAGAGACTTGAGAAATTTTTGAAGTGATTAAATAGAGTGAAAGGAACAAAAGACAGAGAGGCCCTGCATCACCTAAAATTGCTAATTAAGAAACAAAAAAAAAAAAATAAAATTGCTAATTAAGGAATACTACCTCTGTACTTAGGGCACGAAGAATTGTTACACTAGTTATTGATTATATCATCATGTATTAGCCTAATACAGAAACATCAGTGTTATGTGTGTGCCCTTAGACATCAATAACAAAATAATTAAAAATAAATGTATATGAATTTATATGAAGATATAGTATATAGTGATAGAAAGTATATATAATTTGTAAAAACATAAATTCACACATGTATACACACTTCTGCTCATCATAAAGCCTTTTTTGTATAAATTAGATTGCATTTGTAAATTGATACACATGACACTGGCATCCAATAAGTACTCATTAATGTTAGGTATTGCAATTAATAATAGCAGCATTAATTTTCAGAGGTATTTTATGGTTCACAGACTATAGACTAACAAATGTAATGTACTGTTAGTCATCATTCATGTCAAATGAAACCCTAAGACAATTGGAAATTAGCTAATAAGATTAGGTTCTACTTGTGTCTAGCAGCATTGAGTTTTGTAAATTCTTCTTTCATTTTTCATCAGCAACTTACCCAAACAGCAGAAGCAGGAGAGATACAGCACCTAGGTTGTTTTCACTATAGAAGGCAGGTAATTTGAAAATTGCAATGACACCAATTGAAAATGTTACAGGTACCAAGTAGAAGACCTAGGGGAATATGCAAAACAACATTTACTATGTGGCAAGTATTTTTCAAAAAAATGTATAGCCCATCTATAACTCTTGCAACAAAACACCATTTGAAAGAATGAATTTTTATTTTTGTTTCCATTTTTTTATAATGATCAGCTTATTTTACATAGATTTCATTTGAGAATTTGTCTCCTTCCATATGAGGTCAAGGTAGTCATCATGTTTCTATATACCCAAGAAGTCCGTGGTGTTCCTGCCTCTGAGCTTTAAGACTTGGGACCATTCAGTGACAGAGGTTCACTAAGAAAGATGACAGCCAGGCATCTTGGCATTAGATTCAGTCCTCAAAGTATTAATTTAGTTTTGAATCCTGCAACTCTCTCAGGTGGTTGATATCTATACTTGGTTACCAGCGTGAGTCACTCTGTGAAAAACAGTAGAGCAGTGAGTCTCACACCTTCTTGGAATCGCTGGTGTGTGAACAAAGAATGCAAAGTCTTGTTGGCAAGTAGAAATATTAAATGCTAAGGAATCTGCAGCGAGAAGCAAGCAAAATTACAATGGTGTAATTTAATGAGAGAGGAGGGAATTGAATCTCTTAAATTGAAATGAGCACCAGAAGGAAGACAACAGAATCCAAAATAGTAAGGAGACTTTCACAGAGGTGTGTACTTGAAGCTTTCTTAACATTAACGCTCCTATTAAGTCCAGAGCAATCATTACCATTCTTTTAGATTTGACTTCTATAACAAACACATTTCAGACCTCACTGGATACATTAACAAAACGGATATGCAGTTAATTACTCTCCAGCTCTTCAAGCCAGTTATCTCCAGAGCAACTTGGCCAATTTCACCATAATCATGAGGCAAATGTATAATTGTGGGCTTTTGGCCAGCACTGGCACACTTAGAGTCAAGGAAAACCACATGAACTTTGGAACCATCTTATGCAAATGAGAGAGGTGTCAATAAAATATATCTTTTCTTTCCCTACTAATCTTCTCTGATACTTTATTCAGCAGGGGCTGCTACTTCAAATTTTTCACTATTCGTTGATTAAATTTGTATAAACTTGGTTATTTGACACTATTGAGTAAGGCTATTATGATGCTAGGCTTACATTTATTCAGAGTAGTGGCTTCCAGATGTACTTAAAAATCTCCTAAGGGATCTCATTAAAAATGCATATTCTCCATGCTCCATTCCCATGATATGCATTTAATAGCTCCAGAGTGAGGCCCAGGAATCTGTATTTTAACAAGTGCTCCAGGGAATTTACGAGAGCCCACAGAGCTGGGGGAAGGTGGGTTTCTCTTTCCTTCAACCACTGGCAGAATGTCAATCTGACTCTAATTGTTTTTCTTGGTATACTCTATTTGTAATTATAATATGAATAAAATAGATTAAATAACTCTTGAACATAAAACAGATGCTTCCTATCCAAATTCATCCTGTCTCTCCTGCTAGGGTATTAATCACTCACCATGTCATATATGAAGTTTGTTACCCAGTAGCACGTCACACCAATGCCTGAAATGTGCTGCAGCTGCTTGGCCTTTGTCTGATGCTCCCTTACAACGTAGGTGACAAAGCTGGCGGTCGTGACGGAGTAGCCCATTAGGATGGACAGTGCCACTAAAATATCGATTAAACTGCTGATTCTATAGAGAGCAACAGGGAGAGGAAAACACACTTAAGTTTGTGGAAATCCTTTCCTTTCAGAGATTCCTGACTAAAGCTATCAACCAAACAACGCAAGCATTGTTTGTGACACAAAGCCTTCCTGCAAGGCAACTAGGTAATATCTTCTACATGACTCTCCTGTGACCCTGGAAAAAATGTAATTTCTGTGCATCTGAATTAACTAGGAATATTTGATACAAAAACCTCAGTCTCCAAGGGTTACAGGGTAGGCCAAGGATATATGGCTCTTTAGCACAGAAATTGTCCTTAAATGCTATGCAATTGGAAGGAAGTTGAAGTGATGAAGAACTTAGATACTTGTCTCATGAGAGCTGCAGACTCTCTGAATCTGCAGTCAACAGGCTCCACTTGGCAACCCCACTCAACGTGCTTTCAGAAACTTCCTTTTATGCCAGCTGGTGACTTATTTTACCAGCCCATCTAGATTGACATTAATTCAGATACAACTGTGATTTCCATTTATAGCACTTTTAACTGCTTACGTGGCTTGTTCTTGGTCTTGTACTCCAGGATAAGGATGGCTATACATGATGATACCTTTAAAAAGAGACAATTTTTCTATTAGTAGATATTCAGTTAATTAAAAAATACCTATTTTTAAATGAATAACGTATATACTTTCCTTCCTATGCTCTTATCTAAAGAATCTTACTTTGGGGATCCTCTTTTAAAAGAAAATGATTTTCCCCCTGATTTCATCAATGTCACACAGTTGGTGGTGTCCTCGTAAAAAGTTTTCTTTAGAAGGGGGGGATCAAGAATTTACATTTCTTATATTGCATTTTCCTCTCTATTACATTTAAATAATTATTTTTCCATTTCCTTCTATCTGGTCATATGTATATTTGTATTTACTAGTGCTTCAGAAATGCAGGACTCTGAAATAAGCAACTCTAAGGTTGGGCCCATTATAGGAGGGACCCCTAAAGAACAGACACCACCTTATCCTTCCTCGCTGTGCTATGGCTGTGACAGGTAAATACTCTCCTTCTCTACTACTTTTAAAATACCTGTCTTTCTAGAGCTCTTTTAGAGCAGGGTTTCAGAGCTTCAGCTAGGCCAAAGGCATTTTTAGTGCAACATAAAGGACCAGGAAGATTCAACAATATTTGCTTGCTCCAGAAAAGTTGTCACTTAATTTCAATATAGTCTCAAATTATCTGGGTTTCTTAGAGTTGTTTATACATTCTGAGTTAGGAGCAAGGCTCTTTCCCCGAATTCTTAGAGGGCCTTGATTAGCTGGAATCAAAAATGATCTGGCACCAGTTTCCCAAAGAAGCACAGTAAAAATGCAAAGTCTGCATTCTCTGGTAACTGTAGACAAGATTAGCTTCGGATGGAAGTGAGGCTTTCCCCTAAATGCTTGTTCAATCAGAGTTACAAACTAAGAGAGAACTTATTGCTTGTATAGTATGTTTATTGTTTTAAACGACTAAGTCCCTTGTACAGCATCTATATGTACATAGTACAAATGATTTTAAAGATATATTCTCTACATTAATGTACTTATAATTTCTATTTCATAGAATGTGATATGTTTTGAAGTTGAGTCCTACAATGGTTTTGTGTTAAAAAATATAAAGTATACAAATAAACTAACAGCAAAAATAAATTTGAACTATAATTTTAGTCACATCATAAAGAATGTACTTTTCTTATTTTTTCTGTAAGTCAATGGACCCATTTAAAATGGAAATTCAATTTTCCATGGGGCCCTACTTAAATCCTGTTGCTAAATTATAATATAAGCAGTAGGAAACTTTTATTTCTCCTTTGTATTACAGAAATAAGAAATACTCTACTTCATCAGAAGAATCTTTGCAAATATATTTTACTCCTCCATGCAAAAACCTGGAAAACCAGTTGTCTTAATATACATATTTTTTGTAAATATGTCAGGGTTTAGGCTCTATATTAGAATCAATTCTGGATTCTGTACATCAAAAATAATGTCTTCAGTACAGCAGTTAGTCAATGAATGCTTATTAAACCAAATCAAATCTTAAAATTTTGATCAATAACTTCCTCGCATACAGTGTTTATTAAAAATAACATTTTCTGTTGTCTCTAGAGTTTTAAACCTAAAATGAAATACTTTCCATTGACCATTGCAACTAGTACAAAAAAAAAGGTTTTGAATAAACATTGGCACAGAAGGGGCAACGTGTTAGAATTTTTGAAAAAGAGCTGAGTTATACAACATTTGGTAGAAAAAAACAAAATCTGTATTTTTTGCTAAGAACACTTTTAATATTAAATTAGCCACTAGAGGGAACCACGTGTATATAATAGATATTGACATTGCAAAGGATTACTAATTAAAAGATTTTATTAGTATGTTAGGATTCAAAGAAAATCAATTTTACAACTGGACTAAAATCTCAATTCATGCAGAATCTAACAAAAATGCCTTCAAATAAATAGTGTTTCAGAGGGAGGGGGTAGGAGATTAATTAGATTCATTTTTAAAGACAAGTAATGTTACCATGGTAAACCCCATAACTACATTATGAAAAAAAAAAAACAGTATTTTAGGGTGATATGGATTTTGTCTTTGAAATAAATAAAACACTTTGCAGAGGTTGGAAAGCTACCCCTTTCATAAGTCTATATAAGAAAATTAATAAAGACTAGAAAGTACATAAATACTAATCTCTTTATAACTCAAGCAAAGCCTTATTTTTAAATTAAAAAATAAATTTCAGTTTAGGATCAATATAAAGTTTATGTTTGAGAATTGCATAACTTAAGTACAGTGGTAGGAGGTAGAGCAAGCCTGCTGGTGTCTGGAATGACCCGGACTGTCTTGATCTAGGGAGAGAGCTGGAGTACAGATTTCAAAAAGCTGACCCTTCAAAGGTAGCATTTGTCTTTTGTTCTCTATATCTTTGCTACAGATTCCCCTATTCATTTCCATAGTTCTCAAACTTTCATTATCTGTCACAGAAATGCATATGTTTTTCTCTGAATAAGACATCCTATTAAAAGTCAAATGTTCAATAGTGTTTAAAAGCAGGTTACACCAGACCCACCTGGCTTTTAATTTAATTTACTACTTTTGACCATGCCTTTACAGATGCTGTAACCCTACAGACCATCAATTTTGCTATTTTCCTCATGGTTACTCCTGCTAAGAAAATACCAAAGCAGTTGGGGGAAAAAGATAGTGTTGTCTTGGAAATTATGAAGCCTAAAGTCTGTTGCTGGAATGAATATTTGACTCTACAATTTACTTCATTTACTTTGTAATCACCAGTACATCTGGCCCACACTATTATGCCCAACAACAGGGAGATGAAAGAAAAGTACATGTCAGTATTTTTAAAAGATATTTTGTGTCTTTTTTTTTCCTACTTAGCAGGCTAGCCTGAAACTGAATCTAGGACAGCAAAGGTGTTACTCAGTTTTTCCACATCCTTAGTGTTAAAAATCAGTATGGAAAAATCATTTGACCAAAATGCAAGAAGATGAAATGGTATGAACAGTGATTGAATCAGAAAATCAATCTCTTAAAATTCCAAACCTTATCTTAAAAACTATATGGAAGCCTCTTGGGAAACCAAGTGATGTGAACCGGGATGAATTCAGAGACATGCTATGAAGGACTAGATAAATGAACAGAAAGGAGTCAGACAGCTCTTGATTCAAATTCCACTTCTGAGTGTCAGGGAAACAGCAGTGGGGAACAATGATATTCACCCTGAAGAGTGCTGTAAGGATCAGCAGTATTTCATATGAAGCATGTTTATATGGTAAGTGCTCAATAAATAGTAACACTTTCAGTCAAGTGTAGAAATTTTTGTTCTAAAAATTTTGTCTTTGTGTGAACAATATTTACAAATGTATTTTCTAAAACATTAGCTAATGGACAAGTAAATAAGTTAAAAATATTTACTTATGAGCTATAACCATCAGATGGGAGTATGAAGTCAGTCTGACTATCCTGACTTGATAAACTAGGCAACTAAACTAACCTGAAATTAAGGGGACTATCCAGAATGTTCTATCTGGTGATAGTTACTACTTTCAAACTCCTTTTAAAGATCTGTGATTTAGGTGCACTAAAATACCCACCACTGGAAGGAATTAGAATATCAGGTGCATTTTTATAGAGAAAGTAGCAAAAGTTGGAATCCAAGATGCTTCAATGTAAATAACTTTACCATGTCGGGCAGCATCGTATTCAGACATGTTAACTCGCAGGAGGAAATTGTTCAGGCTGTTGAGGTAAGCTGGAAGGGAGTGGTAGCCCTCTGGATCATACCACACCTGTTGAATACCAAAAGAAGGCAAGATCAATTAATCTGTCTTAATAGCTAATAAGTTATCTTATTTTTGTTGAAAATAAGAGCTCTAAAATCCCAATAACCCATTTCATCTTGGAAGATACTGACCAAAAGCTGTAAGTTTCTAAATTAGAGATGGGCAGAGATTAGGAAGATAGTTGTTCTGTGTGATAGCACTAAGTTATTATTCTGGACCCTCTCTATAGACAAAGCCTGAAATAAACTGGAGAATTCCTTTTATCTCCATCTCTGTGGTAGATCAACAAAGGTGCTGAGACTACAGCAAGGTGTCCTGGCTGTCAATATGATAATAAAAATAAATGGCACATGGACCAGGCTGGAGAAAGAAATAGAATATAAACACTGTGGCCTTGGCAATAAGACCAATAACTTGAGAACTCCCTACTAATTTTCTATTCCTATTTTAACCCACAAGATATTGACTATCTTTACCTTCTATATTAAAAGAGGGGTTAAAGTACTGGTGCAACTCAATTCAAGAGAGTCTGCTGGTAATTCAAAATTACATATTTTATCTATGGGGAAATTATTATACATCAGAAACTCCTTTGTTTATGCAAGACTATTTACTCTGTGTGCAGAAAGGGAGGAATAAATTATAATACATTACTAGTTACTTTCTTTTTTTTTATTTTTATTTTTTGACAGGCAGAGTGGACAGTGAGAGAGATAGAGACAGAGAGAAAGGTCTTCCTTTGCCGTTGGTTCACCCTCCAATGGCCGCCGCGGCCAGCGCACCGCGCTGATCCAAAGGCAGGAGCCAGGTGCTTCTCCTGCTCTCCCATGGGGTGCAGGGCCCAAGCACTTGGGCCATCCTCCACTGCACTCCCGGGCCATAGCAGAGAGCTGGCCTGGAAGAGGGGCAACTGGGACAGAATCCGGCACCCCGACAGGGACTAGAACCCGGTGTGCTGGCGCCGCAAGGCAGAGGATTAGCCTATTGAGCCACGGAGCCGGCCCGTGAAGAACAATTTAAAATCTCTAAGACTACCATCGATTATATAGGTATTCACATATCTGATTCTGTGACTCTGGTTGTTTGAAAGCTCATGATCTTGAAAAAAATAATGCCAACCAGATTATTTATCTCCATAAACTTCAGTTAAATTCCATGTGCTTTAAGAAGAAAGGCTAACTATATGGAGGCTTCAAAAAGTTCTTGGAAAATAATATGTTATGAAAAAATTAAACAGGGATTTAAAAAATTGTACCAAATAAACATCTTTTTTAAAAAAGATTTATTTATTTATTTGAAAGGCAGAGTTAGAGGGCAAGGGTAAAGATATTCCATCTGCTAGTTCATTCTCCAAATGGCTGTAACAGCCAGAATGGGGCTGAACCAAAGCCAGGAGCCAGGAGATTCCTCTAAGTCTCCCATGTGGGTACAGGGGCCCAAGTACTTGGGCCATCTTCCACTGCTTTCCCAGGCACATTAGCATGGAGCTGGATCAGAAGTAGAGTATTTGGGACTTGAACTGGCTTTACCCACTATGCCACAGCATCAGCTCCGAAATTTATCTTTTAATTCCAATTTCCATAAACTTCTTGAAGTCTCCTCATGCATTTCCATTCTCTAATAAGTTATGGAATATATATAAGAAAAAGTACATAAAACATAAATGTATGATATAACAAAAAATTTTGAAGGGCAGACCCATTAAACCATCACCCAAGTTAAGAAATAAAAAGTTCCAGCCTCTAAAATATCCTCTCCCTAAGCCTCTGGTCCCTCCAAATGATAGTTCTCTCCCTTTCCCTTATCCAATATGGGTGAGTTTTGCTTAATTTTGAAGCCTGTTGTAAATGCAACTGTAATCTATGTATTCCTTTATGTCATTTCTTTTGATTATTAATAATATTTTTGGTATTTTGCTTAAAATATTAATATGAATTCTTTGCTGAGAGTTTGGATTACTATAAAATGATTTCTTTCTTCAATTGCATATGGGTGTTTGGAGTTGTGTTTCTGGCTATTATATGAGATGTCATTAGGTACAGTTTTGTATACATATCCTGATGCTATGTATACTTGTTCTATAGGGTATACACACTGGATTGAAATCACTGTACTATGGGGTATACAAAATGTCAAAGTGATCATACCCATTTTTTTGGTACCTTGTGAAAATGCTTAAACACATCAATTTCATACTCTCATTTGTATGACATCCTGGAGGAACATCATAATTTACCTTGGCAAGTGTTCTATTGGCAGGAACCGCTGTTATATCAAAACGAAGGTCTGTAGTCAAAGGCAGCCCAAAACTCCAACCTCCATATCTAAATAGAGAAATAAAATTTATATTTGTACTAATGGAAAAAAAACTTCATAAATTGATCAAAACACCTGACTAGTAATTCAACCTGTTTCTTTCCATTGAGAACACATTTATAATATGAAATAAACTTTATGCCTAAAAAATATTTTATGTTTTTATTGACTCCCTTTGTCATATAGGAGCAGGAGTTGGGAGGGTTGTGGGTGGGAGGGAAGTTATAGGGGGGGAAAAGCTATTGTAATCCATAAACTGTACTTTGGAAATTTATATTTACTAAATAAAAGTTTAAAAAAAAAGTACATGGTATCTAGAAATGAAAAGTTCTTCTAACCATTTGCACAGATCCAATGATCCACCTGAAATTGAGCAACATGTAATCTAACCAATTGTTCCATCTTAACTGATCCATGTATTAGCACAAAAATCTTTCTATTTCAGCGCTTTGATGTCATTTTTGGTTGAAAAATACTAAATAACAACAGTTCTTATCTTCTTCAAAATGGTGCTATTTCTGCTATGCCCCAAATCCCCCCCCCCCCACCTTGTCCCTTAGTGCTATACCTTTTTTCTTCCTGGATATTTGAAGGGTAATTTGATCTACTTAGCCACTATCATTTCATAGTGTCCTAAAACCAAAATGATTTTAAAATCTAAGCAATAATATTAAGAATAGATTAATTTACATTTCCACCAAATTAGGATTGAGTTAAATAAATAATGGTGCCATCACCTAGAATGATCTTGTGACCACTGCCCTAATGGGATGCTGTAGAGATTTGTGCAAATGATGTTATGACCATTGCCCTAACGGGATGCTGTAGAGATTTGTGTGAATGATCTTGTGACCACTGCCCTAATAGGATGCTTAGAGATTTGTGTTTTGACATGCAAATTATATCATGTTATATCGTTTAGGATTTTTTAAGGCAATTTTTATTTTGTTTATAATAAACCCATTTTGTTGAAAATATATACATATATATATCAATGACTAGAATGTTTCTGCAAACATATACACCAAAATATCAACAGTGGTTACAGTTGGGTAGAGAAATAATACTTTTCCTTTCTTTTGTCTTACCTGTAGTTTATAATTATTTTTCAGTGAAAATTAATCATTTATGTAAATTAAGAAACAGGAGAGAAGAGATGGAGGAAAGGAGAAAACAGGAATGATTGTAAGCTTTATGAACTTATAGCCATGGTAAATGCTCAGGTGGCATTGGTACAAATCTATGGCCTTGCTATACCTGAGAACATTCTGTTTATTAGCAAATATTGCTGAATTTAGAAATATTTCTATTTGAACTAAGGTCAATTATCACCAATAGCATGATTTATAATCCTTTGAGTTAATATATTCCTGTCCATAACTTCTCTTGATTCAAGAAAAAAAATGTACAAATTTAACAATCCTTTTTCCCAGTACTGAAAAAAAACAATGTTTTTCAGTTTCAATGAATCTTCATTTAGTCATATAAATTTCAATATCCAAGATTGTTTAGGTAAAACTAAGAATTTAACCATGTACATAATCAATAGAAATCTGTACTTTTTTTGTGTCAAGTTTAGAAGTCATATACCATTAAGTTAGAAAATGAAGTGCATTTGAAACAGAGTGCTTTACCTTTTTTGGACAAACTCATTTGCAGTTGATATAAGATAATTTTCCATGCGGTGCCCAGTGAGGTTATAAATTACTTGAGAAGAATAAGTTCTTCTATGAGGTGGAGAGTAATTAAATTGAGGACATTCCTGGAAAATAAAGTTAAAAATTAAGTTCTGTCTGGATAAGACTGTGCAACTTAAGTAAACAATGTCAAGGAGTTTTAGTCTCTTGATCTGTCTATTTCTGCAACTGGTAGGGTGTGATAAGACTGGAAAGAGCTTTGACTCTAAAGAACTTCGAAAAAGAAGTCATCTTGCCTATGACAAAACAATACAAGTAATAATACAAGTAATTATTATGTCGTATATGTACATGTGTTTGGGACTCATTTAGAGAAAAAAAAGAACCCAAGTTAGTGTGTATGATAGTTCTTTCACTGTGCTGACAAGCTTAATATTTTTGGAGAATAACATTAACAATTAAGATGACTCAAAATTCCTCCCATAATTCAAGCAGAGAAAGAAAAACATGTTTACCCCCTGAATGAGAACATTAGCAGAGGGTGGGCATTTGGTGCAGCAGTCAAACTCCTTTCAGGACACTTGCATCTCATGTCAGTGTCTGTGTTCCAGTCCCAATTCTGCTTCTGCTTCCTGCTAATGTGTATACTGGGAGGTTGGAGGTGATGGCTTAAGTACCTAGGTCCCTGACTTCCATGTGGGAACCCCTGATGTTGTTCTGTGCTGCTTGCTTTGGCCTGGCCAAGTTCTAGTTGATACACGTATAATAAACCAGCAGATGTAAGATCTCTCTCTCTCTCTCTCTCTCTCTCTTTCTCTCTCTCTCTCTCTCTCCATCTCCCCACCACCACCAGCCTCTGAAATAAAGAATAAGGGGCTGGCACTGTAGCAAAGCGGTTTAATGCCTTGGCCTGAAGTGCTGGCATTCCAAACGGGCACCGGTTCAAGACCCAGCTGCTCCAGCTCTCTGCTATGGCCTAGGAAAGCAGTAGAGGATGGCCCAAGTCCTTGGGCCCCTGCACCCACATGGGAGACCTGGAAGAAGCTCCTGGCTCCTGGCTTTGGATCGGCGCAGGTCCGGCCATTGCAGCCAATTGGAGAGTGAATGAGCGGATGGAAGACCTCTCTCTCTGCCTCTCCTCTCTCTGTGTAACTCTGACTTTCAAATACATAAGTAGACTGGATAAAGACATTATGGGATATGTACTCTTTAGAATACTATACAGCATTAAATAAAAAAATGAAATCCAGTCATTGGCAACAAAATGGAGGAATCTGGAAAACATCATGCTGAGTGAAATAAGCCAGTCCCAAAGGGACAAATATCATGTGTTCTCCCTGATCAGTGACATCTAACTGAGCACCTAAAAAGAAACCTGTTGAAGTGAAATGGACACTATGAGAAACAATGACTTGATCAGCCCCTGTCCTGACTGTGGAGGGACAACTTACCACTTTATTCCTTTTAGTATTTTTTTGTTCTACTTAATACCATTGGTTGAACTCTTCAATTAACATACAATTATTCTTAGGTGTTTAAATTTAACTTAAAAGTGATCCCCATTAAATATAAGAGGGGGAATAATAGAGGGAGGTGATGTACAGTTCAGCACATGCTCAATAGGACTTACCCCTAATGGGAGAGTTAGAAACGTGCCAAGGGATTCCAATTAAATCCCATCAAGGTGGCATGTACCAATGCCATCTCACTATTCCAAGTGATCAGTTTCAGTGCACAATTGATCCTAATGATAGGATTAAGAGTCAAAGAGATCACATAAACAAGACTAATGTCTGCTAATACTAACTGACAGAATTAAAAAGGAGAGAAGAATCCAACATGGGAACAGGATACACAGCAGACTCATAGAATGGCAGATGTCCTAAACAGCACTCTGGCCTCAGAATCAGCCCTTAAGGCATTCCGATCCGGCTAAAAAACCCATGAGAGTATTTCAGGCATGGAAAGCCAAGGCATTCTGGTAAAAAAAAAAAATGACCTAAATGAAAGATCTCTGTGAGTGAGATCCCAGTGGAAAGAACAGGTCATCAAAGAAGGAGGTACCTTTCTCCAAAGGGAGGAGAAAACTTCCACTTTCAGTGTGGCCTTGTCTAAATATGATCAGAGTTGGCAAACTCAAGAGGCTTCCATAACCTTGGCAGCTCATGGCAAGAGCCTCGGGTGATTACTGATGTCATAAATAAGAGTGTCAGTTGTTAAATCAACAACAGGAGTCACTGTGTACTTACTCCCCATGTAGGATCTCTGTCCTTAATGTGTTGTACTATATGAATTAATGGCATAACTAGTACTCAAATAGTACTTTATACTTTGTGTTTCTGTGCGGGTGCAAACTGTTGAAATCTTTACTTAGTATATACTAAATTGATCTTCTGTGTATAAAAGTAATTGAAAATGAATCTTGATGTGAATGGGATGGGAGAGGAAGTGGGAGATGAGATGGTTTCGGGTGGGTGGGAGGTTACGGGGGGAAAAAGCCACTATAATTCAAAAGTTGTACTTTGGAAATTTAAATTTATTAAATAAAAGTTAAAAAAATAAAATAATAAAAAAGAAATAAAGAATAAAAATAAACAAGAACAGCAGTGGATAGAATGTTCAGATATATTAGTTTTAGGTACCTAACCTAGAAGTCAAAACTTAATTATATATATTAGTGTATATGTGTGTGTATTTAAAGGCACTCCAAAAAGTTCATGGAAAATGGAGTCAAAAATTAAGTTTATTTTGGTGCAAAATCATTTTGGAATCCATACTTTTTTTACAATAGGCATTTCCAAGAACTTTTTTGAAGTCCTCCTTTGTGCACATGTATATGTATTAGTTATATATGTATGTGTATATATATATATATATATTCTCTTTTTGTTTATAGAAAGTTGCAAAGATAGTAGAGAAACTTCCTATATACACTTTACCTAGGTTCCTCCATTGTTCAATTTTGCATTGCCATGTACAATTGTTTCAAGCTTGGTTTTGACCACTTGTTTTTATGCTTTCTGCACTTTCTGACAACTTTTTCTCAGTGTAGTTTCCCATGCTTCATTGACATGAAGTTTAATTTGAGAGGAATCTAACATTTACTCAGCTTTTCCTTTTATCCCTTCACACTGTTTCCCTGTGAGGCTAACACCAGCTGTGCATCCTGAAAACATAAAGTTGCAGGTTGCTCTGAAAAATCAATGCTGAATTTCATCATATATCAGGTTATATCACCTTAAAGATCACAGTCCATAATGGCACTGACTTAATAAGTAATTAAAGGAAGCTATTTATATGTATACAGTACCATCATTTAAAAAAGATTTATTTACTTAAAAGGTAGAGTGTCAAAAAGAGGGATAGACAGAGAAAAACAGAGAAAGAGATCTTCTATCCACTGGTGGACTACCCAAAGAGATGCAACAGCTAAGGTTCAGACTGCAGGGCTAGTCCACATCCAGGTGTCTGGAACTCCTTCTGGACCTCCCATGTGGGTGGCAGGAACCCAAGTACTTGGACCTTATTCTGCTTTCCCAAGCAATTTAGCAGGGAGCTGTGTGGAAAGTGGAGCAGACAGGACTTCAACCGGTACTCTGAAATGGGATGCCAGCCTCACAGGTGGTAGCTTAACCTACTGTGCCCCTATAGTGTAATTTTGTTAAACTTAACTTTTTATTAAATTACGTTATACATAGAGAAAAGCACATGTTTTATAAATGTACTGCTTGATTAATTTTAACAAACTAAACACACCTATGTAACCGAGAACCATGTCAGGAAACAGGACAAAACCAGCACCCTAGAAGCACCCTCATCACACTCCAGTCACTATTACCCCCAAAGTAACAAGCACAGATAAGGCTTGTCTGTTTGCATATTTTTATGATGGAATAATATAGTATGTCTGGTTCTTTTCACTCATCATATTTTTGAGAATCTTCCATAGGATGTGTATAGGTGTAGATCATTTTGCTGTAGATATTTTTTTTTAATTACTTGACTTGTAGAGTTATAGACAGTGAGAGAGACAGACAGAAAGGTCTTCCTTCCATTGGTTCACTCCCCAAATGGCCGCTACAGCCGGCACTGTGCCGATCCAAAGCCAGGAGCCAGGTGCTTCCTCCTGGTCTCCCATGCGGGTGCAGGGGCCCAAGCACTTGGGCCATTCTCCACTGCCCTCCCAGGCCACAGCAGAGAGCTGGTACTAAAACCCGGTGCCCATATGGGATGCTGGCACTGTAGGCGGAGGATTCAAGTGAGCCATGGCACCGGCCCCTGTAGATATATTTCATTGTGGAAATTTATTACACTGATTTCTCTGTTGTACTGTTGGTGAGCATTTGAGGAACTATTACAAAGAGGGATGCTATGAATATTCTAATATTTATATGTCTCAGTGAAATTATTCAATTTCTTTTTAAAAAAAAATCTGAAAGGTGAAGAGACATCGGAAGACAGAGAGACAGAAACAGACACATACATACACACACACATACACACACACACAGAATTCTTCCATCCACTGGTTCCCTCCACAAATGGACACAACAGCCAGGTCTAGCCCAGGGTACAATCAAGAGCCAGGAACTCCATCACAATTTTCCACACGGGTGGCAGGAGCCCAAGCATTGGAGCCATCTTTCACTGCCTTCCCAGACACATTAGGAGAAAGAGGTATCTGAAGTAAAGCAGCTAGTATTTGAAGCAGGACTCCAACATGCGAAAATGGCATTGCAAATACTGCTTTAACCTGCTGCACCACAATGCCAGCCTCAAAACTGTTCACATTTCTGATGGGAATATAATAGAAGTGGAACTGCAGATACCTTAGTGTATGCATGTTTCAGCACTACTACACAGATATTGCCAAGAAGTTTTAACATCTATTAAATCCCCATGAGTGCAGTAAGAGAGTGCTGGCTGCTGCTCATTTTTGTCAACACTTTCTTTTTCGTTTTAACCATTTTGGTCAAGTATGGAGTGGTATTGTTTTGAAGCTTTAATTTGTATTTCCCTAATGCCTTTTCCCTGACACTTTTCAAGTAGTTATTGATCAACTGCAGGTGACAATGTGAAGTGTCTCTTCATGTATTTTGTTACATTTTCTCTTTTTATTATTTGTAGAAATTATTTTATATATTCTGGAAATGAGTCACTTATTCTATAGAATAAGAAATATCACCTTAGATATTAGGTGATATTAGAAATATCACCTTCCACTCTATGAATTTCCTTTTTACTCTGTTAATTGTATCTTTTGATGTACATAAAATATATTTTTTTCTGTTGGAAAACTTAAGACTTTAACTACAGAGTAAGTCTGATGTATAGAGCATCAGTTATGCAAACTGACCTCACTAGAAATAAAGTGGCACAAAAGGCTGAAAAATTTAATACCAAATGGGCTTTTTTGATTAAGCAAAATTACTCAAATTCCAATTTTAAATACTTAGTTACCTTTTATTGTGAACTAAAGAAAATATGTAAGAATTTCAGAAACTAGCTTATTAGATGAAGAATTTTAAAAATGTAAAAACTTAAAACTCTGTAAGTCCAATTTTTTAACGTGTAAGGATTCCAGAAGATCCTTGTTGGATCCTTGGTCTTACTGTTACTAGTTATCTTACATGAGAACACCAAAAAGGGTCACAGTTACTGCTATTCTAAAGCATTGTGCCAAGACAATTCAGGTTACAACCGTATGTCACTTTGAAGAGAATGTTGCTAGATTCCTTCTCTATGAGAAAGTAAGTTAACAGTGTAGAGACTCTTAGAAACTAATAATGACCTTTCTCCTCCAACCATCTTTAACTTCCTTAGTAAATTTGGTTCTGTTAGAAGTCTGGGGAACAAATACGCTTAGAAAACTAAGGTCTGTATCTATAGAATATAGACAGAGTAAGAGCTTTGTACTGTTTCTTCTAGGAAATGATTTTTCCTGCAGCCTAGAGATGTTGCTTGAAGGCACATGGGGTTCTGTTCTAGATAGACACATGACTGCTTTCCCTGCTGCCTGACCACTGGCAGTCCCACTGAATTCTCAGATATGTCAGTCAGTTATGGTGGCATTTTGTTGGGTGATACGTACAATTTTCTGGGTAGAACTAAACTTATAATAGAAATTCATTTGCAGTTGATTTCCACAAAGGACAGCATAGAATTATCTACCTTTAGAAATTTGTTGCGAGTTGGATTTAAAGTCAGTATTTTGGGGTTGCTGTGGTCCATATCTCTGAGCTACTAGCTTCCATAAAATGGAATTATAAGCAAGTCTTTCATAACCTTGATAGATCTTTCAAGTTTCTATATTCATTGCCTTATTTTTCCTAATTCACTGAAACCGAATTCCATCTTACCTGGACATTTTTTGAGCAGGAGCAAACACCAAAATTAGTGATAGGTTCTCCACTGGTGTTCCATTTCCCCAGACTCTCTCTCTTTAAACATTGCCTGAAAATAAAAAGGATATTGAAGTGAGGTGTGTCCTCATGTTTATATAGGAGCAAGTACTTGGTATTAAATTCAGGTCCACAGTCCTAGATACAATTTGCTGATTTTTCATAATTTGAATAGCCATTATACTACCATTTCCAAGTATTTGACATTTTGTAGTGGGGAGTTGAGGGACAGCTTTATTAATTAAATCGTGTTGAGAACAATGCTCATTGAACTGTGGCAGGGTAGGGCTTTAGTCCCCTTTATCTGCTGTGTTCATTCTTTCTTCTGACAGAAAGGGTAGACTTTAGCATAATAATACACCAAAGTCAGGTTTATTTGTGTTGAATAAACAACACTGCATAGTGCAAAAACTTGAGAATTGTGGTCAGAAGACTTGGATCTCAGCTTTAGCCATACAACTTATTATTTGGATTTCTTTAGACAAGTGTCTTAATCCTATGAGCCTCAGTTTCTTTGTAAAATGAAATTAATGTCTCACAGCATTGTAATTATTAAATGAAAGCATACATACAAAAGCTGTACAAATTATAAGACATCTAGTGTTTATTATTATAGTATTGCAGAGTCATACAATGAACTAAAGAAATAGATAAAACAGTTTCTGTCAGGAAATTACCCTCTTTAAGCCAATAATGAACACAAACCCTCCCCCACACATAGTCACGATGTTGAAAATGAAAGAAAAAGAGCAATAGCCACTCACAGATCACTGGTGTTCAGACACAGATTGTCAATGCCAGGAAAATTCCACATTGCTGAGACCAATGCATTTGTGCTTGGGTGAGAATTCCTGCAATATCATAAGGCAGAAACAAATTCATACTTCTTCTACTAGTCTCCTTTAGTAAACTGTTTCTCATGAATCATTTGTAGGAATGAAAGGTGTTGTCTACAGAACTGTTTTCTAAGAAAGACTCTATTTCAGGAAAGTATCACAGGAAAAAAAGTTGCAGTCTCCATTTTGCTGTCTTGTTATTCTCCTAATTGCCACATGCATTAGGGATCACCTATTGTATATATAACACCAGATTATACAGAATTCTGACATTGCTATTCAGTATTTGTGAGGCCAATCAAGAGCTATTTGCTGTACATTGTACTAGATTGGGAAGCCACATCTAACCTGGCTTTCTTGATCAAAGTCACACAACATTAAAAAGAAATATCTATTATATTTTTAGACAAATGCAAAAAGTCAAAGTCATTTGTTGGTGACAAAAGTAACAGATAACAGTAAGTCAAACTGTCCACTCCCTGAGCAGAATTAGATACTGTGGCTCCTACAGTATTTAAAATCAATATTTGGTCAGGTACAATCCACACCTCACTAAACGGTTTGAAGATAAAGTTTCAGTTAATGGAAAGAAACTTACGCATAGAAGGCTGTCTGATCCGAGGTACCATAGAGAGAGGGGGAGATCTGGATCTCTGGATAATCGTTGCTGGAATTTCTCAGAGTACCAAGGCCCATAGCAGTGGTTACAAAGACAATAGGGAGGATAACCTGTGCGATAAGGCCTTTCCAGTTCCTGCGCGTGTGGTGGAACCTCTTGATGAGGATGGCCATTATCTTTTTCAGTAGCAGCCCCACACCATCCAACCTTTCTCCACTCGTCAGGATTTTGTCTGGTTCAGAAAAAGAGATCTGATATGGTTCTGGGTATCTTGGTATATCAAATAATAAAGTAACTCCAAAAACAGTGGATAGATAATGTGGTATGGTAGGAAAAGCTTCTATTTTGAAGAACTGGACAGGAGGCTCAACAGTTCATTTGTCAGCTTTCAGCCTGGCCCATGACTGAGGACCATAATAACCATCCCCTAAAGATGCTTTGAAAATTCCCATTCTCTGAGTACAACGTGTACTTCGTAATTTTTCATGTAAAAGTTAGATATCTAGAATTTTTAAAATAAATATTAAACTTCAAAGACTCAAGGAAGACTCAATATGTACTGCTAATTACTAACACTCAAAAAAATTCCGATCAAGAGATTGAATTCAAATCAGATACATAGAAATTGAACTGAATAGAAACCAGTCTAGTCTAAGAACTCATTTCTATTGTGAGTGACTCAGTGATTTTTAAGCCTAATCCGCTGATTCTTGTGGCGGTTACCTGGCACCTGGTAATAAGGAAGTTACTAGTGATGGGAAAGCTGCTCATGATAAGGAAGTCAGTAGTGATGAGAAAGTCCCCAACCCTAAGGAAAGCACTGGTAATGGGAAAGTCCTTGGCAATAAGGAAGTCACCAGTGATGGAAAAGACCCTCTTGGTGAGATAGACCCTAGCTAGCAGCAATCTGCCTCATACACATATGATAATAGATCTGTATTGCAGCAGCAGCCAGCAGTCCTTCGCTGTCCAACCAAAATGCTACTCCCTTGCAGTGTGCTAAATAAATCTAACACTGCTCACTCTATCTGACTGCTCTGGTGAATTCTTCTACCACCCATGACATTGATCTCAATCAGTCGCTTCCTGCAACAATTCTAACATTGAGTCCAATGAATTCACCATAAATGAGAGAAAGGGAAAATAAATCCCCTCCTATAAAATCTAATTTTAGCTTAAACACCAATTCCTTATTTATGTTTAGAAATTTTGAATAAATATATGGCCTTTCAAAACTCCATTTTTATCTTTAGAATCATAAAAAACTCACAGGAAAAAATGTGTGCCCCTATTCTCATGCTAACTTGGAAATGCTCTTTCAGTGCCAAGAATAATCCCATGGCTTCTTGGAGTCAAAGCAGATGTGGAGAACATACCCCACTGCTTCCTCAACAGAGCTCTGATGGCTAATAATTTCAGCAACCCTTTCTAAAAGTAGGTTCAATTTTAGCATTCTCTCCAAAGCCTGCCATCAACACACCTTCCCATGTGATAAGACGACAGTATTCATCAACTCTGTGTATATTTTTAATTTTCCATCACAAATTATGCAGCACAAAAATCATGATCTTCATTTAGCTGATAAGGAGAAATACAAAGCTGCTTAATTTAAAATGGATTCCAATTAAACAGAGTGAACAAGTTTAAATGCAAACGCATATCACTGCAAAAGGGAATCATAGAAGGAGCTGAATATTTTGAGTTAATTGGTATGCTTTTCTGTTTCTCCAGAAATTACATGTGGATGACTTACAGGTGTATCAAATGGAGTAAATGTGCTTTCTCAAAGATAATGTCAATGAGGGGAACATTTTGACTGAAGAATGGTTTCAAATTTTGAGATAAATGGAGAAGCAAATACATAGCATTTGCTTCCTGAGGCAGATGACCACTTCCAAATCAAAGTCCTCGATTCTACGGACTCTGCAATTTCATTTCCCAAAGGGTGATAAATAAGGAATATGGCAGAGAACAAATGAGTCCCAAAGTTCAGAGTTGTACAAACATCAGCAATGATTTTATCTGCATTCTAGAGATAGGTAAATGTTTAATTAAGAGATCTGCTCCTGGCTGAGCCTCCACCTGCAGTGCCAGCATCCCATACAGGCACTGGTTCATGTCCCTGCTGCTCCTCCTCTGCTCCAGCTCTCTGCTAAAGCCTGAGAAAGCAGTGGAAGATGGCCCAAGTGCTTGGGCCCCTGCACCCACATGGGAGACCTGGAAAAAGCTCCTGGCTCCTGGCTTTGGATTAGCTCAAATCCAGCCATTGCAGCCATTTTGGGAGTGAACCAGTGGATGGAAGACCTTTCTCTGTCTCTCCCTCTCTCTGTCTGTAACTCTACCTCTCAAATAAATAAATAAAATCTTTAAAAAGAGAGAGAGATCTGTTCCTAGAGATTGTCTTTCCCAACTGAAGCAAATTATTGAAATGACCACATGATAATTCATGTATCACTTTACTATATGCTGCCTTGAGTAGTATACTCAGAGGTATAAATTGACTGTCAAAAGAGAGAAAATCTTAATAAATTGTTATTTTCAAAACAGTCCAATCTCTCAAAGTCATGTCAAGATACATGAGTTTTAAAAAGATATTCTATGAGAGGAATTGGAAAATGCGAAGCTATTATAGATTTTTAGCCACTAAGTCCAACTTAATTAACAGAGACGCTACTCCAAAAGCATTTGCTTAGCACCTGAATGATTCAGAGTAGAAGATTAGACATATTTTCCAGTGAGGTACCATAAACAGTAATGACTGGATCTGTTTTTACTTTTTTTTGATAACTGTTGACTTCATTTATCAGCTCTAATAACAGGGAGTAAATTACCTTACAAGACAACCATGTCCATTGTTGGATAGCACAAATCACAAGAATTATTTTCATTTTAAATTGTAGTGAATTTCATGACAAAAATGGTTTCTGATAGGCAGAAGGAGTACTCACCACCATCCTATCAAAGCAAGTTTTTCTACATTCTCCAGAGTACTTTTAAAATAGAGCTTTCAGGTTGGTTTAATGCATATTTTGTGTAACGAAAAAGGAAACATATAGTACCTTAGTGTTTTTTTTTAATTAGAGTGATATTTTAAGACTTTTAAAAAAATCCATTGGTACTGTGATTTTAACATTTATGTCATTCATGGAAATTAAGTAAAATATCTATTTTAGATTTATACCATCTCGGTCTGTGAAATTGCTGCTGCTCAGAGACAAATCATCAGGAGTCGAGATGCCATTTGCACTGGAATTCCCAATTTTCCTTTGTGTTAAGTGCTCCAGACTCATATTAGTAGTTTTTTGTGAGTCTTTAGTTAAGTTCAGAAAAACCTAGGAAGAGAAGCCAGATCACTTCATTAGCATAAAAATGGCATGTCACTACGGAAGGGGAGAGGGAGCGGGAAAGGGGAGGGTTGTGGGTAGGAGGGAAGTTATGGGGGGGGGGCATTGTAATCCATAAGCTGTACTTTGGAAATTTATATTCATTAAATAAAAGTTTAAAAAAATTGCATGTCACTGCTAATTTCTAAATTTGATCTTTATTTTGAACTTTTATCATTTTTATTACAACAACTATTTCCCAGCTACCTTTTGGTGACTATTTTTTATTTAAAAAGATATGTTTTTTCTAGTTGTTACAACATTTTGCTCTTAGAAGTCAGACTTAACATAAAAATGGTATTGAGCTCATTTTAACTTTTTCTGATTCTATGAAACTTTTAAATTATTTGTTTTACTTGTTTAAACTACACATATTCAAAGGCTAAAGCAAGTTGTATCAACTCTAAGGGAAAAAAAATGTCCAAGTGTACCTCTTCCACGGTGGTATCTGAAATGCCATAGCACCCTATGTTGAGGGTACCCATATCCTTGTCCAGTGCTCTTAGGAGTGACAAGTAGGCTCCTGAGACTTTAGTGCTGAATGGAGGGAGCACATAAACCAGCTCTCCCCCAATATCCTCTTTGAGGTAGGCTTCTGGGAGATGTGATCGGATCATCGCTGTCACGGCCATTGTGTCACAGACTGTACTTGCGCTGAGATTTGGACTCTAGAGACAAAAACAGAAATTAAACACTCCCTTCTTTATCCTGTGGTGCCCAAGGGCCCTGGGTAGAGAAGGTGAATTCTGTATGTCACTCCTGACCTGAGTCAGATAACACATTTCTCTTCCAGTGGCTCCTTGAACTGCTCAGGGTCTCTATGGTGTTCTATAAGGCACTGTTCGGCCAGCTCCATTCTCCTACTCCTTTCCCTTCTCCAGTATCACTTCCCACCATATTTCCTCTCCCTAACCCTGCTCCAGTAACAACAGTCTCTTTTTTATTGCTAGAAAATTCTTCAGATTGGGGCCTTCGTAGGTTCTGTTACTTTGCCCCACATGCTTACTCTCTCAAAGGCCCCAGTTCATTGCTGAACTGTTACTTTATCAGACACCCTTTCTTATTACTCTGCTTAAAAATTGCACCATACAGCATTCCCTATGTTTTCTTTCCTGCTCTATTTCTATCCATAGTAGAAAAATACTAAACAATTTACTGGGTAGTAAGTATTAATGCATCAAATAATTTATGTATTGATTGCATCATCTGAATTCCTCATATTCCATATGAACTTCCTGAGGTCAAGAGTTTTAGTACTATCAGTTCACTGTTTTATCCTCAGTGCCTAGGACAGTGTTTAGGCATATAATAAGGGAAATATTCATTTAACAATCACATTTTTGTAATAGTTAATATAAAAGTAGTTCATTATTATATCCATTGTTGAAATTATATCAGTATGATTAGCTATGAAATAAATGGTGGCGATCAAAACTCTCTTTGTGGCATATACATCTTGCATGACATTGTGATACCATGTTCTCTAAGGTGCCGTAGGGATCCCTGGTCAGCATCTTTGTTTTTCCAAGGATATAAAAGCATTATGGACCTTATGAATTAGTCTCTACACTGTCATTTGAGGCATGTTGCTCAGAAAGTGAATATAGGACTTCACATTTTCTTCATTTGCTTTAGTGAGGCAGAACATTTAATCATGTTTAAAGTGTTATTTATTTATTTGAGAGGCAGAGTTACAGACAGAGAGAGGGGGACAGAGAGTGAGAGGGAGAGAGGTCTTCCATCCTCTGGTTCACTCTCCAAATGGCTGCAATGGCCAGAGTTGGACCAACTGAAGCCAGGAGCCAGGAGTTTCATCAGAGTCTCTCACATGGGGTGCACAGGCCCAAGCACTTTGGTCATCTTCCACTGCTTTCCCAGCCCATTAGCAGAGAGCTGGATCAGAAATGGATCAGCCAGTACTCAAACTGGCAATCATGAGGGATTCTGGTGCCACTGTTGAGGCTTAATCTACTATGCCACAGTACCAGCTCCAGAGCTTTCAATTTTTAGCCTGACAAACTAAAATGCTAGGGAAGCCAGAAGGCTTTCAGTAATCATAAGCTAGAGATCACTTTGTACCTAGCACACTGGCTTTCAATGTGCTGTCCCCAGACCAGCAGCATCAGCATCACCTGGGAACTCTAGAAATGTAACAGAGGAGGCTAGCATTGTGGCATAACGGGAAAAAAAGCCACTACCTGCAGCACCATCCCATTTGGTCACCAGTTCAAGTCCCAACTGCTCCATTTCTGACTCAGCTCCCTGCTTGTGGCCTGAGAAAAGCAGCAGAAGATGGTCCAAGTGTTTGGGTCCCTGCTACCCATGTAGGATATATGAAAGAAACTCCTGGCTTTGGCCTGGCCCAGCCTGGACCATTGCAGCCATCTGGGGAATGAACCATGGATAGAAGACCTCTCTCTCTCTCTCTCTCTCTCTCCTTCCCACCCCACCCCTTGCTCCCTCACTCTCTCCTTCTTCCTCTAACCCTAACTCTGACTTTCAAATAAGTAAATAATTTTTTAAAAAAAGAATTGTAGCAGATTCTTTTTTATTTATTTTTAAATACTTTTAAATTTACTCCCCTCCCAAAGAAACCTGGTATTTAAGGAATACAAACTTCATGCACTTAATAAGTACAACTTTAGGAATATAGTGATTCTTCCCACCATACCCGCCTTCTCACCCACTCTCGTATCCCTTCTCCTCCTCCCTCTCCCATTCCCAGTCCCATTCTCCACTAAAACCCATTTTCAATTAACTTTAAACACAGAAGACAACTCCATACTAAATAAAGATTTCAACAATTTTCATGGGGAAAAAAAAAACTGTTCCTCAACAGTGGAGACAGGGCTGTTCAAAGTCATCTTGAAGTTAATTTCACTTTTTTTTTTTTTTAGAAACTTAATTAACTTTAAAGAAGCACCCAAGAATGATACCTCTTTTGCAGGCAGTTAGGCATAATTATAACACAACTCTTTGAGGACAGAGGTCCTGCATGGAAAGTTAGTGCACAGTGACTCCTGTTATTAATTTAACAACTAACACTCTTATGTATGACATCAGTGACCACCCGAGGCCCTTGACATGAGCTGCCTAGGCTATGGAAGCCTTTTGAATCCACAAACTACGTCAGTATTTAGACAAGGTCAGAAGCAAAGTGGAAGTTCTCTCCTCCCTTCAGAGAAAAGTACCTCCTTCTTTGATGAGCACTTCTTTCCACTGGGTCTCACCCACCAAAGTCCTTCATGTAGGACATTTTTTTGCCACAGTGTCTTGGTTTTCCATGCCTGAAATGCTTTCGTGGGCTTTTTAGCCAGACCAGAATGCCTTATGGGCTGATTCTGGTAGCAGATTCTGAAGTCCCTAACAGACCTATTAAAGCTCTTGGGGCAGGGCTGGAAATCTGGCCTTTAACCAAGACCTCCAGTATTCTAAAGCTTGTTCATGATTCAGATCCACTGAACCAGCATATTAGTTAACTTCAGTGATGAATGAAGTTGTATATACTCTGCCTCCGTTTCATTTATACATTAACTTATGACCCTACCGTAGGGTATATTTCCTGGGCTACTAACCTTCTTCTTGGTGAGTGTGAGATGATAGCCATCCCCAAAGGCTTCCTTGAGATAAAAAGGGGACCCACAGCACCTGAGCCCACCCTGCTCCAGGAAGGCAATGCGGTCACTCAGCACTTCAGCCTCATCCAGGTGGTGTGTTGACAGAATGATTGTTCTGGCTTGAAAATACACATGAGAAAAAAAAGAGAGAATGAAGGTTGAAGATACCATTTCCAAGATACTTAGAGTTATCTTGAGTGGGAGTATATCCTGTGACAAATGAGTCACATTTTATGAGTTAACTAAAAAAGCTAAACGACCAGAAGGAATGTCCAAAATGATCAAAGAGAAATCCGAAAGGGGTATTCTTAAATATCTGAGGGTGTTTTTCATACAAGTTGGCAGCAAGTAAGGATTTATCAGATTATGTGGATAAATGCCCATCATTTCCTATGTGGACACTGGAACTCTTCCCATTCTGTCAGGGTTTTGTTCCTGTGGCTTCATGGCTTCATGTTGCTTTCTTTTTCTCGCTCTCCGCCCCCCCCCTTCCATTTCTCCCTCTCTCTTTCTTCACCATGGAAAAGCAGTAATTTTAAAGGCTTTTTGAATATTCCTCTCTGATTAATCCACTCCACTCTGATTACTCCTTTGCTTCACATCCTGTTAGCACTTATTTAGTCTGTTTTCAGTTTATTTTCATTTGTGTATATTTGGTATCTCTAATTAGATTCTCAGCTCATCTAGTCAGACTTTGGAACTTCTGTTGGATTTGCATATTATTAAAAAGCCCAGTTAAGTGCCCAACTCACAGTGGGCACTAAGTAGATATTAACTAATTGACCCAGAAATTTAGCTGAAAGAGGAGAAACCTTAGGGGAAAAAAAGAACCAATCTTACATCCCTTTAAAAGGATATTATAAACAGAAAAGGCTTTAGCTTGCTTTTGCATATCCCAGAGGACAGAGTTATGACTGTTGAGTGAAGTTCTGAGAAAGTACTCATACCAGTTTTGTTTTTACATATAACATCCCATATACTTCGGCGAGAACATGGATCAACTCCAGTGGATGGTTCATCCAGAATTACTACCCTCGATCCACCGATGAGAGCTATGGATATAGATAACTTCCTCTTCATTCCTCCCGACAGTGTTCCAACTCTTTTATGACGATGGCTGTATAGTCCAGTATCTTTTAAAGTCCTTCAAAAATACAGTATAATTGTTATTTTCTTCTTTTTACAGATAGACTATCTGAATATTTGGAAAATATAACATGTACCCTAAATAATAAATATTCACCAAGCCACTATTATGTGCTCAGTAGGTACAACTAAAGATTCATAATGTAGTTTTTTGCTGTTTATCATTTAGTTGGAGATACAGAATTAATACTCAGGAAAAAGACAAGGGAATTTGTAGTTCATTCACTTGACAAACATTTACAGAGTATTTTCCTATTTTTGTGCAAGGCCTATTTTGTGCTAGGGAAAAAATGAGCAGAGAAAGTTCCTAACCATATGGAGATTATGTTCTGGTCTGTGTCTGCATCAGAAGGGATGTAGGGAGAAGTCCAGTTAATAAACATATTCTCAAGTAAGTCTATAATATGCCAGACAGAAATAAGTACAACAGAACAAAATGGATAATGCATAGTATTTGAGATGAGGAGTGCCTGGGGCATGCTATTTTAGGCATGTATTTAATATATGGCATTCACCTCAAAGAAAATAGCACTTGAGCAAAGACCAGGCAAGTGGTCATGTGAACAGAAGTAAGTCAAGCGGCTGTCTGGGGAAGGGTGCTGTAATTAGAGGGAAGAATAAATACAAAACTCTTGTACTGGAGCAAGCATAACAGAGTCAAGTGTATAACTAGACCAGAGTGTGGGGAAGGGGAAGTGAAATAAATCAGATCAGAAGTAAGATTGGGGATAGGTGACATAGAAACTTATAGGCCTTGATAAGAACTTTTGAGTACTACAATTAATATGGAAAGAAACCACTGAATTTTTTAAAGATTTATTTTTTTGAACGAGTTACAGACAATGGGGGTTGGAGGGTAAAGGGAGAGAGACAAAGAGGGAGAAAGGGAGGGAGATAAAGAGGGAGGGAGGGAGGGAGGAGGGAGAGAGAGAAGGAAAGAGAGAGAGAGAGAGAGAATATTCCATCTGATAATTTACTCCCCAGATAGCCACAATGGCTGGGGTTGGACCAAGCAGAAGCCAGGATCCAGGAGCTTCATCCGGGCCTTCCACATGAATGGCAGGAGCCCAAACATTTGGGTCATTTTCTACTGCTTTTCCCAGGCCATTAGCAGGGAGCTTGATCAGAACTGGAGGAACTGGGACATGAACTGGTGCCCCTATGGGATTCCAGCCTTGCTGGTGGTGGTGTAACCTGCTATGCCACAACACCAGCCCCAACCATTGAAGGATTTGAACCTAAGAATGACATGGTATGATGTGCAGTTCAAAAGGATCATCCTATATGCTCTTTGAAGAATAGATTACATGAGAGAAGTATAGAAATTGGGAATCTAGTTAGGGGGCCTGGACCTGTGTAATAGGCATAGAGAATAGAAACCAAGGATTTGAGACAATATGAGAACCAGAAAGGAAAGAAGTTAAACTAGTTTAATATAACTGGCTGGTCAGGATAATGACCCTAGACGTATTGAGAAGTCCCTTAGTAATCATGAGGCTTGGTTCTAGGAACTCTCAAACATAACAAAATCTGCAGATGCCAAAATATCTTATATAAAATAATATAGAATTTACATATAATCACACATTCTCCCATACTCTCTAATTCAACTCTATATTACTTATGATACCTTGCATATATACATACTGTATAAATAGTTATTATGCTGTGTTATTTAGGAACTAAGGACAAGATTAAAAGGTCTATACATGCTCAGTACAGTCACATTTTTTTCCAAATACTTTTAATATGTGCTTAGTTAAATCCTAGGATGCTAAAGCCACAGATAAAGAGGGTCAACCGTGAAAGTACAGAGAATTAGAAACACTAAAAAGCAGTTGATTATTTTGTGGTAAACAATTTCCAATTGGTGTTACTACCAGAGTTGACCAACTAAGACACAGGCCTTTGAAAGGAAGAGTTAGCAGCCCGTGTTCTCACGCCTGTCATAACTCACCTTTTCACTTCCTCGTGGAGCTGCTTTCTCGTCCAGTGAGGAACTTTGATGGAGCCATACAGGAGAAGGTGTTCCTTGGTAGTGAGGTAGCTGAACAAGACATCGTGCTGCATACAGACCCCCATGTTCTTCCGGACAGTGTCTAGGTCTGTTTTGATATCTTTTCCATACACAAAGATGGTACCGGCACTGGTTCCGAATAGCCCAGTTAACATAGAGCTGGAAATGGATAAATGATAAATTAGGTATGAACCAAGCATGTAAATTAGATATTATGAGTAAATGTTTCTCAGTAATAAGCAAAAAAAATGTTATAATATATCTCCTTAGGCCATGTCAAGCTATGGAAAAAATGAAATTAAAAGAGAATGACAAATTAAAACTACATTCAAGCTTGTAATTATTTAAAGTTACATCAGCACTGCATGATGTTTTAATGGTTGTGGCTGTGGTAATAATGACAAAAATGGTTAGGATTTTTAAGTCCATTCTCACCTTGAGCAAAATCATGGACTTCCAAGCATCTCATATTATCTATGAGTAGAAAACATTCACATTTCTATCTTTGGCTGAGACCTCATCACCCAATTCCAGGATTGTTTTTTACATCCAACATGTACTTTTCTGTGAGATGTCATACAGCGGCTTCTAACTTGGCATATTTAAAACAGAGCTCATTATCTTTACCCTCAAATCCACACCCTCATTGATCTTACCTCTTTTCCAAATGATAAATTCATGTATTTGTTACACAGCCTGGAATCTACAAGTCAATTTTGTACCCTTTTTCTGTAATAGCTTCTTAACTCCATCCACATCTGTCCATTTGCACATCCACTACAATCCACTACATACCACCATCATCAATTGGCTAACTCATCACTTTAGGATCCTAACTCTACTTCCCACATGCTCCATGGTCATCTCTGTTTACTTTTATTACACTATGATTAGTGCATTCTCACATAGATAATACTCCATCATCTTTCAGATGCTTGGCAAAATTGGATATTTAATATTCATCTCTTCCACTATAAGGTAAGCTCCAGGAGACCAGGGAAAGGACCTGTTTCTCAGCACTCTGTCTCAGAACCTAACCAGTGTTCTGCAATTAAAACTTGTGGTTGAAACTGAAAGTCAATTAAAAGAATTTTTAAATTAAAAAGTCAATTAAGAGAAATTTTCCCATAAAACACATTAAAATACCAATAACATACTTCCTTCTTTATATTAAAGGTTTATATTCAGAACAACAAAATGGAGCATTCTCAGCTAAAATTACAGCCTCTTCAGAAACCTTTTCAATCCCTATTCTAGCCTCTTACTGCCTATTAAGCATTGTGTTCTCACTAGAAAGACAACTCTGGCTTTAAATAGGTCTTGCAAATAAGAGAGGCTATGTTCTCTCTCTTCATGACCTTCCTTTGTCTTCCCTTATTTGTAAGAAAAAAAATTAATTCCAGTGTTTTGGCAGCCATTATGCTTACTCACAATAATACTAAAGAGGATATGCAGTAACTGACACTTTTTCTCAACTGAGGGCCAGAGCACCAACAGCATCTAAGAGCTGATTCAGCAGTTAGATGAGTGTGAAGCACTGGAGGCAAGTTACACACACACACACACACACACACACGATCCAAAGAATGTCACTTTAAAAATATTTGAATCTCCTCTCCATTCTAATGTAGGAAAATGTTACTGATATGAAGAATGACAAAGAAAAACCCCATGTACCACTCCTGGCCTTCTGATCTGATAGCTGGTGATTCTTTTGTTTCCTTATGAATCAAGAGAGAGTTTCCTATGTTGGAGCAACTGTGGATGAATGTATCTATACCAGGATATGCAAACTCAAACTTATATATGGACCAGGATCAAAATTCAAATAAATGAAATAAGCTAGTGAAGGCCAGGGATAAACCAGAAAGCAGATACTCTTTGTATGAGTTCAGTCACTAATAACCTCCAACCAACAGTCCCTACCTAAGAATGTTGGATAGTGTTCCAGGATTTTCTATTATCTAAGAGATGCCAAGCATATTTTATTAGGAAACTCCTCTCTGTTAAATATTGGTGCTGAACCAAACATTTTAAAAAGTATTAGATAGGTTAAAATTAAATGAACCAAATACACCTGTCAGCAAGTAGGCCTAATCTGACCTTTGACTCTAGCTTAAGATTTCTGATTTAGACTCCATTCTTTAGTACACAAGTTGAGGCACCTTACTCCATCTGGGGAATGTTATAATTTTACTTTTTATAAAAGATGTTTAAAATTTAAAAATATCTAATTTTTAATAATATTCTTTTATAATTGGCTTCTGTGACAATGAACATTGAAAAGAAACATACATGGTTGTAGTTTTCCCAGCTCCATTGGGTCCCAGCAATGAAGTAATATGGCCTTCATAAAAGTTCAAATTGAGGTTATCAACGGCAATTTTTGAGCCATACATCTTTGTGACGCCATGCAGAGCTACCCCCACTGTGAGATCTCTAGGTTCAGGCTCAATGTTGGAAGGAAACATGCACTCAGGACCTGAAGAGAAACCAAGGAAACAGTTGTAAGAAAATGTAGCTAGAGTTAGACTTTTCCTTAATTAAATATTGAATACTATAAAAATATCCTCTATGTAAAAAAAATCCAGGAACAAATGTTTTATTTTAGTCTTTGGCCTCCTTCTTACTTGGTTACACAATGAATTGGAAAAGAGAACCTCATGATCTAAGATTTATATCACTCTTCTCTGTTGGAAAAAATAGTCTCAGAATACAGCATCATAATCATGAATTCTCCTTTATTCAACAGATCCCATATATTTAATAGATAAATCTAAGGCTTGATCCTCTCATTAGGTAGTGTGATACCAATTTGTAGAGTAAATACCTTTAAGGTTTGCTCTTACAGTGACAATACTAGTTCAGGTCTGTAGTTTATAGAATCCAGTTCATTAATTGCTATCTATACCTCCTTCAGGCATCATAAAAGGGCCAGTTATTTTTGTCATCCTTACTTTATAAAGATGAAACTACTCACCCAAAATCAGTAAGAGATGAGCTTTGACCTATTTTTCTAGTATCAGTGATAGGTTATGCTAAATTACCCATACTTGTTACTTGGTTACTCCTCATGACTAATGACAGATGGCTGGAGTAAGGGGTGTAGACTGTGGCCAAGGAACAAAATTTTTCTCTGTGTGAGTCTAACTGGACCACAAAGGGATTTGCAATCTTGGCCTAATTAGCACCATATGCTAACCAACTGAGCTAATGAGCCCAGAAAAAGACACAATTTAAACCCCGTAAGAGTCCAGACACATATGTGTAGACATATTCAGCCATGACTAAGAGGATGATAATTTTGCCATTTAGAAAAACATAATTAAAATTATTATTCATGCAATTTTTATATCATTTCTTGTAATAATGCATATTGTTAACCTACTTGTCTTACTGACAGATGGGTTGGTGTTCTGCATCATGATATTAGTAAACATAAGGCCATTGCTTTTCTCATGTTTCACCTCTGCACATCCAAATCTCTCCTTCCAATAGGAAGGAAGGATTGGAAAATACCATGGGGCTGCCATACCATATGTCCCTGTAATAAAAATGCATTAGGAAAAGTGATGACTAACTGATTGCTAACATGAAGCATCAGAAACTAAACAAAAGAATATTACATAGTTTTCAGGAAGTAGTTTCATTTTTGGTCTCAGTTTCCAAAGTCAAATGAAAAGGATAGCCTTTTCTTCTTATTTTTTGAAACAGTTTCATTAAAATATAGTTATATAAAAATCAGGTGATTTTTAACAAATTTAGAAAGTTGTACAACCACCACCACAATCAATTTTTAGAACATTTCTCAAATTCCAAAAAGTTCTCTCCCATTGGAAGATAATCCCTGTTGATATCTTGTCTGAAGCCATCATTGATCTACTGTTTGTCTTTATATACTTACCTTTAATAAAAATGTTATGTAATTGAAATAATATTCTTTTCACAGCACCCAAAAATGTACACATATAAATAAGGCTTAATGAATAAAATACCAAGTTTGTTAAAAAGGACCATTGTTTGAAACCAAGAAAGGAGAGCCCAAATTGTCTTCTTCCACTGGAATATGATAAACTCTCCTTTTAGAAGACTGTTTCACAGTATTATTCTGCATGGCTGGTTGGTTCAACAGTGGTCCTCATTTCTTAACTCACTCCATCTTTTTATGCATTATCAGGGAATTCAGCAATGCATTATCTCAACTTGAAATTTTTCTTGAAACTTGAATGTTTGTTTTGAAGATTATATAGGGCAAATCAAATACTACAATACATCATTAACTGATTTGTTATGAAGTCAACCACAAAGAGCATGTACATACCTGGGAAAACATTCCTGACATACCAAGCAATAAGGAAATAAATGAAAGAGTCAGCTAGGATTAGACAGCACAGCCAGCCAAATGAGGTGGTGTCATCCTGCACTGGGGAACTGTACATATTTTCCCATTGCATGCCTAAAAAGTAAACACAGATATTTATTATTCTCTGATGCATATCACAGTTGTGAGAGATAAAATCTGGTTTTACAGGAAGTTACCTACCAATGCCCTGTTCCTCATATCGTGCAATGTATTGGCTTGCATAGCTGAATGCTGTTGGGGACAGAAGACTCTGTGAAGAAAATGAACAGCAATGATAGTTCTTATAGATTTTATATGTTGTACTCAGAGGAATCTTTAGACTTAAAAATATGGACATTTATAGAAATAAAACTGACACTCACTAAGCATACTTAGAAATACAGGGGCCCTTACCAAGCATTCTACTTTGTTGAAAGAAGACAGAGGAAACAGCAGAAAACACAAGGAAAAATGAATTTGGGGAAAATAGTTGTTTAAAATCAAAAAAACATATATAAACTTCTTAAATGTTTCTTGGTAATACATAAAATAATTACAGAGTAATGCAGTGTGAAGACTGAAATTAAGTGAAATCATTAGGGACCAGATGTTTTCACTTTTTAACTTTAAGTAACAGAAATATTAGGAATAAATATATACTAGGAGAATCAATTTACCTAATACTGATAATTGTAACAATTTACAATTTTAAAATTTGTTGACATAATAAGTAATCAATGCTACATAAAATTCATCAATTTCTGTTTTCATAAACTGTGAAATTTTAACAAGATTTGTTTCAATTTTCCAAACTTTGAAGTCAGAAATCTTAATGTTTTCATTAAAATTCTTGAATTATTTTACTGTTTTTGAATTGAAAATGCAAAAGAATATTCAGAGTTTGTTATGTGCTGACAGTGTATTTGTCATTACACCTGTAAGCTAGGTTATGTGCTATGAAAATTGTGAGAACAATTTCAATACTAGGAGCTCTAAGATGTTTAAATAATTGGGCCAGAAAAGAGTTAGAACACTTAACTATTCTCAATTTAGGAACTTTTTTTTTTTTTTTTTTTTTGGCAGGCAGAGTGGACAGTGAGAGAGAGAGACAGAGAGAAAGGTCTTCCTTTGCCATTGGTTCACCCTCCAATGGCCACTGCCGGCGCACTGCAGCCGGCGCACCGTGCTGATCTGAAGGCAGGAGCCAGGTGCTTCTCCTGGTCTCCCATGGGGTACAGGGCCCAAGCACCTGGGCCATCCTCCACTGCACTCCCAGGCCACAGCAGAGAGCTGGCCTGGAAGAGGAACAACCGGGACAGAATCCAGCGCCCCGACCAGGACTAAAACCTGGGGTGCCGCGTGCTGCAGGCGGAGGATTAGCCTATTGAGCCGTGTTGCCAGCCAGGAACTATTTCTTAACAGATACTTGTTATGTTTTGGGAAACTGTAGCGAGATTTCTTCTCCATAGCATTATGCTTGTATGGTATACAATGTTACAGAGAAACAGGCTGTCATTAGGACTTTTAAACTTATTTTGTCATCGCTGAATTTTTTAAATTTAGGTAACTGAACTTTCAATTTGAGAGTTTAAAAACAAACCACAAAGGTCCATTCTTCTCAAACTCCAGCCATTCTGACAGCTGACTTACCACGAATACTTTAACTACATAGCTCAGTTCATCCTCCACCGTAATCAGAACAATAAATGGAAAAAAGGCAATGACATAGATGAGGCTTCCAATTAGAGCTGCAATGTTGGTGTTGTTGAAGAAGACACTGATAAGATAGCTCATGGCAATAACTGAGAAACTGTAGTCCGAAAAATACAGGAACAAAATGAACCCATTTGTTTTAGGAAGAATATTGCCAAACTTGAGTATAATGATGAGGATTGTGATGGTAATCAGTAAAAATCCAACACTCTCTATAAGCCAGGCAAAAAAATGGCTGCAGGAGTTCACACCCATCATCTTCATGTACTGCAAGAAGGAAAAAGTGTTAGCTGCTTCTATAACTGATATTCTCCCAGAAAACAGTTATTGTTGTGTTATGTCAAAATGCCCATGAGCATCTACATTACATGGAACTATACATTTGAATGATTTGCATAAATCAAGTAATTTGTCCATGTTTGCTTTGTGAAATAGGACTATTTTATGTGAAATGGGACTATGTATACAGGTCTATTTGAGATTGCATGCTCCCAGAGTTCCCAGTATAACTATTTGAATAGTGAGGCTCTTTTTATAAGAATTATAATTCCACTTTTTAATTTTCCTCTAGCAGAAATCTCCAGATAAACACATTTAGAATAGGTCATCAAATTTATGGTATCTTCTGCAGAATTTTACAACATGAATTTGACATTTTTTCTGGCATGAATATGTAAAGCTGGTGAAAAACTATGGCTTAACTTCCAGTTCAGTGTAGGTACTGAGAAAATAAAGACCAACTTTTTTTTAACCAGACCTCAATGAACAAGATAATCTATATTTATGTTTCTGAGAGAAAGAGGATAGTCCTGATCCAATAAACCTGAAGCATGGAGGCTTTGAAGGGAGACCTTTGGCCCTTAGCCATAGCTTCCCCATCCTTAACATTCATTGGCAGTCCACATCACGTTTGTCATCCTTCTAAAAAGACATTCATATCTGTAAAAACAAATTCATATATCTGAGCTTCTCCAGACCTCTCTGTCAACTGATATTCTTTGATAACTTGATGATATCCCCAGAGGACAAGGTTAAAAAGCAAACCAGCATGTGTGTTTGTGCACTGACTCTAAAAGATCATGAAAGGTCTAGAATCTCCTGGACCACAATTGTCTTAAGTTTGGTGACATGTGGCACTTTGGGGAAATCTGGATATCCTGGTTTCCAGCTTAAACAAGTAATGATTAGTGTTAAATTTATGAACTTCATATTCCATCTTTTGAAAAGAACAAAAGAAATGTTCCAGTAATGCTTTATAATTGACTAGTTTTTGCAAAACCAAGGATTTTCAATGTCATCATGCCCAAATCTAACTTGTCTAGGAAAAAAATAAGAGGGGATACATGATCTTTTGCTCAATAAGCAAACAAGTGAATTTTACTTTCTGTCTTTGTAACTTATCCCATTTTGATAACTCTGCTAGTCCAGCTGTTACTATGGAAACAGCTACCCTACTGCCAACCGTCTAAGCTGTGGACCTTCTGCTAATCACCACTGAGAGAAAGCTGCTGACTTTTCCTCTTAACATTGCCCTCTTCCTCACCTTCTTCTCTCTTTACTGCTTTTCTCCTGCTAGGCCTTGTCACCCTTTACAGTAAATACTCTACCTGTATTTCCATAGGAACAGAAGTGTTGTTCAAACTAAAAATTAGCACAGAGCAAAAAATCATTATGTAAAGTTTTCTTCCAATTGCTAAGGAAGCTGTCACTGAAAACAAAATTATATTTTGGTGTGTGAAAAAAGGCCTCACAGATCCAGAACTTCAGTCCCTGTTCCCTACTCAATCTGAGAGAATTACTGTGTCGTATTTGATGACAGAAATTTCAGAAATACTCACCTACACCAATATGATTATATCTTAGACTTTAAAAAAAGATTTATTTATTCATTTGAAAGGCAGAGTGACTGAGGAAGAGGGAGGAGAGGGGAGAGAGAAAGAGAGAGAGAGAGAGAGAGAGAGAGAGAGAGAGAAATCTCCCATCTTCTGGCTCATTCCTCAAATGTCCATGAGAGCCAGGGACAGGACTGGCTGAAACCAGGATCTAATAGCTGCCTCCTGGTCTCTTCTCTGCGTGGCAGGAGCCCTAGAACCTGGGCCATCATCCACTGACTCTCAGGCACACTAGCAGGAAGTTGCATTGGAAGCAGTGTAGCCAGGACTCAAAAGAGGAACTCCAATATGGGTTGCAGATGTCCTAAGCGATGGCTTAACTCTCTATGCCATAACTTCCACATCTATTAGTTCTTTTAATTGCTTACCTACTACTTTCATTTTGAGATTTTCCTAAGTCTATGCCTACTTGAATATAATTAAATAGGGAGTTACTAAAGCTGTATAACTACTCCCAATGCCAGTGTTCAGCACTTAATTTGATGTAACCTGTCCACAAAAATCCCCATCCCCTCTTAAGTAATATATGGAAGTAATATATGTCAGCAGGGGACTATATTAATATGTTTCACAAGATGGATGCAGAATATCTAGGATATAGCAACACCATGAAATAAAACTGATACCATATATAAACATGATTTTCTTGCCTGATAATTGATAGCCACAGTATATAAATTTTATAAATCTAGAATATTCTCTAGTGATAGGCTTGAGGAAAGATAATTTGGCAAGCTTAAAGACCAGAATTAAAGGTATTTACCACTATAACTTTGAAAATTTTCAGATTCAAGATCACATTCCCCAGAGTTGATAAAAGTTACAGACTGATTATTTTGCCTTTCATTGAAACAGGCTGAGGTTAAGTGCACTCAAAAGTATTCACTAAACACCCTAGCATGAAACTTAAGTGTTAAAATTCAGGATTTTATACCATGAGAACAGCTGCTCTTCATAAAGAGAAAGAGCAATGAGAGAATATAAGTCATCCATAAATTATCCAGATTCACTGGCAACTTTGTTGTAATAAACAAGCCAGAACTCGCCAATGAAAGAAGGCCCACAGAGAACTACTGGCTGTGCTTTCTTGGATGCCGTCAGTTCCTTCACAAAGTGACAGATGTCAGGTGCCAGTGTAGTAATCAAAGAGTTCCTTGTCTCAAGCCTCTGAATTTGCCAGAACAACTCATCAATATCTGATAACCTGTTGCTCAAGGGAAATCCCTCTGCACAGTGGTCAAAGTCTATCTCTGTTTACAGCAGAAAAAAAAAGGTTCTAGAAGATTTTGTGTAAGTGTGTTGCCACACACATAAGAAACATGTACAGAGGTTGACATTAATACTGTCTGGAAAAGAATCATAAGTATTCATTTATGTACTTAACAGTAATGTCCTCTTCAGTCACTCAGCAAGTATGTCAAGCACTATTTCAAAAGGGATGATGATATTTCCTTCCTCAATTAAAAGAAAAAAATTCTCACAATAGGTATTTATATTATTTTTTTCGAGTAAGATATACAGAGTGTTGTGATTCTTACTTGGAATGTTCCAAATTTCCACTAGTGGGGTAGATCATGTATGTCAAGAATGCTAAGACATTGTCTAATGTGAAACACTAGAAGATCAAATATCTTCCCATAAGTCTTGGTAATATCTCTGCAGTGCACAAACAGGTTACCTGTCTGAACTGCAATGACTTCAGAATTCTGTCACCAACTGAATAGAAGTACTGAAAGGTCCATAAATGACAGATCAAATAGTTGGAGCCAACTCATAAGCCATGGCAATGCTTGTCATAAGAAAATACTCTTTACTATGTGTTGTAAGATCAGTATTTTATAGCTTCAACATTTTAATTTTCAAAAGCAAGGAATGCAGAACAAAACCTAATTGAAAAGTGTTAAAAATATATATTTTTTTTTGACAGGCAGAGTGGACAGTGAGAGAGAGAAACAGAGAGAAAGGTCTTCCTTTGCCATTGGTTCACCCTCCAGTGGCCGCCGCAGCCAGCGCACTGCGCTGATCCGATGGCAGGAGCCAGGTACTTATCCTGGTCTCCCATGGGGTGCAGGGCCCAAGGACTTGGGCCATCCTCCACTGCACTCCCGGGCCACAGCAGAGAGCTGGCCTGGAAGAGGGGCAACCGGGACAGAATCCAGCGCCCCGACCGGGACTAGAACCCAGTGTGCAGGCGCCGCTAGGCGGAGGATTAGCCTAGTGAGCCGCGGTGCCGGCCAGTGTTAAAAATATTTTTTAAACTGCAGGGTTACTTTCACAAATAAACTTGTTGGTCACTAATATTTGTATTGATTTCTTAAAATAAAAAATTAATGATTTCAATGAGACAACAGCTAAGTAGAATTTTTTCTCCAAGTTTGAGAATAATTACAAAAAGCAAAAAATAGAAGATTGATTGTCTTTACCTTTTAGGTTTAATTTGAATGAGAAGGAAGAAGGAAGTGGGCAGCTTTATTCCTTATTTGAATATAAAAATATGGCATTAAAAAGACTAAAAGATTTTGAGGCTCTAGTAGTAGAAAAGATTACTCATCCTGCTCCTGGAAAGTCCTTAAGACTATAGGTGGGTAGGATATGGAAAAGGTTCGTTGAAACTCAAGATATTGAGTACCACATCTGTCATTAACTAACTACACATTCTTCAGCAAGCCACTCTCAGCTTTTTCATCTTTGGAAAGAGGACTACAGGCCATGGAAACAAGCTGCACAGGAGGCACTGGGAACATTCCCCTTGAGCCATTTCTGCTTCCATCAATTTATTTCACAAATATGTTGTGTTCCTCCAAATCTAGGACACGACTGATGTTATGATATGCCACTATTTAACATGTCACCAATAAAGAAAATTCACCATCAGATAAATCATGACACCTCTATCAAATATATCCTCATTTCAGAGGCCTTATATGAAAATAAAATCAATTCCTAGAATTGATTAAATATAGATAATATGGATAATTGAGTGCCTCTTCTGTTATGAGAGAGAGCTACCTTTCGAAAATATAGTGCTCAATTAAGTCTACATGATTAGACTAAGAGAGTTTTAGAGCTTGGCTTCAGTGCCCATACCTGATAGAACTGGAAGACTCAATACCTGGTACTCTGCTTCCAAATTCAGTGATTTTTCCACTATGTGACTTTGACCCTAACACAAACTGGATCCATTTTGAAAATAGATGCCTACGCAATGAAGACACAGAGCTACCAGACAGAAACTGGTTCACTGTTAAAAATATGTCTTTCATACCAAAAGAAAAAATACCACACATGTTCTCCTTTATATGTGGGAGCTAAAATTTAAAGAAACAAAAAAAAGAGATGCTATATAATCATATTGCTGAAAATATATTTTTTCAAAATTTGTTTTATATCTTTGTGAAACCAATGGTTAAGAATGTTATACTACTATAGTTTTAATGATCTGTGATAATTTTGAAGTTTACTGCACATGAGTGAAATGGTTATCTTTCCATTTGATTATTGTCTATAGCTCTTCTCTATTATTACTGCTAAACTAGGGTCTTTTTACTATTTACTGTTGATCTCTTTATTTACTGAAGCATAAAGCCTTTGACAGAAATGTTAATTAAAAATATGTTTTCTAAAATCTTAAAAGAGAAAGGAGGAGGGAGGAGGGGTGGGAGGAAATATCATTATATTCTTAAAATAGTATCTAGAAGCTACATTGAATCTTTTCTTTTTGTATTAATATCACATTAACTTAAAAAGTAAAGTATCATAAGAATATCTTTCACATCTTCAATTGAGAAAGGACTCTTCATTATGCTTTGATATTTTTGATGATATACATAGATGCATTCAGAAAATCTCAAGTTCAAACACAAAATAATGCAATGCATATGTGATACATACACAGATATATACATGTTTTGCACTCATATAAATGTATATATGCATACACATGCATACTTATATTAACTTTCTATCAGAAGTAATGATTTTAAGGTATTTATTTTGAAGTAGAAAATAATTCAGTCTCTATCATAATTTTCTACTTCAATATTTTCCTTTAATCTGTGAAGATTCACTTCTAAGTACCAGGACCTGAAAGAGAAATATAACATAGGAGTTTGCAAACAAAATTAGAGTCCAGGCCTGGATTCAAGACCCTAAATTGGAATTAGGAAACCATTACATACAATCTCCTAAATATAACAGGGCTCAAACCAAGTGGGATGTTTACCAAACTGTAACTGAAATATAAAAAGGCACCTGTAGGGATTACCCAGAATTAGTTGATCAAATAGAAAAGGTAAGAAATGTAGCTTCAAACACTGGCACAATGATGCAAACCTGATACTGAACTAACAGAGGTAGGAAGCAGTGACTGTGTCTTCTAAGGAGAAACAGTCAGTTGCCTAGATGCATTGGCAAGAGAAGTCTGAAAAGTACAAGTGGGCTAACAGGTTACACTAACCTCATTAGTTCAGATTTTCAGCCAGGTTTTGCAATAATTACTGTGCTCCAGTTTTGAAATGTCTTTGCTTTCTTTCTACTACATGTGTGAGTATAAGAACAAACTTAATGACAAGCAGATAAAATAACTCTCATTCAAATATAATCTAAAAACTACGCAATGATTTATTATAAATTGTGAAAATAAGTACGATATTATGGACATGGGGTTAATGATAAAGAACATGTCCAGCAATAGATGTTGTTTTACATTTCTGGTCCTGTCTTCCATCATAACATTATTATTAACCAAGTCAGAATCTAACAGGAAATTCTTAGTTTCTGTAAGTCAGTAGTCAGGAGAAGCAGAGGAGAAAGTAATTGGAGGAGACAAGGTATGCAGGAGTAGAATTTTCTTCTTGATAGCCAAAATAAGCCATATGTCTTTGTTTATATATATATCTACATTTGGATTCAATTAGTTACCATGCCAACAATCTCCTGCCTTAATAGTTATTGTTATCACTCATATTGAAATGTCTTCTGTTAGATACTAAGTCCTATGGGTAATTTCTTGGACAAAAGTTTCTCTTAGGATCATTACTCATATTTTATTCAGAACATTCAGATTTTGTTTTTCAGAAGTACTTATTAAAAGACTTTCATATCACTTTTTGAGAAAACAAAATATTTCCTTATCAGCTGCCTTTGTGATTCATAAAATGTTTGTCTTTCTATCTAATTCACTGCATAGGGATAGGCTTTCTGTGTTGGTACAGGCATGATAAAAATCGCAATAATCACTTGTTCTATGAATAGGACTTGTTCATAAAAAGAAGAAATTCTCAACATACCTCATGAAGCCTCAGATCTTTCTCATAAACAAGCTTTTTTACAAAAGCAGCTATAAATACAACCCAGGCAACCATGAGCACAATTGGAAGAGAATAAGAGACACTGGTTAGGAAACTGTAAAAACAAAAACAGAAACAAAATCCAGTGACCAAAATGACTGACACACTTGCAGATTATCACATGTAAAGAACACATTCCCTTTTACATTGAAATTATACTATTTTGAAATTGAGAATAATCATTAACATACCCCATTATTTACTAAGTGTGAAGCTGACTTAACAATTGGTCCATGGATTCCTCAGTATAGTGTGCAATAATTTAAAAAATGTTCTGAATTGTTAGATAAAATTATCATATTATTTAAATTATGTTTGTGTATGTCTTGAGAAATAATTATTATATAGATATAATTGCAAGGCTCAATACTCTTTTGTCTCAAAAATATTCTTAGCCAAGAAGCAGATTTTAAATTAGATGATGATTGGTTTATCTAACTAAAAGCTATATTTTCCAAAATTACTCATTTGTCAACTCTTAGGAAATCTTAGTTATTATTAAACTACATTTTCCAAAATGAAATAAAATGAAACCCAATGCACTTAATTTAAAATGCAGACCAGGAATTTCAATTTCTCAAAGTAATGAATGCTACCAGAGATGTTTCATAAACAGTATAGAAAAGTCTTTCTGGTTAATTTGTTGAATTCATAGTAGATCTGGAATATCACTGCAACACTTCACCCCAAATATATACCTAGGGATTCTGCCCAGGACACCTGAAAGCCATCTGCAATGCTTTTCAGAGCCGCATCACATGCATGTAAAGATATTCTAAAAACACAGATTTCTGGGCTTTACTCATAAGCTTCAGATTTGTTTTATTTGGGCTGCAGCCAGGGATTTGCAGTTTAAACATGTTCCCAGGTGATGCTGATGCTACCATTGGTCCAGGAACCACATTTAAAGAGCCATGTTTCTAACAAGAGGGAATGGGGAAAAGACAGTTGTTTGCTGCAAGAGGAACTCAACACTGATCTATTTTGCTTGTTGGGCTCCACTGAGACTTTCACTTGGAGAAATGTCCCAACACCATTTCATTTTTAATCCATAAGGGTAAAGAATTACTTTCATGTCTCCTAGGAAAAGTGCAGATGTTAATGGAACATTACATTGCTATCAGTCATTGTTACTTTAGCGGGCAGACAGGTCATCATCAGAGAAGGGGAGATGCTTTTTGGTGGGGACACAGTTGGAGTTGGGGCCCTATTCAACTTGTTTGTTTGTTTCCTGAGAAACCATTTGGCATGGGGTAAACAATTAAAGAATACTCGTGAAATGAATTTTGTCATGATCTAGATCCAATCTCAACGCAGTTCTGGATCTAGCATTAGACAAAGGCCCTTATTAATAATATCTCCCCTGTAATGTTTCTTCCAACTGCTTACATATTTTAGGTTTGGTCGTGGCCTTTTTGAATTTCAGTTTCATCTGAAAAGCATGGATGATAATTTCTGCTCCCAATTATGAGGTTGTTGGGTGGGGCAAACAAAATAATATATGAAAAGCACTTTGAATGCAATAGACTTTCTATTTATATATGAAAGGCATTATGGTCGTACACCTATTAAAAGGCAGAATGCTGTATTTTCTTCTTTGAAGAAATATTCAGGCATCTTCCATCCCAGGTACCAAGTATATGGCAAATGTTTACTAAGCATTGTCTCTTTCACTTGATATATCAGTATAAATGAGCAGAACTCAGGTCTCAGAAAAGTGGTTGATGAGTTAACACAAAGTCTGCAAACTTACTTGTCTTTCATGAAGCATGGATAAGGAATTGCCTGAACTTGAACTGCTATTTCCTGAGAGTTTCTGCCAGTTTTCAATTCAATGATTGCTCTTTCAATACTATCCTGTAAATAAACAAAAGCCCTGCCATAGATCTGATTGTGTGATGGAGAGTTGTGTGGCCCCGGGGCCCAGATCTTGGTTCTTAGGCTTCGTGTGGTCTGTGCAGTCTTGAGGCTCATGCGGATGGTATATTTTATGACAGGAGGAAGAAAGATATTTTCAGAGTCATAGCCTCTGTGCCGGCTTCTGTTAGAGGGAAGCTTAAAAATAACACCTAAAGATAAAATAGCAACAACAGCAGAAAGGTTATTTTATGGTTGGCATTATTCATTGTTTATAGGGTACACATAGGGGGCAGCCAAACAGTTGATTGAGTTAGTAACATGACAGTAGGTTCAGGCTCCTAATTTACAGAAAGGATGGTTAATTAGAGTTGTCAACCTCAGCAAGTCAAAGCTGGGGTTTGAGAGTATAATCACAAACTAAGTGACCAGATCACATACATCACCCTAAGCCACTTATTAAAATTATAAAAACCCACACTTTTAAATGAATAATCTTGACTGATTATGAAAATGGACTCAACTTTACCCTGTGAATGTGTAGTCTTTTACATTCTTAATTTTAATTACACCAAAGAAATTAGACATATGTTGAAGAACCCCTGTACTTAGACAATAGGGTTGGTTGACTACATGAAAGATTCTCATTTCTAAAGACATCAGAAGGAGCAGTGACCCCTACACTACTCTTCTGAGCTCTGTTTAAAAGAGGTAAGAAAAAATTTGGCCAATTTTAGCACAAAGAGAAACACTTACTTCCAAAGAGTTCATTGCTTTTAGAGAGCCTTTTAGCCTCTCTCTCCATTTCATCTATGGTTTCTAATGCTTGAATACGGTCATACAATACACAAGAGGAAATATTTACTGTCAGAGAAGATAGTGTGTTAAGCTGATCAATGATGTCAATGTTGTTTTCTAATTTCAGCCGCAGAATATCTAAAGAAACAAACCAAAAGGGGTTAAAAAACACATTACAAAGTACAAATGCATATTTTTTTAAAAAAATCCATCTAAATATAGTTAAAAAGAAAATGACAAACCAGTGGTAACATTGAGAATAGATAAGACAGCAATGTCTGCACAGGGAATGTGAAAGGACAATTGAAACAGAGGAAAGTCTATATTGAATCTGTAGAATAAATAAACTATGTCATTTGATAAGGTGTGCATCAGAAACACTTAAGAGATCTGAGGCTTTATGCTATATAGTTGCAACTTTCTAATATTGTGTGATTTAAATCATTATTGTATTACTTCTATTGATATCTATATTAATCCAAACAAAATGATCAAGATTTTATTTTAGTAATTACTCTGGAAGAGAGAGAATTTAATTGCTCTTCAATTTCATGATTCCTTGTGAGAAAATCAACTGGGACAAAGGGTAAAAATAAAAATGCAAGTTAACAATTCATTTGGCCACTTAAATTTTTACTGATTTGATCATCATGAATACCAAGAAGCCTGTGAATATCAGAAATCCCTCCTCACAGCACCCTAACCCAAACATGTTTCTTACACTGTCCAAAAAAAAAAAAAAAAAAAAGACTAAATTTCTCACAGAGATCAACATCTAAAATGCATTTCTTATTAGAATTTAAAGTGAAATATTTTACTTGATGTAGATGTTGGTGGGGGAGGGGTAAATTGTAGTTGAACAGCGGCCTCCAGCGGCCACAGAAATCAACACGACACCAGAGGATTCTTTAGAAACGCTGGTAGACAGAAGACAGGCTTTAGGGATACAGTGCCCCCATGTTTGAACTCTACAACCTCTTAGACACCAAGTTACAATGTATGTATCTTATATAACATATATATATATATAATGCATAATACATACACAAAGTGTCACTACTGCGTTCATTTTAATCATGTTTTAAATTCTAAGCTTATCTTTCTGTTTCAAAAATTAGGAATGCCAAGTTCTATGAGAATTTTGTAGTTCATCCCTGATATTTTTATCAAATGATCCCTTACCTAAATAATATTTTAGAGAATAAATCCATTAGCACTTTTCTTTCATCAAACTGGATCAGCTTTCAAAAAAATGGGCACAGTGATGTTCCATACAAATGTAGGCATAATTCCTACCTCCTGGTTTCTAACCCAAGTCATTTATGTCCCAGCAGTGCTGAGGAGGAGGGGCCATTTGCTCTACTGCTGCCAAATTCTGATGCGCTCAATCCTTTCCTCATACCCGTGGTTGCATAGCAACAGTGAATCAGACACAGAGTGAATTAGATGTCTTGCATCCCTTCCGTTGAAGGTGGGGATGCACAAGTTCAGACAGCTTCCTTTGATCCTCAGCAGCCAACTCCTTTTAAATGACCATGGGAGGAAGACCCAACCTTGAATACTGATGTATGGCTATTTACTTTTGAGTACTCCCATTGCCTTTGTCTTGCTTTTGCTAACTCTGTTACCTCTTTACAGACCTCTGCAACCCAGTTACATTCTGGGTTAGTCAAGTGATTACTGAAGCCAGTAGAGATAAAATGTTAAATGTAACCAAAAATAAATCATTTCATCATGTCTTGTCTATAAGGACTTGCTTTTTATGAAGCACCTGTAAAAAAGTGTGTCCTTACTTCTCATTACCTATGCATGATTGAAGAAAAACCTGAATTTACATGATGTACACTGCAGTATAATTACTGAAACTAACTACAGACATTGAGAGTCCAAATTTGCATTAGTACTTGTAATTGTACAACTAACTGGGAAGAAGATAGAACAAAATATTCAGAGTCTTGCTTTTCTTTTGAGTAAGTTGCTATCAACTAAATATTGAGGAAATAAAAAAAGAATTTCTCCCAGGGGACAGTGTTCTTCCCATTTCTGACATAACTAGTGAACAAAAGTTTCATGAACCAGGGCTCACCAAGCTCATCTATCTGCTTCAAAAGCTCCACAGCATCAAGTCCCACGGAGAACTTCACAAAAACTTGCACAAAGGGGTTCCTCAGAGTATTCTAACAAATAATAAGAGGAAATCTATTACAACACAAGAAGAAAACAAGGTTTATTATGTCTCTCTAACAACCACCACAAGAATTGAAGTAACCACCACTGAGCATTATCAATGCACTTTCCTCCAAAGGCCAATGTACAAATCCTTGGGAAAGGCATGGTGCACAACTAGTAATATCTTGAAAGACTGGATTTTTGCCTATGGACACAAATTGGTTAACATCTAAAGAAGCCAGATGTGAACATAATTATCAGTATTAGGATATTATATACAATTGCACAGATTTTTTCTTCATGAGTATTACATTCCTCTTTTTACAGTACGCAATACACAATGGTAAGGTTCATGTTTGAATTTTGTTCAAATGGAACACATAAAAACAATTTCTGAAGTCTACAGATTTTGACATCACAACTTATTTATATTCTAGTTCTCCTTCTTCCCAGTACCCCACCTTTTCCAGCTCCAGGTTACCTTTCAATAAGGTGGGGATGAATGACTCATCTCATCAAAATAATCAATCAATGTTCTCATAATATCATGTTATTATAAGTGCAAATGCATGAACATGGAGAAATAAACTGATGGCAAAATTTAAATTAGTCCATATTCAAGGAAATGTGACTTTCTAAAAAAGTAGCTTTAAAATATAAAGACTTTCATAGCTATCTTCCAAATTAGGAGATATAATTTCTATCACTGTGGAAGAACTAATAGCTACTCTTTATTGAGCTCTTACTATGTGCAGGATACTATCTTCTAGAATTTTTTTCTTTTTTTTGTTTTTTGACAGGCAGAGTTAGACAGTGAGAGAGACAGAGAGAAAGGTCTTCCTTCCATTGGTTCACTACACAAATGGCTGCTACGGCCAGCGCTACACCGATCTGAAGCCAGGAGCCAGGTGCTTCCTCCTGGTCTCCCATGAGGGTGCAGGGCCCAAGCACTTGGGCCATCCTCCACTGGCCCCCTGGGCCACAGAAGATAGCTGGACTGGAAGAGGAGCAACCTGGACTAGAACCCGGTGCCCCAACCGGGACTAGAACGCAGGGTGCCGGCGCCGCAAGCAGAGGATTAGCCAAGTGAGCCATGGCACCGGCCTATCTTCTAGAATTTAATTTGACTTTCTCATTTAGTTTTCAACAACATATTTAAATAAATACTATAGGTGACAAAGCTAGTACTAAAGAAGATATTTAAGTTTTCCAAAGTACACACAAGTAATAAAAAGGGCCAAAGAGAAAGATGAAGAGAGGGAATTCAATTGAATTAAAGGAATGTTTATTTATCTGAGATGTAATTTCATGGCTGTGTTTTTATGTGAGCTAGGCTTCCATTGGTTTTCCTTTCAGAGCACAGTTGAGTACCACTCATTACTCATACTTACCAATTTCTTTTGTTTTATGAACATAGAGATGAATAATTAAGAATAATATATATTACAGAACATATATAAATAAGATTAATTTGCTAGTTCCATAGCTTTTGAGGGTTCTACAAGTAGCTTGTAGCATGCAGACTGATGAATGCCATAGAGCTACATGCCATGATAATAGAGTCCTTTAAAATCTATTTACCAGGAATTGACTTGTGTGTCCTGGAAAATTTGAATCAGGTTATTACTAACAAGCAAAGCATGATGCTAGTTGCAATTCAGAGATGATCCATTCTTTCATTATTTCTTTTATAGTCTAACCCATGGTATGTAATACACCAATTTCTAAATGCTTCCAAACATATGGTCCTTGCAAGTCTGTGAAGTAACTATCAATGGTCTCATTTTAGAGATTCATAAACTGCAACTCAAGTACTATAAGTTGTTTGCCTAAGGGCTCACAGTGGAGAACCAGGTCTGGAAAGGTTGGCTTTTCAAATTCTGTACATATTTACCTAACATTTTGCTCAATAACAAAAAACAATAATAATTTATTTAAATCTACAATAGAACAAAGATATGTACATCAGATAATGCTCCCTTTATGAACATGGTCACAGAGATTCTAGAAAATGTACTCTGGAGCAATCATATAAAAAGCATGTCCTTTCTTAACTCACTACTTTAGATAAAAAAATTTCCTTACTAAAATAGTATGTAACTTTATTTTTCCTCTTCACAGAAAAAAATTTTTAGGAGAACAGGGCAATCTTACATTTAGGGAAGTACATATGTCAATAAAGTACTATCTAAGGAGGCTTTGTTTTCTGAAACTTACTCCAAAAGGTCATTTAAACGGAGTATCCTTAAAATTAGAACCAAAATGTAATAGTAAATTGCAGGGAAGATATTTAAGGAGAAGTTTTTTTTTCTATTTTATATTTATTAAATGGATTAATTCTATTTTAGAAACTTATTTTGTGTTTTTTTATAATAAAATTTAGGTTGTAATTATAATTACACTAATTGATCATGAAAACAGACTGAGTAAAGCATCTTTACAATGCAATTGTTCAGACAATTTTGTGATACAACAGCCTTAATTCAACTCATATGTTTAACTTCTTGATATAAAGAAGGATTTTTTTTTTCCTAAAAGTTATAGGGCTTCATCAGTTTTCCAAGGGCCTCTCTTTGGTTATCATCATTGTTGCCAAATTTCTTTTTTTTTTGTTTTGTTTTGTTTTGACAGGCAGAGTGGACAGTGAGAGAGAGAGACAGAGAGAAAGGTCTTCCTTTGCCATTGGTTCAACCTCCAATGGCCGCTGTGGCCTGTGCACTGCGCTGATCCGAAGCTAGGAGCCAGGTGCTTCTCCTGGTCTCCCATGCGGGTGCAGGGCCCAAGCACTTGGGCCATCCTCCACTGCATTCCCGGGCCACAGCAGAGTTGGACAGGAAGAAGAGTGACCGGGACAGAATCTGGCGCTCCGACCGGGAATAGAACCCCGCGTGCCGGCGCCTTAGGCGGAGGATTAACCTATTGAGCCGCAGCGCTGGCCTTGCCAAATTTCAATTCTCCCATCCATAACTAAGCTAACTCTGATGCTTGAATTTTACTTGTCAATTGCTTTGTTTTGGGGGACATTTCCCCCATGCTAGTTGCAGCATCTTCAGAACACCCTGAATCTTTTATAAGAATTGTAAGTCACACTTTTCAACCAATCTTCATTGAATTTCAGTTGAAATTCAGTTGAATTTCTGAGTTGTCAGACCTTTAACCTAGAGTGAGCATAAGGATTAATTAGGACTAAATTTTGAAAGGGTCAATCTGTTAGAATACTTTTGCCAGAAATGACAAAGGCTTATGTGGCCTTGAGCTTGACATACACTTGATGAGAACACCATTGTATAATATGTTAAAATAAATTTGTAATTTGGTAATATATGTCATATATAAACCAAAGAAGTCTACAGAATATTGGTATTTTAGAAATTCTAGTCCAGTGAATGTAGCAAAACATAATTTAAAAGAGAGAAATGAATAACATAAACCTATTATTGTAAGATTTTACTTTTGGAAAACTGATTCAGTAGATGTATCACCAGTTTAAGTTGTAAAATGTTTTATCTCTAAACCACAGACTGAGGAGCTGCAACAGGAGAGGTGAGGGTGATAGAGGATGTTGAGTGACAGATCCTTTCTCCTATCTCACATCTGATCTCTGGAGAAGAGGCAGTTTTAATCTGCTGAATATGGATTCTAAGTTACTACCTGCCCATTCAGATAATGAAGGAGATTAAAATCTCAAAAAATTATAATTCCTTCTATGGTGAATGACAAAGCCATCTCTTACCTGGAGCATTGGAATTGCTTGGTTTAACAGATGGAAGGAATTCATGAAAATTGGCGACTTATCCATCCACTCCTGAGATTTTTCTCTTAATTCTGCCAGCTGCCTCAGAGTTACATTAGACTTAAAGACAAAGAAACAAAAGAAATCTAGTCCATTAGTATTTTTCCTGTGTTATAAAAAAGTATCTTACTGTTTTGTTACATAACTTTAAAAAGTTATAAATAGTAGCGTTAGTAAAAAAGAAAAAAAAAAGGAATTTTCCACATGGTCAAAAGTTCTAAATGACAGCTTTTCTAAGATTAAGATCATTTATAAAAATTTTGGAAAATGTAGGGTTTGCTTCAAGTCCAAAATAAATTTACAGCCAAAATGAATGCATGCCTTCTGGAGTTCTCACAACTTCTTCATTTTACCCACACTTAATTTTAACACTAAAGAAATACCCTAGTTCAAGTAGTTCATACTATGCTGGTGGGAACAGATATATTACAGTCTTTTGTGGAAAGCAATCTGACAACAGCTATCAAAATAAACTACAGTATCCTTCAGTCTCTCAATCCTGAAAATTCATTACTTTGAAATAAAAACACCACTATGCAAAACTATATTCACAAGATTATTTGTGGTCACATGGTTTGCATTGGCAAAAAACAAACAAGCAAACACTAGAAACAAAGTGAATGCCCAACAACTCAGGATTAAATGAGAGAATTCCATATTACAAAAATACAAATTGAAATCTTCAAAAATAATGAATTAAACTGTATTTTTAGGTTGCAAAAATTTCTACAAAGTATTCTTTTGTGAAAAAAGCAATATGTAGAAAATAATTGTAATGCAACCTCATTTTAATAGTGCAAACAATGACTCAAGAACTTGCTATATGAATATGTGTACAGTATAATAATCTATAAGGGATTAGAGGAATGATATTATAGAAATATGCATTTTTGAATACCAAGATGTTAAAGGGAAGAGTAGGAAGAAGAAAGGGGAAAAAGCAGAGGTGAGAGCCAAGCACAAAAGGAAAAAAAAGAGTGTCTTAGAAAATAAGCATGTGTATGACTTCATTTGTGTGAAATTTCATAGAAGTGTATAGTTAATAAAGCAAATAAGGTGTTGCATCCAAAGCAGTAAAATTAAAGAACATTCACTGTTAGCTTCTTGTCCACTTTTATACAGACCTAAAATATTATGTTCACATAAACAATAATTGAATGACCAAGTAATTGTAAAGCAGATTTTTTTTCATTTTTCACTCTAATTTTAAAAGCATTAGGTTTGTAATTCAAATATGTAAGGCCAATTTTAAAAGTGAGAAAGAAATGCTATTATGGCTAAATGAAGTTGATGAGAAATATAGTTGATGTCTTTATCTATACTCATATTTTATATGAGATATTAAATTGTACAACCAAATATGAAGTGAAGAATCCATTCTTCAGGGATTGTTTTGTTTAAACCAGTTAAATAATGAGCCTGCCTTATTTTTTTTTGTTGCCATTATTTGAAAGTTATGTGTCAGTTCTAGAAAACTTTTACAGTTTTTGAGATAAATTGAAAAATCTAAAGTCTTGTTTTGACTAACCTCATTCTCAAAGGTCAGCATGGTTCATTTCTCTTCAAACATCTGCAACTCATTCTACACTGCTACATCGATGGCAGAAGTTGAGAATTAAGAGTTTCAGAAAACCAAGAGTAATAATGATAGTAGTAAGATACAAAGATAATAAAGTCAGCAAAACTAAGTCTAGAAGTTGACTACTTCAGTAATCACTTTAATGCTGAAAATAAAACTTTACATTATATTAGTCATACCTTTTCCATGATTGCCTTTGTAATTGGGTTATGTGGGGCATATAAAATCCTTCCCAGCAACATAGGTTTCAGGAAAGCCCAAATCACGGGTCCAGCTGGCATATTAATGATGTCTTTATAAAGGGAGAAGCAAAATGGTGCTGAGAAGAAAAAGTGAAACAAATCCATGTAATAAATGTATTTCAAGTGTATTTCCTCACAGTAAATGAGCTTATTATTATTACTCCCAAAACACTTGATGTAGCACTTCCTTTACAGCCGCCTGGTATCAAAGTAAGAAAGCATAGTAACAAATCTTTTTGAGATGAGAAATAAGCAAGCCTAGGATAAGTGGTGGATATTTTTTCCAAGATGAGATAAGACCATTAAGATTAAAAATCTCTTTCAGATTGCTTCCAACATAACCTATTTCTGTCATTGATCATATCACTAACTCATATCCATTTCTGCCATTTAATTTTCTAAAAATGCATGGAAACATACTACTGGGACAGTACCAGTTACAAGAGTGGTTCAATAAATGTTTGTTGAATGAATAAAAAGATGAATAAATTAGTCAATCCAATCACTGTACTAAGCATCCATATATTTGGAGGAGCTCCACTAATCACATTTTAATCTCAAAGTTTATGGAGTAAGTTAATGGCTTTGATGTGTCACTAAATGCTGATAGTCCTGCTGTATTCATGCAATTCTGCTATATCTGATATAAATTTCTAAGCAAAAAATATTGACCAAACAGATTCAAAGCAAGTTTTTTAAAATTATCTACTGGCAAAAAAGGCATAGTAGTTAAGACTAACAAATACTAAATATAGTCATACACCACTTAATGTTTTTGTCAATGTCTGCTTGCATAGATAAGAATGATCCCATAAGATTATACCACCCAATGATGTCATGGCTTTCTTAGTTTATGTAAATACACTCTATTGTGTTTGCACAACAACAAAATCGTCTCAGCACATGTTTATTGAATATGCCTCTATTGTTAAAGGACTCATGACTATATAGTATTGTGGTTAAGAGGATAGGCTTCCAGCATACTGTCTGGAATTAAATGACAGCTCTAAGGCTATACTTTCAAGTTGATGACTGTGCCAAGTTACTTTACCTGTGTGTGTCTCTTTTCCTCTTACTAAGATGGATGTACTATGGAATTTAACTCATAGGGTTGCTGTGAAGAGCACATGAGTTAATTTATAAAACATGCCTGACATGTGGCAAGCGCTGTACAACTATGTTCTATTTTTATTCTTGGTAAAAAAAAGTATTACTTCATTTATCATAAAATGGTAAGACAGAATAGACAATGTTCTTGTAGTCATTAAGACAAATGATCGAGCTTATTTTGAAGTATACTCACTGGTATGTATGGGAATTCCATACTTCGAAGCAATTTGTTCTTTACTTAATTTGTAAGTCAAAAAATCCTTGGTATGATTGCCTTTTGGCTTCTGGGAAGAGGGCAGCATGGCAGTTAAATAATCAGTGGTAATTCCTTGGGAACACAAGGCTTGGGAGATGGTAGTAAATGATCCTTGTGGTGTATTCATTCTGTTGCTTCTGTACATGGCCTGTAAGAAAAAAAAATCCATAATTTATTCACATTATGGGAGTTATAAATACTACTAAAATATAGGAAGAAAATTGGATAATATTTGGAGATAAAAATCTGTAGCTTTCATGATTCCTTTAAAATTTGTATCCCCAATATAAATGCAGAATGCTAAGCTTCACCAATTTCAGTGGCCAAAAATTTTGCAAGAGTAGAAGAGTTTTTAATAGGTAATTTTTTCCAAGATGTTAAATTGGTAGCTAAATGAATTACAACTCATCTTAAAAGTGAATATGAAAGAAGAAATTTTTCAGCAAAAATATTACTGGTAACTTTTCTACCTGTGTTAATGGAACACTTCTGGACAGATGCATTTGTCTCAGGGATCTTATTTTGTCTAGCCACGGATGTGTGCCAGAAGCCATCTGATTGAGAATTTCTTTCAGTCTTATGAAGAGTTCTATCATTTTTTCCACAGGTTTTTGATCTTCTCTAGGAAAAAACACCTAACAGAATAAAAATAAATGATTGATGTAGAGAAAACCTCATGCATTGTTGATATGAATATAAAAAGGTACAATCACTTTGAAAAGTTTATTAAATAGTTAACATAAACTTACTATACAACCTGACAATTCTATTCCTAGATACTTGCTTATAAGAAGTGAAGACATATGTCCACACAAAGCTTCATATGCATTGTTCATAGCAGCATTATTTATCATATCCAAAAAGTAAAAATAACCCTAATAACGGGTAGCTAAATATTTGCTTTAAAGGTAATACTACTTCACAATAAAAGGAAATGAGAGTCTGATATAAGTTATAATATATATATATAAACTCAGAAACATTAAATAAAGAAGCCAGACACAAGGGCTGATGTAGTTTCTAGAAAATTCTTCAAAAAGCAAATCTACAAATAAAGGCAGTAGATTAGAGGTTGCCTGGGCTAGAGGTTAGAATGAGCACTCAGCTGTGGCCATTTGGGGAGTAAACCAGTGGATAGAAGACCTCTCTCTGTCTCTACCTCTCTCTAACTCTGTCTTTCAAATAAATCAAATAAATCTTAAAAAAAAAAAAAGTTTGAAAGTAATTTGATCCTTTAATTCATTCACTTATACCTCAAGTAAGCTGCAAAAATTCTTTTAAAGTCAAAAAGGCAAATGTCAATTATGGAATTCTTCCTTTATATATGTACTCAAGTTGGCATTATCTCAAAAACTCAGGAAGTTTTTGATTTAATAGAAAGAACAGATAAAAATAAATGGGACAGGCCAGCACCACGGCTTACTAGGCTAATCCTCCACCTTGCGGTGCCGGCACACCGGGTTCTAGTCCCGGTTGGGGCGCCGGATTCTGTCCTGGTTGCCCCTCTTCCACGCCAGCTCTCTGCTGTGGCCTGGGAGAACAGTGGAGGATGGCCCAAGTCCTTGGGCCCTGCACCCCATGGGAGACCAGGATAAGTACCTGGCTCCTGCCATCGGATCAGCGCGGTGCGCCGGCCGCAGCGCACGGGCCGCGGCGGCCATTGGAGGGTGAACCAACGGCAAAAGGAAGACCTTTCTCTCTGTCTCTCTCTCTCACTGTCCACTCTGCCTGTCAAAAAAAAATTTTTTTTCAAAAAAAAAATAAATGGGACAAACTTTTTGGATATTATTTTTACTTTTGGATATATGGGAAACCTACAAAGGTAGAGTGAGTTCAACTAAAATGTGGTGTATGGCTATAATGTAATACTCTATTGCCTTTAACAGGAAGGAAAATCTTCATTTGCAACAACATAGGTAAACCTGGAGTATATTATGCTAAATGAAATAAACCAGGCACATCAAGGCAAATGCTGCACAGTCTACTTTATAAGTGGAATCTGAAAAAGTTGAACTCACAAAAATAGTAGAATGGCATGACCAGAGGCTCGGTGGAAAGGACAAGGAAAGAGGAGATGGTGGTTACAGGGTGCAGAACCCCAGTCACACAGGAGCATGAGTCTCAGAGATCTATTGCAGAGCATAATGACCACTGTTAATCCTGGATTGTATTTCAAAATTGCTAACAGAAGAGATTTTGAACATTCTCACTACAAATATTTCAATGAATCAAGGGGCCTTTATGAGGTTTTCATACTAGCCGGAGTAGACAGAAAATAAACTTAAAACACAAAAAGCCTTAATAAAATATAGCATATTCTGAAAATGTAATAGAAAACACAAAAACAGGGAAGGAGGTTTGGGAGTGCTGTAGAGCCGATAGGGTGGGGCTTACTGAGCAGGTCAGTGGTGAGTGATGACGAATGGAAGGCCATGAGAAGGGTGCCCGTGCAGTGGTGCCAAAAGCAGCAGTGGGCCCAGGAAGTAAGTAAGTGTGAAAAGGTGTTTTAGAGATGGGGAGTAATTACATAACTAGGGCCCTTGTAGGATTTCAGGTTTCCTTGGATAAAATGGGGAACGGCTAAAAGAAAGGTTCTGAGCAGAAAGGTGACACAATGTGACTTAAATTTTCAAAGGATCACTGTGGCTGCTTGTGGTGACCAGGGCAGTGGGGGACTAGTGTGGAGGAAGGAAGACCAGTTAGGAGACAATTGCAGAAATAAAAATGTGAGATGATGATGATGACTTAAGATGGGATAATTTGAAACTACTCTTAAAACATTTTCAGCCTCTTCACTTTAATATCTCAGCAGCATAATTCAGCCATGCTGTTTCGGATTTTTCTTACTTTAAAAAGAAAAGCATTTTTTCAGTGTTTTAAGGACATGTAAATGTCTTTAATCCAATTATAGATTTGGGTGAACATTGGTGTTTTATTTTTCTATATTTGTATTTTCTTTCACTTGTTTATTAAAAAGCATTTATACAGCATATGTTTATTGCAACAGAGTCACTGCTGACTTTACTATATCCTAATAATGTCCATTTGTTTTGTTCTACTGGAAAAGTAATGGTAGTCTCTATTTAAATTGATGAAGCAAACACAAACTTTATTTTGAAACCTCCAAAAACTGTTTTTGACTTAAAAACACTTTCTTCTAATCTTTATTTTTTTATCCTGCCAAATTAATGCCTATTCACTGTAAATAAAGCATTACAGTGTTTGTATTCCGCACCCTAATAACAATATATATTAAATTTAATTCCTGGTTTGTATGCGCATGGAGTTAATAAGGCAATAATGTCAGTTTTCTCATCTATAAAATGTGCAAATTCGCAATATATGATCTCTGAGGTCCCATTTAGCTCTAAAATAATGCTATAATTCCAAAAAGCTGTATAAATGAATCTATTCTCTATAGTATCAGAAGGCATAGATGTGTAATTAAATATTTTTGTACTAAACCATGAACATAAACATATTTCACCTACAGCAACTTGCCTTGTATGTGAAGTTGTAAATGTCCAGGTAGTGCAGGAGAGTAAGTCCGATGAGGTAAGACTGGCGGGCTCTCTCGGGAAGAGGCAGGCTACAGAATTCCTTCATTGCATCCTCTAGTTTGGGATTGGTAGTGTTAGTTTCACAAGAATGCAACCAGAACACTTGAGAAATAATCTGAAAGTTGGAGGAAGAAAAATATTTCATTTTTGAATCATTTGAGGGTCATATGTCCATTTCAGGGGATTTTTGCATACTCTAAACTTTTAAATAGTACAAATTATCTTCAAGAATCAATAACTTTTTTATTTAAAGCACTAATTACTATTAACAAAACTGTGGAGAGCCCATAGTTCACTGGAAAGGTTAAGAAATAAGGTAGAAAAAAAAGAGATGGTGTGGCCAGTCTGAGTTTTCCCTTGATTTCTTGCTTGAATGCTTGCATGAATGATAGACCAAGAAAGAAAATGGGTTTGGAGGGAGTTTGGTGAAAATACTAGTTTAATATTCAAACTGCCTTTAAAATTTTACTCTCTGGAATGGGCATTTAGCTTAGCAGTTAAGACACCCATGTACCAAATCAGGGTGCCTGGTTTCAATTCTCGGCATTAGTTTCTGACTCCAGTTTCTTGCTAATGCAGACCCTAAGAGGCAGTGGTGATAGCTCAAGGAATTGAGTTTTTGCCTCTCATGTGGGAAACATGGATTGAGTTTTTGGCCCCTGACTTTGGCCTTGAGCCAGCTTCAGCTTTTGGATATATTTGTGGAGTGAACCAGAAAATGGGAGGGTTTCTCTCTCTCTCATGTTCATTTTAATGATCATTCAAAATTGTCTTATACAATATATTGTGGGTCCAAAGATAAAAAAAAAAAAGGCCAGAATCACACAACAATGTGAATCACCCATCATGGATACTGATGCTTATACAGAGTGATGTATGACTATGGGAAATAAGATGTTATCTCTATTGCCACCAAGTTGAAATAAAGAAAAAAGCCTATGAAATTCAAGTTAGAAATTCTTTCTTATTTTTTCTTAAAAGTAGTAAGTCTGTACACTCTCCATTTAGGTGTTTTCACTTGCTAAAACAGACGTGCTCTTCAGAAAGCAAAAACCTAATTGCTGTTCTTAGACTCAAATAAGCAAAATGTGAAATCAAAAAAAAAAAAAGGTGAACAAACATTTTTTGCTAGCATGAGAGTAAGAAACGTGAAGGCAGAGCAGTTTTAATTTTTGTATGGGGGAACCAATTAAAATGACAAGAGTAAACAGACATTTTCCAAAAGAAGCCTTCAAAGCTCTTTATAAACTTTATCTCATATTGGAGAATAATTGGGCTGTGCTTAGAAATGACACACTCTGTCACATGTACATTTTGAATGGAGGAAACCTTAAACTCTGCAGTCCTTTTGGAAAATTTCTGTGACACTTCCAGACAATGGACTTGGAAGAGGAATAGGCATAAGACATTTCCAGTAGAAAACCCCATTATCAGCCTAGGAGGAAATGACATTACTGATTTTCACACCAAAAAGTGTTTACTACAGTCAAAAACTTACCCATATTTCCCTTGGCCATATCTATTTTATATACTATGCCTTATCATGGGACTTCTAAAAATAAAATGAATATCCAATTTTGTTTTTGTTTCAACAAGTAGTAAATGGTTTCCATGCAGTTTTCCCCAATTAGTTAACTGATGTTTGACTTCAATCAATACCATTTTGATAGGGGCATAGTTACTGTAGAGAATCTGATCATGATAATGCATATAATTCTTTATTGATGGCACTGAGTGTTCAAGAAAGTTATCTGGAGGTAAAGGAAAGAAAAAAGAAGGCAAGGGATCAGGGGAGTGGGGGGAGGAAAAATAATGGGAAATGAATAATATTCTTGCTTTGGAATTTCTCTTCTATCTTTGAACAAGAATGAAGCCTCTAGTTAGGGGCAGGGATGAGGAGCGATAAAGTTAGATTGGATAATGGCCACCAAAATACAGTTAGATAGAAGGGATAACGTCTAATGTCTATAGCACAGTAGGATGACCATAATTTCCAACAACATATACATATTTAAAAATTAGGCCAGCGCCACAGCTCACTAGGCTAATCCTCCGCCATGCGGCGCTGGCACACCAGGTTCTAGTCCCGGTCGGGGCGCCAGATTCTGTCCCGGTTGCCCCTCTTCCAGGCCAGCTCTCTGCTGTGGACAGGGAGTGCAGTGGAGGATGGCCCAAGTCCTTGGGCCCTGCACCCCATGGGAGACCAGGATAAGTACCTGGCTCCTGCCATCGGATCAGCGCGGTGTGCCAGCCACAGTGCGCCGGCCGTGGCGGCCGTTGGAGAGTGAACCAACGGCAAAGGAAGACCTTTCTCTCTGTTTCTCTCTCTCACTGTCCACTCTGCCTGTCAAAAAAAAAAAAAAAAAAAACCTAAATAAGAGGAGGTCAAAGGCTCCAAATACAGAGAACTGACTGTGTTTTGTGGAGATGGAAATGTTAATTGCCCTGATTTGATAACCACATATTGTATACAAGCATCAAATTGTCACATTGCACTTCATAAATGTTTCATTATTAGGTATCAATTGAAAATGAAATTTGGGGGCGAACATTTGATATAGCAATTAGAGTGCCACTTGGGGTGTCTGCACCTCATATTAGAGTACCTGGGTTCAATTCGTAACATAGACTCTGACCAGCTTCCCACTAATGCACACCATCAGAAGAATCAGACGATGATTAAAGTAGCTGGGTCCTATCTCTCCATGTGGGAAACCTGGATTGAGTTCCCAGCTCTCTGCTTTGAGGGAGTACACCAGCCAATGGGATTTCTCTCTCACACCTTCTTTCTCTTTCTCTCTCTCTCTCCAAATACATAAAGAATATAAAAGTAATAAAAATTAGGTTCCTTTACAATTTTCATGGAAAATTCACCAGATTGACATGAAACTTCTTACTAAGAAGCACTCAACAATATGTGCTATTGCAGCTCAACTCACAATAGCTAAGATATGGAATCAAACCAGATGCCCATCAACTGATGACTGGATAAAGAAATTATGGTTTAGGGGCTGGCACTGTGGCTTAGTGGGTAAAGCCACCGTCTGCAGTGCCGGCAACCTATATGGGCACTGGCTCGAATTCCGGCTGCTCCACTTCCCATCCAGCTCTCTGCTATGACCTCTCTCTCTCTGCCTCTCCTTCTCTCTCTGTGTAACTCTTTCAAATAAATAAATAAATCTTTAAAAAAAGAAATTATTGTTTATACACACTGTGGAATACTACATAGTGGCAAAAAAAAAAATCCTGTCTTTTGAAACAAAATGGATGCAACTGGAAACCGTTATAGTTAATGAAATAAGCCAGTCCTAGAAACACAAATACCATATGTTTTCCCTGATCTGTGATAACTAATAGAGTACCTAAAAGATAATGCATAGGAGTGAAATTGACACTTTGAGATTTGATGATTGTTTAAAACCCTTAACTTATGAGGAACAGTGTTTTCTTCTTCATGCTATTTGTTGAACTCTTTACTTAGTATAGGGTTAATCTTATGAGTATAAAGTAAACTGAAGATCGATCTTTGTTAAAATTAAGAGTAGGAATAGGAGAGGGAGGAAGAAGAAGAGTGGGAGTATAGGCAGGCGGGAGGGTATGCTTCTGAATCTGTATATATGGAATACATGATTTGTATATCTTAAATAAAATTTTAAAAAAGAATTGTACCTATAAAATGCATAGTCTGATAAAAATTTTTAAAAGACAAAAATCGGCCGGCACTGCAGCTCACTAGGCTAATCCTCCGCCTTGTGGCGCCGGCACACCGGGTTCTAGTCCCGGTCGGGGCGCTGGATTCTGTCCCGGTTGCCCCTCTTCCAGGCCAGCTCTCTGCTGTGGCCCGGGAGTGCAGTGGAGGATGGCCCAAGTCCTTGGGCCCTGCACCCCATGAGAGACCAGGAGAAGCACCTGGCTCCTTCCTTCGGATCAGCGCGGTGCGCCGGCTGCAGTGCGCCGGCCACGGCGGCCATTGGAGAGTGAAACAACGGCAAAAAGGAAGACCTTTCTGTCTGTCTCTCTCTCTCACTGTCCACTCTGCCTGTCAAAAAAAAAAGACAAAAATCTGCATGGATGTACAAATACATGGCACCCCACCTCAGCTCTGTTATCAGGGATTGGAATAGCTAGCAACTTGTCGATGCTGCTGTTGGACATTCCTGTCATTTGCTTCAGTTCTTCTTTCAGCGCTTCAATATTTTTAAACATTTCTATTAGCTGACCTGAAAGAAAAAAACACACAAGAAAATTCACATTATTGGCTGTAATACCATTCCATTTTGTCCTACTAACATGGAGAAGTCTTCTAGACTAGAAAAAATTGCCTTGGTGGAAACAGAGGTCTCCCAGTTTGGGCAAACTTTGCATCTTTAGGATCTATTTCTATCTAATTTGGAGTTGTTCTTATTATGATATCATTAAGCCAAAGTAACAGATTGTTCTGGGTTATAAGTTTTCCTGAGCTGTCTATAAATCAAGGTTGACTTAAGGAAAAAATGGTTTTCTCACAGACTTTATCACATAATACACTAAATACATATCTCTTCACTTGGTTTAAAACATCACACCAATTCAAAATGCTTTTTGAGTGAGGATCATATAATATTGTCAACTTAGGACATGGACATGTTTTGATAAATCTACAACATAATGAACACAAAACATTTTTCTTTAGCTTTTCCCAGTACGCTACAGTTTATAAAACGGTTTTTGCTGTAATTTCTCATCTTTTAATAGAATGTGTTTAACTCCAAACTCTTTTAGGACACTGATTTTAAGTACTTCATAGCTGAGTCATTTAAGCTGCAGTCAACTATATTTTTATTGTATTTTATTTGGTAGATTGTACTCTCTGTTCTGCAAATACCTTTCAATTTATTTTAGTAAGTATCCCTCATGCAAGTATACCTTCTTTATTTTTGGACTTAGTGCCATTCCAATTCTGTGACTGCCTGTTGGCCACATTTGTGAATGTCTTTCTTTTCAGTATTGAGATATTATGCAGAGAAGAAATGTATTGCAAGAAGCATCTGCTCAGAATACTAATAGAAAGTTCTGACTAGAGACTTCAGTAGACAGCAGTGCATCCTTTCAATCTTTTAATCAGGTTGTTCTCACAGAAGCAAATTTCATCCTTCCTCATGTAGCCAACTACCTAATATACTTTAATATATCCATGAAACAAAAGGTAAATGGTCTAACTAGTTAATTTTTGAAGATCTTTTTGCTGTGAAAACAAATTTCCCTGTTTCATTCTCTGCTGGCTTTCGGTATGTTTACTTTAGACAAATAACCATATTTGAAAGCTTCAGTGTTCTCATGTGTGAGGGCAGATAGCAAAGCAGGTTTACTGGGAACCACAGAAAGCATTCCTTAAACTGCTGCATGAAAATCACATGAATGCTAATAAGACAGCATTTAAAATATGGATGGGGAAACACCTGGTTTTTCAGAAGCATCTGCACTGTTATTGACATGCAGCATGGCTTCAATGGTCGGCATTAGCTGAGTGATATTTTCCAAGTAATTCATTTGCAATGCCTCTTCTAGGAACCTGGAACAAAACAAAAGAGAAGAAGTTCAACTAGGCATGACAATATTTTGAGAAGGGATTTCACCAAGGAAAAAGACAAAGGAAAAACTTACTGATCCATATTTAAGTTAATTTTGCTTGGATCCCCAGTCAGCAAATCCCTCAGTTTCTTAGATAAGATATTGTCATGGTACAGTAAGCTGGTTGCTAGTTCAGTGCCCAGCTCTGCTGCTTCGAGGAGTTGCACATGAAACACACTCTCTTCACAGAGGCTCCCAAAGCTCATATTAGACAGCGGGCACGATTTTTCTATTGAATTGAAAGTTTCAGACTCACAAAGAAGTTTGGTCAGGTTTCGAAGTTGAGACAGCTTTCCAAAAGGGGGAAAGAGTGGGAAACAGATTAGTTACATTATCTTATATATTTACTAGCAATAGCCAACCAAGTCAACTTACTTCAAGAAAACATTCTGCATACGTGTTTATCTAGTTGACATTTGCACTCATTTCATTACAAAGAACTATTTTCTATCATTTGCGTTTATTGTTCTCTTAAAATTTCATAAAACCTTTGGATCTATTTGATCTATCTTTCTCACTATAGAATCATGGGGTTAAGAATGTGCTAAACAAACGAGCAAACAAAAAGAATGAGAAAAATAAATACAGCCTAGTTTTATCCAGTTAAATCATGTCCATTCCTCACAAAATTAAAAACAAAGCAGTTTATGATAAAGCAATTCCACTTCTCATTATTAACTCAGAGAATTAAAAGCAGTATCCTGAAGACATATTTGCATACACATGTTCACAACAGCATTATTCACAATAGCCAAGAGGTGGAAATAGCTCAAGAAAAATTCAATCTGATGCCATTTGCATGAGATGCTTTAAGTACTCAAACTCATAGACACAGAGAATAGAATGCTGGCTGCCCTGGGCCTGGGAGGAGTGTAGAGGGAGTTGTTGAATTACAAGATGAAAACATTTCTGGAGCTTAATTTCATAACACTGTGAATGTATTTAACACAGATGAACTTACATTGAAAAATGACTAAGATTTAAACATTGCTATGTATCATCACAATTTAAAAAAATTAAGTGGAAAAAAAAAAAACAGAAAAAAGTGTGCAATCCCATCCAACCACATTCAAATATGAGCAGGAATGTGTTTGGTTTCTCAGAAGTAGCTGCACACTTATCATTGATGTTATCTTTTTTCTGTCCTGTTGTATATTGAGGGAAACTAGGTGCTTTTGTCCTAGGGAAGTGCTTAAAAGACCTTAAATATCCCAAACTCATAGGAAAAGGGGGAAATAGAAACAAAATAATTTTCTATTCTGTCAACTATATTCCTCTCTCTGGTTCACTATTATCTGTGTATTCTAAGACTATATTTCCAAGTCATACATCTTGGGGGGGAAATATGCCTCTAGAAAACCAATTCTGCTGTGTTTAGAAGCTACCCTAGAGCTATTCCCTTTAAGAAGGTAAAACAATTGGAACAATGTCTGAAGAAGCATATTTTTGTGTCCTTCATTGCAGCTCAGTATCCAATCAGAAGTTACATTTTGACAGAAATGAAATATTTTATAGTATAGACATGTGTTTTGGAATATCATTTTCCATATAACAAGATTTATTTAATGACAGGTTTATAATAATCACCCAGAGGGGTAGCAATTAATCATTTATCATCTTAGCAAATATCATCATTCTATTTTTCACTCTATTTAATATTATACTTGACTTCTGACTTTAAACTATCTAAGATCACTTTATATGTTCAGAAATTCTACTTACTGGTCTTATGGCTATGAGAAATTTTTCACCCTGGAATAGACCAAATCATTTTACCCAGCTGGAACCATGTTGATTACTCTATTCCTTCCTTTGGTTTTCAAAATATTAGATATAATTAAACCTCTAACAAACAGAGCCAAGCCTTGATAATACATTTTTCATGAATTTTCTTTTGGTTCTTTCTTAAACAAGAGGATAAATACTGTTGACTCAATATTTGCTTTCATTGAACTTAGAGGGTATAGTACATTTGAACTATTTTTACCTAGTGAGGCTGGAATTTTTTTTTTTGAAAATTTGATAAACATGTGTGTGAAACTAGTAAAGTTAGATGCCGTTTAGTCTTGGATTGATGAGATAAAATTTATAGAAAGAAAAATTAGCAATCTAGCTACACTACTAAAATAGATTTAGGTTTCAGCAACAACAAAATATTTCAAAGTTGATAACACAGGCCGGTGAGGCGGCTCAATAGGCTAATCCTCCGCCTGCGGCGCTGGCACCCCGGGGTTCTAATCCTAGTTGGGGCACTAGATTCTGCCCCGGTGGCTCCTCTTCCTGTCCAGCTCTCTGCTGTGGCCCGGGAGTGCAGTGGAGGATGGCCTAAGTCCTTGGGTCCTGCACCCACATGGGAGACCAGGGGAAGCACCTGGCTCCTGGCTTCGGATCAGCGCAGTGCGCAGGCTGCAGTGGCCATTGGTGGGTGAACCAATGGAAAAAGGAAGACCTTACTCTCTGTTCTCTCTCTCACTGTCCACTATGCCTGTCAAAAAAAAAAAAAAGTTGCTAACAGACTTCATTGAGGAGTACATCCACCATCAAGCAACATTATGGTACTTTAGTATTTGTCATTATTTGCTATTATACTAAAAGCAAAACAAGAGTTCTTCCAAAAGTTTTTGGAAAATATATACTATTAAAAAACTGGATGGGAATGGACATTTGGACAATCAAGACATCACTTGGGATGCCCACATGCCATAACAGAGTCCTAGGTTCGAGTCCTTGGATTCAATTCCTGGTTCTATTTCCAACCGAGCTTCTTTATATGTGTACCCTGGCAGGCAGCAGGTGATGGCTCAAATACTTGATTCCTGGGGCTGGCACCGCAGCACAGAAGGTTAATCCTCCACCTGTGGTGCTGGCATCCCATATGGGCACCAGCTTGAGTGCCGGCTGCTTCTCTTCCAATCCAGCTCTCTGCTATGGCCTGGGAAAGCAGCAGAAGATGGTGCAAGTGCTTGGGCCCCTGAACCCACGTAAGTGACCATAAGGAGCTCCTGGCCCCTGGCTTTGCAGCTATTTTGGGAGTTAACCAGTGGATGGAAGAACTTTCTCTCCTTCTCTCCCTCTCTCTTTTTGTAACCCTAATAAATAAAATCTTTAAAAAGAAATTTGGGTCCAAGCCACCTATGTAGGAAAATCCAGATTGAGTTCCAGGTACCTGGTTTTGGCCTGGCCCAGTCTAGCTGTTGTGGGACTTGAACCTGTGGTGTGTATATTTATGTGTGTGTGTGTTCCTTTCAAATAAAAAAAGAAAGAGAAATTAAGAAAAAAAAGAATTATGCAAGCATTTCAAAAATTTTTGCACCAAAATAACCTTATCTTCTAATTTCATTTTACATGAACTTTTTAAAATACCCTTGTATATGCATTCAACTTTTAGAAGCTTCAAGAATCATTGATAATCAATATAAATTCAGCAAATTGTACTTATATGTCAACTTCAGATACAGATTTGCAAAAACCTCAGATAGAGATCGTATCTCCTTTATCACAAGCAAGGACTCAGTCCTAAAACTCAGCAATGACCCATAACTAATTCCATTTCCAGCTATGATAGAACTGTCAAGTCCCTAGTGGTTTCTAAATGCATCTTGAGTGAACATTTGGCCTAGTGGTTAAGAAGCCTGTTAGGGGGGCCAGCACTGTGGTATAGCGGGTAAAGACACCACCTGTAGCTCCAGTATCCCATGTGTACACCAGTTTGAGTCCCAGCTGCTCCACTCCCTATCCAGATCCGTGATAATATGCCTGGGAAAGCAGCAGAAGATGGCACAAGTTGCTTGGGTCCCTGCACCCACATGGAAGACCTAGAAGAAGCTCCTGGCTCCTGGCTTTTTACCAGCCCAGCTCTAGCTGGGGAGTGAACCACTGGATGGAAGATTTCTCTCACTCTCGCTCTCTCACTCTGTGTGTGTGTGTGTCTTTCTTTCTTGCTCTCTCTAAATTCTGCTTTTCAAATAAATAAATAAGTCTTTAAAAAAATAAAAGAAAAAGAAGCCTGATGGGATGCCTGCACTCCATATCAGAATGCCTGGGTTTGAGACCTAGCTGTTCCCAATTCTAGCTTCCTGCTAATGCACACTATGGGAGGCAGCAAGTAATACCTCAAATAGGTAAGTCCTTGCCACCCATATGGGAAATCTAGACTGAGTTTTCGGTTCCCAGCTTTGGTCTGGCCCAACCCTGATTATTATGAGTATCTGGGGAGTGAATCCCCAGGTCTGTCTCTCTGTCTAGCACTATGTTTCTCCTTTTCTCTCTGCCTCTCAAATAAATAATTTTAAAAAAAATGTAGCTAAATCAAAATTCCATGTGACATGACCATGAAGATCTCAAAATATTATAGCCATAAGTTGACAAAAACAGCAATACTCTTGGGCTCTTGATGGGTAAATAGAGCAGGAAGGGGTCTATTTAATAATTTAAAGGTAATGTGTTATCTTTATTTCAGCCTGATATAGAGAACATCTATTTTATGCAGAGTTCCCCAATCAGGAAGTTATCTTCCTCACCAAAGGACTAGAAAGAAAAAGAGAGAAAATAGAACAGAAGGAAGGGAGAGGACACACCATCTCAAGAAAAGCAGAATTTTCTAGTCTGAGTTAGACCAGAAAACTGGAAAACCTTGGGAAAAGTCACCATTGGATGCAGACATTTTGAATTTTGGAGTCTAACCTGCTCTCTTAGGAATCCCATGAATAAAGTTTTAGAATGGATAGGCCCTAACTATCACTATTAACACACTGGTTCCTAGATTGGGCAAAGCAGAAAAGTAAACAACTCTCTAAGTGTAAAACTATACCTTTTTTTCTTTTAATGATATGTATTAAGGATTTCCCATATGTTGAACTCTAAACCAGATCCTGCAGATCAAGTGGCAAATGGATAGACCAGGCAATGTTCACAGTGAGCATGGCTCAGGACTAAATGGGTTCTGTCAATTTCAAATAGCAGCCATGCTTGTGGTAAGTGATGACATATTTTCAACTCAAGAGAAAAGATTTGTAGTTTATTTTCATTTCCATGACTTCTAGGACTTTTTTTATAACATATGCATTATACTCAAATTGTGGATTATTTATTAAATTATTGCTAGCCCCATTCCATTAGTATAAATGGCTGCGAATGTATTGTTTCCATTTCCCTAGAGTATGCTGTGTGCTGACTGGTTACTTGGCAAGTTGAGAACTACAATGCGTAATTGCCTAGGAAGTACAAGTACCCCATTGGTGCTCCACTTTAGCACCCTCATTTGTTCTTACATTCATGAATCAAACCTTAAACTACTAATGTAAGCATTAGAGATGAGGAGGGTGAGATTTCATTGGAGTTTACACTCAAGTGTGGGAAACAGATCCTACTTATATGACAAACTACAATGCCAGGTAATGAGTTCCAAAGGCCAGAAATTTCACTGCCATTAAAGAGTCCTACTTCCTTTTGTCACACATCCCTGGATTCCATGTTGGTCAATTAGCCTCCCTATTTCACTCTAGAAATTCTCTCCTCCTATGTTCTGCCACAGCCCACTTGGCTTTTCTTCGATTTTATCTCCATAACTCTCCCTCAGTGATCTATTTGTAAAATGTAGATTTCACCTTCTTCAGATTCACAACTTTTGAAATCAAATTCCAATTCCTTGGCTAAGCAGAGGTCTTCAGGACCTATGCTCAGCTTCCCACTGCAGCCGCTTTTCCGGCACCAGCTGAACACATGGACTCCAAGTAACATATCTGTCTTTCAGATTCACGTCTCAGACTTTCTACAAATACAGACCTCTACTCTGGAATGCCCAACTCTAAACCAATCCAACAAAGCCTTGAAAACGTTAAGACTTAGTATTATCTCTACAAAATTCTGTCTCTCCACTTTCATATCCTATAATCTGAGTTAGATATCCCACATCCATACAGAGAATACTGTCCCTCCACATATCACAACACTTATCTCTCTGTATTATCTTTTTCATCTCCGACATTGGACTGGTTATAAGCACTTTGGGGTTCAAGATTATATCCTATAGATAAATAGATTAGTATTATGAAAGTACAAATGATGGATGGAAAGAATAAGTGGATAAATATTACAGAAGCACAGATAACAAAATCTTTATCTTGGCTGAGGAAATGGGGAAAAGGTGATACTGTAATATTATAGAAGGAGTGACATTTAAAGCTGTCTTGAAGGTTGAATAGAATTTTGCATATGAATGCATAGATTCCTTTGATTTGCACAAATTAAGATAATGCTAAAATAAGTACATTAGAAATTTTGATTCATGTAGAAAACTATGGCCAAAATGTAGGTAATCTAACTAGCATATTTATTTGTAATATACATGGACATAATGTTTTTTGCATGCCTGCTTAATTATACCATGTTGACTATGCAGCAAATCATCTTGCTTGCCCTGAATAAACCAGATCTAATTTTACTTTATCCCAGCTACATAAATCCAATTAAACTGCTGTTCTTACCAGAAAAGCTGCTTCCAAAACTTAATAGGGTTATTTAAGAAATGAAGTAAATTTCAAGATAACCTGTATACTGTACGTATGAGCTAAACAAAGAATAATAGACAAATAAGCATGGATCAATTCAAGCTTCAGAGCTCAAATTTTTTGGAAGGGGTCACTTGTTCTCCCTTTGTTCAATGTCATATATTTTAACATATTAATTTCTATCTCTGACAACAACAAAAATAGAGTCAATTTTTTAAGATTTTTGTATGCTGTGGAGTCTAAAACATTAGCTTTCAAATCTACTTTTATAGTTTTAAAAAGACATCCAAAATTAGAAATCATATGATGAATCTTTTTGCAAATTAAGAAGCTTAATAAGATACCATCTTACCAGCTATTTCTTTTATAAGTACTTACTACAAATAGTCCCGTGGTCATTTCATATAGAGATCTCTGATGACTAAAGGCAAAATTAAACATATAATAACTAATACTTTCTTACCCTTTTTCCAGCATATGCCTAGAGTCAAAATAGGACCATTATTTACAAAGATCAGATGCAAAATGTAAAGTATATCTTGCCAAATGATTACAGAAAATGAAGAAGTATATTTTTCTCTTTCATGTCTTACTTTTGATTTTAGGACTTCAGGAACTGAAGGGAAGTAATCCTCATAGGAACTATTTTGAAGAAAAGATTTTTTAAATCGAATTGTGGATTGCAGGAGTCTTAGATTTTCTGTAAAGGAAGAGAGAAGAATTACCTTAAATGAATTAAAGTTCACTTAGGAAACTCATTTTAAAAGATTTTTTAAATTTATTTTACTTGTGGCCGGCGCCGCGGCTCACTAGGCTAATCCTCCGCCTAGCGGCGCCGGCACACCAGGTTCTAGTCCCCGTCGGGGCGCCGGATTCTGTCCCGGTTGCCCCTCTTCCAGGCCAGCTCTCTGCTGTGGCCAGGGAGTGCAGTGGAGGATGGCCCAGGTGCTTGGGCCCTGCACCCCATGGGAGACCAGGAAAAGCACCTGGCTCCTGGCTCCTGCCATCGGATCAGCGCGGTGCGCTGGCCGCAGCGCGCCGGCCGCGGCGGCCATTGGAGGGTGAACCAACGGCAAAGGAAGACCTTTCTCTCTCTCTCTCTCTCTCACTGTCCACTCTGCCTGTCAAAAAATAAAAAAATAAAAAAAAAAAAGATAAAAAAAAATTTATTTTACTTGAAAGAGTTACACAGAGAGAAAAGGAGAGGCAGAGAGAGAGAGAGAGAGTTCTTGCGTCAGATGGTTCACTCCCCAGATGGTCGCATCGGCTGGAGTTGCGCCAATCTGAAGCCAGGAGCCAGGAGCTTCTTCCAGGTCTCCCACACGGGTGCAGGGGCCCAAGGGCTTGGGCCATCTTGTATTGCTTTCCCAGGCCATAGCAGTGAGCTGGATGGGAAATGGAGCAGCCAGAACTAGAACCTGCACCCATATGGGATGCTAGCGCTTCAGGCCAGGACGTTAACCCGCTGCGCCACAGCGCTGGCCCCAGGAATCTCATTTTAAAAACACTGTTGGGGCTGGCACTGTGGTGTAGAAGGTCAAGCCTCCACCTGCAGTGTCAGCATCGCACATAGGCGCCGGTTCCCATCCTGGCTGCTCCACTGTTGATCCAGCTGCTTGCTAATGTTCCTGGGAAGCAGTGGAGAATGTTTCAAGTGTTTGGGCCCCTGCACCCATGTGAGAGACCCAGAAAAAGCTTCTGGATTCTTGCTTCCAACCAGCCCTGTTCCAGTCAATGAGGAGTGAACCAGTACATGAAAAAGCAATCTCTCTCTCTCTCTCTCTCTACTTTCAAATACATAAATAAACTTAAACTGACAGATCAAAAAAGACACATGTATATTGATTTATCATTATTTTTCCTAAGATAATAGCCTCATTCAATACAAAGACAAAAAATTAATCTTTCCTTGAACTATGGGAACTATAGAGTTCATTACCTTAAAATATTCATAGATATTCTGCTTAGAGATAAAAATATCCATAAGCAAAAGTGTTACACAGTTCTAGCTTTTTGTAAACTGCATGTGCTTTCATGTCTGACTTTTGAACATACTGTAAATTGAAGTGTTCTGGGGAGAATAGGTTATACAATCATTGCGATGTAAAGATGCCCTTCCAACTTTGATTAATTCGTGCCTAGTCAAAAAAGACCATGTTTCAGTATTCACTGTGCTATTTATTTTTGCCATTAAGTGTCAAAAAGCTATTTTGGTGTAGGAAAAAAAGAATGTGTTTCTCCTAAAAATGTGAGCAATAGATGTTCTTTTAAAAAAGAAACATTTGATTAAATGTGATCTTCATGGTCGCCCATGTAGGCAGAAAATTGAAAATAAAATGTAAGAGTAGAAAGTGAAAATAGTCTGCTACAGAATTACCTTTGTTTATAGAATTTGCATCTGCTTGTGGAACTCTGTATTATCATTCTTCATTAGTTCTTAACAACTAAGATTATTAAGGGCATAGAAAATGTCATGAAGGGTTATGTGAATCGCTAATGACTCTGGACACTTGGAAAGTTTGTCCAGGTGCCCATTATCACATTTTCCATTATATGGCCATTGTATAGTAAAGTTTCTGCATGTGCTAGCAACAGCAGAGAAAAATATATCATAGCATGATTAGATAGTCTTTTTATATACCCAGTCACCAAACTAAATCTGAGGGATATGGGTACTAAGTAGTTTTTTTAATCCTTTTTCCAACAAATACCTTAAAAAATTACCACTTTTAGAATAGAATTAGAAATGATGAGCAGTTTTACTGTTTAGAAAAGTATTACCTTCTGATCCCTTGGCCAAATTGTCAGTGACATTTCTCACACATGCCAAATAAGGAAGATAAGGACTATTTGCCGATATATTTAAGAGAGAATCTTCAAAGTTCTCCAGGATCAGAAGCCTGTAGAATTAGAAAAGAACATATCAATTAAACCATATATGCAGTACACATATAAAATAAAGCAAAACTATTTTGTTGACCTTATTTTTACCCCTGGTTGTTTGGTATGGGTTGACGTACCCATCAAAATACTGTAAATTTGGACATGTTTCCTCATCAAGACCAACTGTACCATGCCAGCACCACTCTGGATCCTTTGTGCATTTGCCTTTTCTATGTGCTGTCAAAATCGTTAGTCATTTTAGTATCAATTCAGAAGTGACCTTGAGATCATTTCTAGGCATAGTTATATGAAAGAAAAAACACCACAAGGCTAGCAATCCCCAAATACAGGATTCTTAGTTACAGTTGAATTATTGATAAACAATAATTAATTTTCTACTATAAAGGCATTCTACGAGTCTTGTCAGCTCTTCTTTTCTTTTTTCTAAATCTGGAAAATCCCTCCTGGGCCTCAGTTTCTTCCTCTGTCCAATGAGAGGAAGCAGCCTGAATGATCTATCTATCACATCTGATGACTATATTTAAATGTACTTCATTGCGAGGAAAAGGAAATGGTTCAATCCAATTAATCAATGTAAGTTCTTTTTTCCTCCAAGCAATTTAGTGTTATCAAGTTAACTACTTTCTGGCTTTCTTTCTCAATAACTGCCAGGTAAGAACACAGCCTAATTTTTTTATCCAACCAATTTTGTGTTCCAAAGTCAGCTACTTGCTGGTTTCCTGTCACGTAGAATGGCGTGTAAGAATGCAATCTAAGACTTCTGAGGTGTGTGCATGTTTCTGTTCTATGTGCCCTGTCACTTTGACTGTGAGGTTGCCTCTGTAGTTATTTTCTAAGTTCTTTCCTTAGTGTCTACTACTGAATTTCATATACCATAAACATGGAATAAATGGCAAAGGTTGATTTGAGAGCCATCTGCTTTTAATCAACCTGTGCAGTACACAAATTAACTAGTCCTGGGGCCAGCGCTATGGCATAGTGGATAAAGCCACTGCTGTCGGGTTGGCTTCTCATATGGACACCAATTCAAGTCCAAGCTGTACCACTTCTAATCCAGCTCTCTGCTATGGCCTGGGAAAGCAATGCAAGATGGCCCAAGTGCTTAGGCCTCTGCATCTGCATGGGAAGACCCAGAGGAAGCTCCTGGCTTCTGGCTTTGGATTGGTGTATTTCTGACCTTTGCGGCCAATTGGAGAGTGAACTATTGGATGGAAGATCTCTCTCTCTCTCTCTCTCTTTCTCTCTCTCTCTAACTCTGACTTTCAAATAAATAAATAAATCTTTAAAAAAAAAAGTACTGAATTCTTCCTAATAAAATTTCAGCTCCCTGTCAGCCTCAAACTGCATTTGCTGTGGTATCTGCAGACCTGGAGCACTAGAATTAGAAATGCTGGGATGCCTTTAGGTTCTGATAAAGATAACTGGCATCAGCAATAAGCATTCAGTTGTCTCAGTTTTAAAGAGTTCTTTAAACTTATCATTTTCAATAGCTGTGTTTAAAAGACTTGACTATAGGGGAGGGGGAGAATACAGCATTGTGGTATAGCAGGTAATGTCATCACCTATGACATGGACATCTCATATGGGTACCTGTTGGAGTCACAACTGCTCCATATCTGATCCAGCTCCCTGCTAATGGCCTGGGAAAAGAAGCCAAAGATGGCCCAAGTTTTTAAGCCCCTGCTACCCTTGTAACAGACCTAAATGAGGCTCCTGGTTCCTGGCTTTGGCCTGGCCCAGCCCTGGCTGTCGTGACTATCTGGGAGCAATCCAATGGATGAAAGATCTCTCTGTCTCTCCCTCTCTCTCTCTGTAACTCTACTTTCAAATAAATAACTAAATAAATCTTTAAAAGATTTGACTATCTGGTACATAGCAATCTGGCTCCATCAGTCACCTTAGAGGAGTGAGGTGGCAGCAGAAATAAGATATTCAGAGTTTGCCAAGAACTTACTCAAGGTTGAGGATTTCTCACTAAATAATAGAAAATTTATAAACTACATTGATCCTAGTTTTGGAAAAAGAAACAAATGGTTAAAACTAAGTCCTATTCTGTTTTTATTTGTACAAATTTACATTTGCACAAAAATGTATTCTTTGAAATTAAAGTCAGAATTTCAATACTGTAATTTATCAGACTAAAGCAATCTTTACCTCTCAGGCCAGCTAGTCTGTATAATTGCCTTGAACTACAGGAATTTTCCTCAATCAGCTCCTACAGGCAACTGCTTGCATTTTCTACCATAATTATTAGTTACTTCACTAATCTGCTTACATTAATGGTCAATAGACACCAAGATTACTGCTGTCATTTACATTGTCTGTTCCTGGGAATTTATATGTTACAATAAAAGTCCAAAATTAAATTACCAATAAGCAGTTTTGCCTACCTGAGTATCACTGAAAGCAAGCAAATTTCCCATTATTTTCGTTAAGTATAAGAAATGTTTTGATTCTTTGAAAATCAAAAGAAATAGTAATGTGAAACATTAAATGCTTCTGTAGTGTGAATGTTTGGTATCCTCCCATAAAATCTGTATGTTAAAATCCTAACCCCCAAGATTATATTATATGTAAATTAGGAGGTGGCACTTTTGGGGGATGATCATGTAATGAGGAGAGAATTCTCATGAACAGGATTAGGGCCCTTGTGGAAAAGGTTGCACTGGGCTGCCTGACCCCTTCTACCCTGTGGCACACACAATGATGAGGTGTCTCTCTATGCCAAACTGTGGGCCCTCATCAGACACCAAGTTTGCTGATATCTTTTTCTTTGACTTGTCAGCCTCCAGAACTGTGAAAGATAAATTTTTATGGTTTAGAAGCCATGCAGTTTAAGGTAATTTGTTACAGCAGTTTAAACTAAGACAGAAGCTTATATATTTTTTCTTGGAGAAAGACCTTAAAGAGTGGAAACTGGACCCTCCAGCTAGAATCTCCTCAAAGGCATAAGGCAACCAACACAACATGACACATTAGATTTTATTATGCAATCTTAGATCTGAAAGAGATCCACATTATATTATCTGAAAGTCTTAACTTTACACTTCAATGGTGCCCTTTCCTTTGGTCAACCAATAGTTGATTTCTCTATTCCATGATTTTATATATTTATAAGATACCTTATCATTTATGAACTGTTTTAATTGCTAGTTTGGCCAAGTTACCCACCAGTTGAGACACAAAACTTACTGTGCAGCCAGACTGCTTGGAGAGAGTATCTGCTCATCATCTTCATTCCACACATGTGTTGTGTTAACAGAGCCACCTAAAGTAATTATATTTATATCAGTTAACATTTAGTGTATTTGCTTAGATAATTTCTCTCAGAAAAAAACATCCCAGACCAAATTAATGGGGAAAAATACAGAAAATATGACGAGTTATCTTGAAAGAATTTGACAAATGTTGTCTATGCTTTTTTGTTGGAATTATTTAGGATATTTATAGAAAATTGATGCCTACCAATCAAATAATCCAAATGGGAGGCCAGCATTGTAGTACAGGGTATTTGAGTCCTGGCTGTTCTGCTTCCAACTCAACTTCCTGCCAATGTGCTTGAGAAAGCAGTGGATGATGGCTCAAGTGTTTGGGACCCTGCAATCTATGTGGGAGACTCAGAATTCCTGGCTGCTGGTTTCTACCTGGCCCAGTCCTGGCTCTTAGGGCCATTTGGGAAATGAACTAGCAAATGGAAGATCTTGATGTCTCTCTCTCCTTCATTCTCTCCCTTCCTTACTCTCTAAACCTCCACCTCTCAAATAAATAAATCTTTTTAAAAAATCTAGATGGTTAAGCACATGGATTTCTAACAAATCCTTTCTTTTTGCATCAAATCAATATATTATTTTACCCTATAACTTGTATGCATATCCGACAAATACTATATAAAAATTGACTACTACATTATTTGTCAAACTAATGCAGCCAATTTCAGTCTTATGGGTCACTGGATTTTTCTTTCCTTCATTTGTTTAGAATGTAGTTTTAGGGAGCTTCTGCCATCTATATTTCCTATCTTTCAAATGCACCCACCGATCTCCACTGAATGCAGCCATGAATGCAAACTGGATAATGTTAGCAGAATTGTTCTGTGTGATCTCAAATAACATAAATGTGCAGAGTGTAGTAGGCAATCAGTAAGTTGAGTTTAATGGAAACCATATGTGAAGATCTAATTCCACATTGTGAGTTGTCTCTAAGTTAAATAGGTCACTGACTCAGCTAGCTGCATTAGGTTGTGTCATAAAATGTGTGCAACAGCATTCACATGAAAAATTGAAAATGAGCGTGCTTTAGATGGCCACTGCACAAATAAAACACTACAAGGGCCGGCGCCGTGGCTCAATAGGCTAATCCTCCACCTTGCGGCGTCGGCACACCGGGTTCTAGTCCCGGTCGGGGCGCCGGATTCTGTCCCGGTTGCCCCTCTTCCAGGCCAGCTCTCTGCTATGGCCAGGGAGTGCAGTGGAGGATGGCCCAGGTGCTTGGGCCCTGCACCCCATGGGAGACCAGGAAAAGCACCTGGATCCTGGCTCCTGCCATCGGATCAGCGCGGTGCGCCGGCTGCAGCGGCAGCCATTGGAGGGTGAACCAACGGCAAAGGAAGACCTTTCTCTCTCTCTGTCTCTCTCTCTCACTGTCCACTCTGCCTGTCAAAAATTAAAAAAAAAAAAAAGAAAAAAAAAAAAAAAAAACAAATACACAAAACCAATGCTTTCATTCAGCTCCTTTATGGAAATGGTATTATTTGTTTCAGTCTTCCCTTCAGACACTACTCATTCCTTGTAAATAAGCTAGTACTTTTCAGTGCTGTCATTTTAAATTTTGGCCTAATCACTTTCAATGGAATATTTTACCACCAGCTTTAATAGTTCTTCTGTTGTCACTAGTTAGTGCTTCCCTAAAACTTTTCCTAAAACTCTTAGCACAAAATTATGTCATCACCCACTTTTCTGTTACCGATTATTTATTTTATTTTGGTTAATATGTGCATTAAGTAGATTATGCTAGAATTAAACATCTCCTTGTATACCTTCTGTATCAGTCATATTTATATGTTTTTTGTGCAGCCCCTGGTAACTGTCAGAACTGATTTTTCAGTTTTCCAAGTCAGGAGAATAAAGTTTCCTATACTCTGCTCAAAGTGGCTGAAAATTACATGAGTGAGTTAAAGGGTCAAGCATGAAGATGCTTAGAATAAATAAAGCTAATTAATAAGAGAAACACCTATTACTTATTGGTATCCATACATAGAATAACCAAGAATAGAAATCTACTGAGATTTGTGCTATTACAATGTCAAAGTGTATAAAATTGTTTTTCCAAGATCAAATCATTGCCCACTTTGAAATCCTATGGGATGCTGAGTGAGTTAATTGGCATTTGTATACTCTATGGCTATGCAGTTTCTCTTTTTCATCAAGCTATTAAAATGAGTGACTAATAGAAAATTAACTGTATATTATCAATGATAGACTTGACACTGAAGTTAAATAGGGACTTTTCCCTCTAGGCACTGAGGACTATAAAGTATTTTGGAAGAAATGTTTGTAATAAGCATCCCTTAATGGAAAGGACAATGTTACAGACTTTTTAAAAAGTGAGATTTCATTCCTTTTTTATTTGTAGAATTAGGCACCTTTAAAAATGGTTCCCAAAGACATCTAGTACACAGATAACCTTTTTCATCAGTAGGACTGGTTTATACTTAAAAAATGTAATTTCATGTAATTTGCTATTTGCAAAAGAGCAAATACTAATGAGTCACAGGGCCAATCTCTACTCCCAAAAGTCAATTTTTATAAGTGGAAATACTAGAGCTTATTAGCTTTGTAGCAGCAACCCTGGCTGGGGCAGAGCTGAGAACTGGATACCTTAAGACAGAAAATCAGGAGATAACCTTCTCTCGAAGTGCTGATTACGAGCTTCATATTTTTGTCATTGCCAAGCAAGCACCTGAAGCAACCTTGGGGTGTGTTGAGAACAGGTTGGATCAGAAATAGGAAAAATGGGGTGGGGAGGCTTGTAGAAATTAGAGTGTGACTCTTTTATTAATAAGGATTTAAAAAAATCAGTGTAGAGAAGACAAGGGATGGTTATGAAAAAATCTATGTGTGCAAAGGAGTGTGAGTGGCATGAGGAGGCAGCTTCCAGCAGTGGCTGAAAGGGGGAGCTGATCTGAGGCTGAACAGATACTTGTGCATTCCAGGGAGATGCCTTGGAATAGAGTGCATATGTGACCTGGGGAAAAAAATGTGAGAAGGTTCTCTAGAGAAAAGTATGAGGGACTGGCATTGGGGGAGGGAGATTCGGGTTCTAATCTCTGTTTGACTACTTGATAGATGTGTAACACAGGCAAAGTGCTCAGCCTCATATGCCTCAGTGTCTTTCTCTGCAAAATGGGATAATAACTGTATCTTGTGACGTTATTTTAATGTCAACTAAAGATAATTTATGATAACAAATTTTAAGATAATAAATAACCCATCTTGAATGCTAGTCATTAATTCCATAATTATGGATATAAGAATATTCTAGACTAGAAATTGGTGTCAAATGGTGTGTTCTCCACTGGGAATTCTTCAGCACTTCCACAAACCTCCAATTCATGTGAATTTAAAATAATAAAACACTAAGCATGACATACCAAGTACTCATTATTTTCTTTATTTAAAAAAGTAGTTTAAAACCTGCAAATTATCTTAACCCTGTCATACACTTGAGAAGGCCCAAGCAACTCTATTCTAAGATGCTACCCTACTCCAGCTTAACAGATATAAAAGCAGTGAAGAAAGTATGTTCAGTTCAAAAACATGGCTGATCACTTTGAACATTAAGCACCAGTGGCCTGGACACTGCAGAGATGCCCGTACTTTTAAAGTAGAATCACTTCCTCAGTTATCAATGGCAGTTTGAATTCCCTAAAGGATTTCTGGAAATATCTTGGAGGATATTTTAAAAGCTACAAAATTCCACAGGTATGGGTTAATGACTTTTGAAAATACACAAAACATAAAAGCAAAAAGAGAAGCAAAAAAAAAATGGTAAGTACAACCAATTTTACAGGTAAAATACATGTATTCCCTTGTCATCTTGACCATATGATAACATGTTTTAATACTTGTGAAGGTTATTAGTATATTCACAGACATAAGACATGGCCATTATTAAATACTGAAAACTGAGTTGTCTGTTCACCAGAAAACTGGCTTTTGTTGCCTACTTAATAAGAAGCACTGCTTACTTCCCTGGTTTCTAAGACATTGATGAGCTTTTGTCCTTTATTTAAAAAAATAACTTTTCCATTTCATACTTATTATAAGGTATACATCTGAAGATAAAAAAGAAAAGAATAGGAAGAAAAAATAAATTTCTCAAATCTTTAAATGCAAATATAAAAAATTACCTGCTGGTGACATAATTAGCATTAGCATTTGTTAGTGCACTGTCTGGTATTCTGCCTTTTTTTTTTTTTTTTTTTGACAGGCAGAGTAGATAGTGAGAGAGAGAGACAGAGAGAAAGGTCTTCCTTTTGCCATTGGTTCACCCTCCAATGGCCGCCACAGCTGGCGCGCTGCAGCAGGCACACCGCGCTGATCCGAAGGCAGGAGCTAGGTGCTTCTCCTGGTCTCCCATGGGGTGCAGGGCCCAAGCACTTGGGCCATCCTCCACTGCACTCCCTGGCCACAGCAGAGAGCTGGACTGGAAGAGGAGCAACCGGGACAGAATCTGGCGCCCCGACCGGGACTAGAACCCGGTGTGCTGGAGCCACTAGGTGGAGGATTAGCCTATTGAGCTGCAGTGCTGGCAGCCTTGATTTTTTTTTTTTTAAAGGTTAAACCTGCTTTTCTAATGTTCATCAAGACCATTAAATTTAACAATAATCAATCTTGAAAGTTAGTCATTAATTCCATAATTATAGATATAAAAATGTTCTAGACTAGAAATTGGTATCAAACAGTATAATGGACTCTCTAGTGGGAATTCTTCAAAGCTTCCACAAACCTCCTATTCATATGAAAATTGATATTTTAAGAAAATACAATGAACAATTAGCTTTTGAACAGATACCCTAGCTGTATGCTTATTTTGTAACACAAAAGCAAGAGTCTATGTATTTAAAAGCTGACAAACTCAATTGAGAAAGCATAATTCTAAATTAAGTCAAGGGTTGTAAATGTTAATCAAATGTTTTACTTGGGAAACAGGGATTTACTCCTTATATACCAAAACCTACGACTAGATGCATGGGTATGTGCACATGTGTGTTTCCACATGAGTGGTAGATAATGATATTCTACATACCCATAGGTAACATTTTTAACATCAGAATTTTATTATTTAAAATATCTTTTTTAAAAATATTAGACATCTTTGTGGGTACAATATATTTTAATGCTTTTATACAATGTATAAGGATCAATCAGGGTAGCAGCATTAAAGATGGCGTTGTCCAACTCAGAAGCCATGTGCTCTACTTTATCTCTCAAGGTAACAGTGGATTTATATTGAAATATTCATGTTCTTAGGGCCGTTATACATTTTCAAGATGGGGTGGTTGAGGAGTTTTGTTTTTTTTTTTTTTAATCAGAAGGGCAAAAGTTGGGAAATCAGGCAAAAAAAAAAAAAAACTACAATTCTTTCCATGCATTTGTTTGAAAAATCGTGGTGGACGTCTATTTGTTGAAATTTACTCCCTGATATTTATTTTCCATACCTAGTGTAAACAAATTTTAAAAGCTTTAGAGAGATCATTTTTACTAAGTGAAAACTCTAGAAAGTCAGTCTCTTTTCTGCCATTTCTCTTTTCCTCTACACTTTGATTAACAAGAAATTCATATTTATTTGTAGCACATATCCCCACCTAATAACATCATGTACATGTGATAAACTCAGTGGCACTCTGCTTTGTATTCCTAATGTGCTTTGTGACACTGAATTTAACACAGTAAGATGGAAATAGAATACCTTGAGCTGGGGAGTCCAGAGTGTACAGCAGATGTTTAACAGACTTCTGGACGGTTCTGAAGCCGTCATTAGTTTCAGCACGTGGGTAAACCTTCTGCACCATCAGCAGCACCCTAACAAGTAGAAAAACAATTTACACCAGATTGTGTTTGGGGGTTTACAGACAAAAACAAAAGGTTATTCAAGGAGAAAATAGCTACAGTATAGAAAAATTATTCTTATAGCATAAAGGACAAGATGCTGCTTTTGTAATTTAATTACTTGTTTGTCTGTTCATGCACAAAATCCCAAGAGAATGTTCATGAACCAGAACAGAGACGTTTTTGTTTCGAGGATTTTAAAGCCTCAAAGGCCTTGAAATAAGGGAGCAAACTTTCTTTTTTGGCTGTTAAGACTTAGAGTGCTTAGGAAATGCAACTTCCAATGAAAAGATACCTCTTTTTTAAAGAATAAAGGAATTAAATATTACAAATTATTTTCATTAAAAATCATGCCCATATAAGAGAGTCAGTTTCAGTTATAGCTAATATTTAAGTATTTGAAGAAAATTTATCTTATGCTAAACAAATAATAATGTTGTGGAGAAAAAATGGAGCTTGTGCCTTAATTAAAGATATCTATCCATCCTCTAAGTGGCCTGTGGGCTCTACTCCAGAGGTAGCTCAAAGTTAATATCCTTAATAATTGGCACTGTCTTCCTATGATTTTTATGTTACAAATCAGATGGTGCACTCTACACTGGGCATGGACAATCAGAAAATTCACTTATGCTGGAGTTCATTCTATATTTCCCAAAAGCAATTAATTACTTAGGAAAAGACTTTTTATGCCCTTATAGTCATTAGCACATTTTAAAAGAAATATTGTTATTGTATAAGCATGTCTTAATTTCATAAATACTGTGATTTATACCAACAATCAAGACTGAGTCAATGTTTTAATTAACTTGAGTAGTATCTAGAACTAAAGGATTTTGTTAACAATTTGTTATTGTGAAGTTAAATGCAATATGAATGGCCTAATAGTTTTTCCCTATCAAGTATCCTAGTAAGCTGAAAGCTTACTCCAGAAATATATAAAGTACATGTGTATACTTCCATGGTATTCTATAATATTGTTAACTCTTTAAGATCTAGATTAGGATCATTTTAATTTTAGCCCCCTATATATGAATAAAAGTGGTTTAGAGAGCTCAATGTTGAGAACCCTATGGGTAGTCTCTATTTTAATGTAAGGTTCACAAGTACATAGAGATGTGTGTGTAGGTTTATATAAACATATATAAATATGTGTATGCATATTTTTAAAATGCTTTTTCCTAATGATTTCATGGAGTCAATTTTACTGACTTGGTTTAAAAACAGCTGGGAAAACTAAAGTTCAAAGAAGTTAAGAAACTTGCTCAGAGTTGCTCAGGTAGAAATAAATAGTGCTATGGTCACATTTCAAAATGTGTGTTCTATGCACTGCACATGTTGCCTCTGGCACAGACACTCTGCCCACAATGGGATAGGAAGAGGAGGGCAGAACGTTTCTGCACAGAGCCTGCAGGCATTGTTAACTTACTGCCCCAGTTGTGTTGCCAATATTTAGCTATAGAGGCAGCGTGGTATTTTTTCATTTTTGCTTGTATGCACAACATTTGATAACACAGACACGCTTACTTCTGGCCCAAGAATCTTCTGCTTATCAGAAGTTTAGGTTGTTTCTGGTAAATCATGGAGACCATGGTTGTTTCTGGTAAACTACGGAGACCAGTTAAGCATTCTTAGGTTACAGATCTTGGCCAGCCTTTTCCCAGAGTGGTCCTATGCCTACCTCATCTGATCTGTTGTCCCAAAGTGACATGTTCAAAGACTGAACCCTTGACAACCTCATCAACACTATAGGCATTATTGTTCTTCATATGCTAATAAAATGTCAGCAGACTTAATTTCTCTTTTTCTAACAACACAAAAAATAATAGCTAGCCCTCATCCTTTTTGAAATACTTTGAATCAACATATATCTATTTTACTTTACAGATGTTTTTTCTGCTCTTTATCATGTAAAAATAAAAATTATAGAAAACAAGTTACTTTCTGAGATAATGTTTTGCAGAGTGAGCTTTCATTATTTATATCTCAGTCAAGTCTTTTCCTCAAGAAAGGTGAAATTCATATGTATTCTTTCATATATCCTTTTAGACTTCTGAGATCATTCATTTCTATTCATTTCTGTTGTAATCATAACATTACATTATCTGATGTTGATATGTAGTAAATCTATAGCTTATGCTTACAAAACAAGTTGTTAGAAGAAGGAAATTTCTACAGGGTACACTTGTAGTCTTTACTAGTTCAACAAAGTGCAAGATGAGCATGTAAGACCATTTATTTGGTGATAGAATAAGGTCATCTGTGAGGAAATTGTGGCTGTTAATGATACTGTCAGCTACTATGACCATAAAGAAGGAGAAAGAGAAATGGAAGAAGAAGAAGGAGGGAGAGGGAGAGTGGGAAGAGGGAAGATGAGGGGAGGAGGAAAAATCTGACCTTGACTGTTTACAGCTCTTGTCTCTACTATTGAGGAATAGTGTTTTTTTCATACTGTTTGTGGAATTCTTCACTTAGAGTAGGGTTAATCTTATGAGTATAAAGTAAACTGAAAAATGAATCTTTGTAAAAATTAAGAGCAAGCATAGGATTAAGACGGCAGAGAATGGAGAGAGCTTGCTGCTTGAGTCTAGGAGAAGATAATTTTAAAAAGTGGAAAGAATGCAGTCTCAGGGAAGAGTTACAGAGGAAACTCTACATAAATTGAAGGAACACAGTGGATGAAGTCATGCACAATGTAGGACCCCACCAGCTGAGAGCCTCTGCACCAGCGTTGGAGAGCAAGGTGAGACCAGACTGCAGTAGCCTAAGCCACTGGTGAAAAAACTGCAGGAAGAGCCTAGAGGGAATCTAGCTTCCAACCCTGTGGGGGATAGTGTACCCAGCAAACTAAAGGAAAAAAACAAAGAGGTGGACACATTTTCTCTCTGCAAAATCATCCTGTAACAAGCTGACAAAGGCACCATTTTGGACATTTTTGACAGAGAGCAGGTGCCAGCTCGGGTCTACATCCAGCAACTAGTCAAACAGAGACTTCTGAGTCTGGTGGGGAGGACAGGGGGCTGGGTGCTTGTGACTGTGGGAGGCTTGTGTGCTTGGACTGTGAAAACATTGAGGCTTTGTGGGAGGACTCAGGGTGTGGCTGGGGTGAGAGAAACACCAGATTACTTTCAGAGGATATCCAATTAGACTCACAGCAGACTTCTCATCAGAAACGCTACAGGCTAGGAGAGAATGACAAGTCTTAAGAGAAAAAAAAATGTCAGATAAGAATACTCTGCAAAGCTCTCATTTATGAATGAAGGTGAAATAAGGACCTCCCATGACAAACAGAAAATGAAAGAATTTGTCACCACCCATCCAGCACAGCAAAAGATGCTTTAAGGATGTGCTATACACAGAAATACAGAAATATAGTCATCACTGTGGAAGAAGGTAAAGGAAGGAGATCTCCCAGTAAAAGCACATAGGAAATCTGAAGTAAAAAATGGGAACATTTATGGAAAAATGGTAGCTCAAAATCATTACTTATCAATAGTCAACTTGAACGTAAATGGCCTCAACCATTTAAAAGGCACAGACTGGCTGAATGGATTAATAAACAAAACCCATCTATTTGCTACCTACAAGAAACACATCTCACAACAGACTGAAAGTGAAAGGATGGAAAAAGATATTACATGCCAACAGAAACCAAAAAAAAAAAAAAAAAAAAAAAGGGCTGGTGTAGCCATCCTAATATCAGACAAAATAGACTTTAACACAAAAATTGTTAAAAGAGACAAAGAAGGAAATTATGTAATGATTAAGGGATCAATTCAACAGGAAGAGATAACTATTATAAGTGTATATGTACCTAATTACCAGGTACCAGGCTATTTAAAATAAATGTAAAGGTATGTAAAGGGAGACATAGACTCCAGTACAATAGCAATGAGGGATTTTGATACCCCAGCAATGGGCAGAATAACCATACAGAAAATCAGCAAGGAAACAGCAGAGTTAATCGATACTATAGACCAAATGAATCTAACAGATATTTGCAAAACTTTTCATCCTACAATTGCAGAATATACATTCTTCTCACATCTGCATGGAACCTTATCTAGAATTGAACAAATGCTAGGCCATAAAATAAGTCTCAGCAAATTCAAAGAAATCGAAATCATACCATGCATCTTTTCAGACTACAATGTAATCATTGTGCTGAAAATCAGCAACTCAGGAATCTCTACAACATATGCAAACACATGGAGACTGAACAACATGCTCCTGAATGAACAGTGGGTCAATCAAAAGAGAAATAAAAAAATTTATGGAAACAAATGAAGATGACAATATAACATATCAAAACTTATGGGATACAGCAAAATTAGTGTTAGGAGGAAAGCTTACAGCAATTGGTGCCTACATCAAGAAATTGGAAAGGCACCAAATAAATGAGCTCTCAGTGCATCTCAAGGATCTAGAAAAACAATAGCAAACCAAACCAGAAATTAGTAGGAGAAAAGATATAATAAAATTAAAGAAGAAATCAACAAAATTGAAATAAAAAACAATGTAACAGAGAATCTAAAAGGAAACCTGCAAAAGTGAAATTGACACTATGAGAAGCAATGACTTGATCAGCCCTGTCCTGATTGTCAAGGAATCAATAAATAGTTTCTCACGCCAGGGGATTCCGATTCAATCCCATGAAGGTGGCATGTACCATTGCCATCTCACTAGTCCAAGTGATCAATTTCAGTTCACAATTGATCATAATAATAGGTCTAAGAGTCAAAAAGATCACATAAACAAGACTAGTGTCTGCTAAGACTATCTGATAGAATTAAGGAGAGAACGATCCAACATACACAGCAGACTCTTAGAATGGCAGATGCCCTAAACAGCACTCTGGCCTCAGAATTAGCCCTTAAGGCATTCGAATCTTGCTGAAGAGCCCATGAGAGTATTTTAGGCATGGAAAGCCAAGACACTCTAGCAAAAAAAAAAAAAAAAAAAAAAAAAACCTAAATGAAAGATCTCTGCGAGAGAGATCCCAGTAGAAAGAACAGGCCATGAAAGAAGGAGGTACCTTTCTCTGAAGGGAGGAGAGAACTTCCACTTTAACTATGACCTTGTTTAAATAAGATTAGAGTCAGCAAACTCAAAATGCTTCCATAGCCTTGGCAACTCATGATAAGAGCCTAGGGTGATTACTGATGCCATAAACAAGAGTGTCAATTTGTTAAGTCAACAACAAGAATCACTGTGCACTTACTCCTCATGTAGGATCTCTGTCCTTAATGTGTTGTACAATGTGAATTAACACTATAGCTAGTACTCAAACAGTACTTTACACTTTGTGTTTTGGTGTGGGTTCAAACTGTTGAAATCTTTACTTAATGTATGCTAAACTGATCTTCTGTATATAAAGAGAATTGAAAACAAATCTTGATGCAAATGGAATGGGAGAGGGAGTGGGAGATGGGAGGGTTGTGGGTGGGAGGGAAGTTATGGGGGGGGAAGCCATTGTAATTCATAAACTGTACTTTGGAAATTTACATTTATTAAATAAAAGTTAAAAAAATAGTTTCTCTAGGGGAAAAAGATTAAGAGCAAGAATAGGAGAGAGAGAGGAGGAAGAAGGTTGGGCGGGATGGTAGGATGGGAAATACACTATGTTCATAAATGTGTATATATGAAATACATGAAACTTGTGTGCCTTAAGTAATATTTTTTAAAAAAGCTTCAGAAGTCACAGCCTGTTTTCAATCATTCCTCTGCTTCTCCACACTTTCATTAACAAGAGAGCCACATGTATTCGTAGCATATGTCCCCACCTAGTAATAATATCCTTCATACATAGTAATTCCATTTGCACTCTGCTTTACATTTCTAATGGGCTTTGTGACACTGAATGTAATGCCCTGAAATGCAAATGTAATAGCTTGAGCTTGGGAGTGTAAACCCTTTAAAGGAATTTCTCTGGCAAATTTTTTTAAGTCTTTGTGACATTTGTGCCAAACAAAGCCAATCCAATATGTGGGCTTAGAAAGATCATTTGTAAGTTGGCTGCACATGAGAGAGGCCAATCCCCTAGAGATGGCTATGTGCAAAACTTTAGATAGCAGAATGCTTTATTATTGGATGACACAAACCAAAATCCATTGAGATATTTTATTCTTAGGCAGCTAAAATGCTAGATGCACAAAGCTCTCAGACTGTGCGGCTGCACCACAACTGCAGTCTACCATTGGCCCAGCTGTCCTCATTCTCAGAGGCTCTGGAACACCAACTATTGACACAACTGTTAGAATTACTGCTCGTCCTTACTTTCTCATGCTTCCTTAACACTGATGACCACAGTGTGTGTTGCCTCTGCTAAACAGATATACTGAGCTTCATTGCTAGAATCTATAATGAAGTGTTCATACACTATTTGCTCTGTATTTCAGTTATCTACAACAGTAAACCTCACAGGTAGATTTTTAAACAAAGCCTTCCTTGTGCACAATAATGTTCCATTTAATTCTTACATTTCTTACCCATTTGCCTTTTGAAGAACATCAAACAGATTGCTTAGCGATGTTTCATTCTGAAACACATTTGGAAAACTAGAGAGGAGCTGCCACACAGCTGTCTGCTCCTGCACTTGGGAGAAGAGGGACAGCACTCGGGCCATTTCCTGGAACACAAGCTTCTGATTGTTGGGGTCACTTGATATCTTACAAAATAAAACCACAGAGAGAACAAAGTGAGATTGTAGCATTTGTAATCACTCGGCTTACTCTCTGAAACCATCAACAATCTCACTTTTCCCATAAGCATAAGTTCTTAAAGATCTTCTTCACTCATTTCGAAGCCATCTTTTGCTTGGAAAAACTGTAACCATTTTCTAATGTTCTAAAAAATTACTAGATTTCTTCCCTACAGCTCCAAAAATCGGCATATTTATAGTTTGGCTAACAAAGCTATATTTACATGAAATATTTTGGAAACAAATTAATTTTGTAAAATAAAAAAAAATTTTTAGTGAAGTTTTTCTTTTTTCTTAGGACATAGTTTAGGAGTTACAGACATATCTTCCTTATATTTATTACTATACCTTATTTTATTTGGATAGAGAATATTTAAAACACACATAAACACATATAAAATGAACTGACAGACATAAAAATAGTATAGATATATTTATTTATGATAAATATAAACTTCAAAAAGTTCAAGAAAATAGAGTTAAAAGACAAGTTGGTACCAAAAAAAACTTGACATCCATGCATATTTTTTTAATACACACTTATCATGAGCTGTAAGACTCCTCATACATATTCATGAAAATATTTTCATTAGAATTACACATACTTAGTGCAATAAAATATTTCCAAATTTCCAAATCCCAGATTTCTATTGCAAAGCCAGGAACTTCAGTTATGAAGATTTCTAGTAAGGGAAATTATGCAGTTATTATACCCTTTGTTATGCAGAAACAAATAAACAAAAACCATGACTTTGGTCTTGCTCTGAATCATAGGATCCAGCTAGTACTTTTAGACATTTTTCTTCACTATACTCCCAACCAAAGCAATTTTCTTAATAAGTTCATCCATTCTAGCATGGATGAGCTTCGGTCTGCTTCGGTTCAATGACTTTCCATCTAAGAATGTGATTTTCAAGAATGTATTTTTGACCACACATTCTACTCCACATGACTGCCAATTTTTTTAAGTAGGGACTTTAAGTGCCCTACATTGCATTGGTGTTATTATAACATTGTCTTTAATCCAGTTCATGTGGAAAATCCAAATTCCTGAGGGGTATTTTAAGAATTCTGTTCTTAAAAATAATTACTTAAAATAAAATTCAGTGAATCAAGGGGGAAATATTAGAAACAGATGTTTCATTTTTTCCCATCTATAAAATTTTAAAAGAATTCTAAATATGTTTGTGGTCTTTCATTGTATGTGGTGTTTTATTAAATACAAGTTATTTGTATCATGTTTTCACCATTGTTATTTAAGACTAGCATATACAAATGACCACTAACATTCCATAAAAGAATGTTCTTTGTTCTAATTGAGTGTATAACATGTTTAGGAAAGAGTATTTTGTTTCAATAAAATTCAGCTTTTGAATTAATTTTGAAGTCAGAGAAAGAAAAAGAAATTATCCATTACTCTAACTTCCGATACTTATGTGGCTCTCATAGTGTAATTTTTAAACTTGCATTGCATCCTGAGTAACCTCACTTAAGGATCTCAGAGAAAGCAATCAGTCTTCATTCACTATGGAGCAAAGACATATTTCATCTACAAAGATTTCCCTACATTAACCATAATGCAATTGTTTGGTTTCAGTCTTGCACATTTAAATGATAAGTGGACATTAATTAATATTATGCATCATACACACATGTCTATGTGAGAAACATGTAAAAGGGGAGCAATTATTCGGTTGGCATTTTCCAGTGCACATGGACTTACTCTTTCACTCTTATGGATCCCAGAATGGAAGAGTTCACCTCTTCTACAGCTTATGAGACCCTGATCATATTAAGAGTTCTACACTCACCTGAGAGAACTGTTTGTTTAGTTCTTGAAGAGAAGACTCTAGAAGGGTCATGTTGGAAAAGCAAAATTTGTTAAAAACATTTTTTCCCACAGTGATCCAAGAGAAGGCATAATCCTCATTGTATCCTGGATGGCCCTTACACAGTTCTTTTCGTATGTCCTCTGAAGTTGAATTTTGCTTTAACAGCTAAAACAAATGTGAGAAGAGTTGGATAATGATGTTAGTAAATACAGGTGTTAAAATACTTTAGTCTTCAAAGAAATTGACCTATCTTCATGATAACTGCTTTAACGTGCCATATTATAGCAACTATTAATAAAAAGAAATACATTGAGCTTCCCAGGACACATTGAAGACATCATGTTTACTTGTGATAAATTCTTGTTGTTTTGATTTAAATTATTTGCATATGCTTTGTTTGTTTGAGTTCATTTCCTATGTCTCTGACTAGAAAATCTAAACGCATCAGGATTTTTTCAGACAAAAATTTTCATGCATGAAAATCTTCAGTTTTCCTGAGCACTGGGCAACAGAAAGTCAGGTGTCCTGATTCTTTGTTGTGCAACTGGCTATGACCATCAGAAAAGTCCTAGAAGAAGGAGTATCCAGGACTATTAGGATCAGTGGGATTTATTTCCAGAAGTGGACAATCATGGATTATATTTCATTATCAAAGTAGTTCCATTTAAGTCTTAAACAGAGAAGGAAAAACACATGTAAAATATATAATACATATATATTTGCTTATATACATAAGCAATTATTGGAAACCATTTTAAAAATGGATGCTAATCTCATTTATCTCAGAGTTGACACCTGTAATTGAAGCAGTACTATTTTCATCTTTAGTACTCATCATATTCATCATCATTCAGTTGTTAGGTATTTACAGAGTTCATTATATTTAACTGTAATACTTAAGAGGTCCTTCCTATTAATTCCTTCAGCCCTGTAAATGAGGACCAACTTCATCTTCCCCTTAAGTTTATGTCAGACAATCTATACCATGTCTTTCAGCCACTCCTAAATGTAATGGAATAAGACAGGATGCACTTATCTGGGATGCACTATAAGTGCTAGGTCTTATAGTTATTCATCCATATCTCTCTTCTAACACAACACATAAACTCGTCCCAAAATGATTTCTTGAATCATTCTTACAAGGGTTGCAGAAAGTAGTAAAAAGAAAGAGGAATCAGAGAGATTGCTGACATAGGTATCAATATGTCATCCTAATTTTTACATCCTTTCTTTGCTCCAACTACTCTAAAAATATATCCATATATATAAATTCATTTTTGGCTTATCTCCCCTGGTTATGTGGCTCTGCGCTGCTTCACAAAGTTCTAAAATGTCATTCCACATGAGAAAGAAAGCAGGGAAATTTCAATACAATCAAGTGGTATTTTTCAGAATTATATTGCTGTTCTAGATGCTAAAGAACTTATCTGATCCAATACAAGGCTGTCTTCTGGGAATAACATGAAAGACATAGATTGAATGGAATCACTTTACATATCCACCTGCTTGGAGAAGGCATGTTGGATGTTGTTTAAGAGGGTGATCAGATGACAAAAAAATCCATTGTTCTGTGCACTTACATGTATTTCTTGGTATGTATAGTGTATTTTAATAAAATATTTAAAAAATAAACCAGAAAAAAAGAATGGAATTAACTAGTCATACTGGGAGACTTTCCATGCTGGACAGGACTTTAGAGACCTCAATTATTATATACATTATACTTCCAATGTGTAGACTGTACTGAGTGGGAAAATCTTACATTCCTGCCAGCACTAGAGACAGAGGTGCATTGATGAATATATTGGCCTTCACTGGCATCCTTTTTGTGTTACTCTGTTCACATAACTCAGTTTATTGAGATGCCTTAGTTGTACAGAGCATTAAATCAAAGATAACTAGCAAATATTAAGCAGCAATGGTTACAGTTATTGGAATGTGAATAAAGGTCAGAGACATGTTTCATGGTTTATATGAAAGAACTGACAAATATGTGAGACCTAAATGTATTATTTAAAATTCTTGTGTGTGCACATGCATGGATGTATGTGAGTGTGTGTGTGTTTGAGAGAGACACACAGGGAGAGCAAGGGGAGGGTAGAGAAAGAGAAGAAAGAGCACATAAAGCAGGATTCAAATATCGATGAGGGGCAACCAAAGAACTGAAATACATACTAAATCTGTTCTCTTTATATTAATAAAACATTTGAAAAAAACCCTTAAATGTATGATGACTGTATAAACGACAATAAGGAGAAGTAGGAACCCTATTTAACTGAAGAATGCCTGTTCTGCCCTAAAAACATTCAAATCCAATTTCTTAGAAGACCCGTGTGTGTGTGTGTGTAAGTGTGTATATGTGTACACACACATACACATATCTCACAGGCTGCCAGTTCACACCTCTGATAGAAATTATGCTTACTATCTTGCAGTCTGGGAAATCTTAAACTGGATAATCACTAGGAAATAAAGAGAAATCCGTAGGTAAGCTCTTTAAAATATGCTAAGGAAAAGGATTTTCCTACTTAAGGGAGATATTTTGTGTAGTTCTATTTTTACCAAAAACATTATTAGCATGCATGAGATAGCAAGTTCAAAGACTGTGGTAGCTGCATTTGGTCTTTTATTTTCTTCCCTGCTTCAAAAAATTACAAGATCACATATAATGCCACCCTATTTCTTACTAAATTAAAACCTTAAGTTCAATTGAGAGACTTTACAGAAAAGTAAATAAATATCCAGGATTTTGAAGAATTCAGAATGTCTTAAAATTAAGCTGTTTATGGAAGAGTACCTAAGAAAAGGATCTGTTTGAGATATTAATCTAAATGGAATAGGTGCTCCAAACCTCTTCTAACTAGGAACATACTTGTATTAACATAAAAGTTATTTTTTCAACAACTTCCTATTATATTTCCATTACAGACTGAATACAGTTACCTTTTCCAAGCCAAGGATCCATGCAAGAACTTGACTGCCATTAAAAGTATCTGTTTCATAACTTTTCAAATCAGAACTTGGACTGGGGAATTTTGTGGCTATGAAAGAAAACAGATCAGTGTGCTAAGTGCATACAAAGAAATTGACAGGATCACATAATAAATCATACATATACATCACCTACATCCTTATGTATATCATATAGCAATGATATAGCCAAGATGCCTCTCACATGAAATGTTCATACTGACAAAATGGCAAATTCCATGGGTTTTTCATTTCACATAAAATTGTGAGGGTTTGGGTCTGCTCTTGTTTTTTTCCAATCATTTAGATGTCATTTGCTTTCATTCCAGTTTGTGTCATTAAACTTCATCACCGATATTATTGCCCAATAAAAGGAATCATTTCTTTGCAGGCCTGGAGGATTTGAGGTGCCTCCACTGGTTCCACAGATCCATCATGCCCAACATCTGTTCAAAGGATTTGCCAGTGCACATCTGGTGATAATGGTCTTTCTTTTTAATTGTCCAACTGGGACTCTGAAATCTGCTTAGGATCATAAATTCTCTCCTCCCCAAAGTGGTTTCTGAGTGATATTTCAGATCAAATAAATGGGATGAAGCAATTAAGCCTGGACTACAGTATACTGTAATTAAGTAATTTCCAAAGTGGCTCATCCAGTACTGTTTATCATGTGGCAAAGTTTTCTACGTTGGGAGAATAAGCCAAAAGGGTACATTCATATCTGTAGCATGGATGGTAAGACTTTTGTAAATTTTGGGCAGAAAGAAGTATTTTGTTAGGTTCACAGCAACAAACCTTCATATTCAAAGATACAAGTAATCCATCCTCAGTAGGTTTTGGACTATCCGTTCATGCCTGTAGGGCTAAAGAATTTATTAACTGATTCCTCTGGACCAAGGCAATACATTTGTGAGATGCCCAGTCATGCTGAGAAACATAATCTGTGGCTAGTGAGCAAAGCAAAGTTTATTGGACCATAACACAGTGACCTTATTTCTACTATGCTTTCACTTACTCAGTCAGACATACACAGATCATTCACAACAGAACATTAACTCCTAAAACCATCCACTTGCTCCATCAACTTGCACTGGAATGTTATTTAATCATTGAGTATTAAGTACCTAATGGTCTTTAAAGATACTTTTTCTGGAAAAATATGGATCATATCCCATTGGGAATCTTTGTTTCATCCAGTAATATACCCCTGGTCCCTAGGACAGAGGCTGCATGAAGTCAGACATTCAATAAATATTTGTCAAAGGATGTGAAACAGTACTGCTGATTCAAGGGCTGTTCTCAGTTTGTGGCTTCTCATCAGCATTTGTTACAATCTTCTACATGAGAATCACTTAGATATAATAGTCAGGAACTAATGATTTTAGAAAGCAACTCGGGAAGATTTTATACACACGAAAGTTTGGGGGCTACTGGCCTAAATTTTAAGCCAGTGCACAGTCACACTGAAGACTGTGATTCTGAGTTTGCAGGAGACAGGAGAACATCACTTGAAAAAGTGCAGGTCTAGAAGCCATTCTCATACCAGCTCTGGTCCACCAACTACAGAGATAGCACTTAGGCTCCTCATCTGTAAAATGGAAACTTTGGACAAAATTTTGAGATTTTTTTTCCAATAATGTTTATTACTGGGCCTTCTTACCAACCTAGTGTCACCTAACTATAGACAATTAAATTTTCCAGAAGCAGTTCTGGGAAACAGCTTTTGCTCCTATCGAGTGATTCAGCAGGAACTTAATTTCCAATTATTCTCAAGAACTTTGCATAATTGTACTACCACACTCAGGCAGCCAAGAGGAACATTTAGATCTCCTAGGAATATTCCAAGCATCCCATCTTTGTTTGAAAAGTTTAAAGAATAAACCCTTTAAAGATTACACCTCTGCTTGCTGTTCTGAAGGGCCTATTCTAATCTCTATAGAAGAGAATAGCTTACCCAGCGATGCGTGCCTTCTCTCTGGAACTGGGGTGCTCTGGAGTGATAGATTACTGTCCTTCTCCAGCTTGGATGACTTTCTCAGAGTTTCACTAGAAAAGAAAAAGCAAGAACTCTTTAACTTCATCCACATTCATTTCAGTGAGTTAAAGCAATGTGGTGTGTAGCAGATTCCAGGGCTCTCTGAGAACTTTCATATTTCTCATCTACTTTCTAAAATATTCATTGAAGAACTCACCTAACCATATACCAGCGAATAGAGAGAGTTTCCTGTAAGGTAAATGTTATTCAGAGAACATGGCCAAGATGAGGTTTAAAAATAATTATTTTTGTATGAATCTTGTAGAAAAGTACTTTACAAAAGACATTGGAACTACATAAAGAAAATATCAATGATGCCTATTTATTTTAAAAAGTTGAATTCTAAATAGATGCGCATTCAAGGGTACTTTGGGGACTGAAATAAAGGTATGCTTTTTTGTCAACATTCAAAGACAAACTTTTTATGTTAAATTATAGATGGAATTTTGAGGATTTTAAAAGTTGAACACTTGCAAGACAGATTCAAGGAAGAAGAAAAATGAACAAACATTTATTGAAAAATCTAATATTTGCCAGAACTGTAGTTGGTGTCATCTCAGGTAGCATCAGGTACAAAAGGAATTACATTAGAAAACTTTTCAAATGGTACTGAATGTGTCAACAAAGTAGTAACATCATTATAGAGCCAGGAATTCCTGCATAACATGATCACACTAGCTTTTCGAACTAATCATTATTGGACTTTCCCACAATTTAGCAATCTTCTTTTTTAAAAAGTGCACTTTCAAGAAGTGAGCATTTGGCACAGTGGTTACGATGGTTAAGATACCACTTATGACACCTTCATCTCATATCAGATTATCTGGGTTCAAGTCCCAGCTCTACTCCAGGTTCCATTTTCCTGCCCAGCCCTGGCTGTTGGGGACATTTGGGGAATGAATTGGTGGATGGAAGATTTTTTTTTCTCCCTTTCAGATAAATAATAAATAAAAAAATTTTTAAACACAAATTCAATTGTTTAGTTGACTAAAATGGATATAATCTTATTTTCTTGGAAACTGGATGTACCTAAAAGTAAGTGTGTAAAATAAATGTGTATGTTTCAAAAATGAAATGAGGCCAAATATCTGGATGTGAATGATTTTAAGAATAATCAAAATTTGGTGAATTTTGTATAGCTATTTATAAAATTAAGAAAGCATTACCAAGGTACATATAGATATAAAAAGATAATGGAGGGGAAGGTGTTTTGGCATAGCAGGTTAAGCCACTGTTTGTGATGCCTGTATCCCATATAGAGTGCCTGTGATTAGTCTTGTCTCTGCTTCACATCCAGGTTCCTGCTAACATGCCTTGAAGGCAGCAGGTGATGGACCAAGAACTGGGGTTTCTGCCACTCATGTTGGAGAACCAGAGGAAGCTAGGAAGCTTCTGACCCTTGACTTCAGCCTGACCTAGTCCTGCCTGTTGCAGGCATTTGGAGCAAGAACCAGTGAACTGAAGATTCTTTTTCTTTCATTCTCCATCTCCTTTTCTTTCATTCCCTTGCCCTATGCCACTCTGTCATTCAAACAAGTAAATAAATAAAACTTTAAAGTTATAACTAGAAAAAAGATAATGAAAAAGCAAGAAATTTTGCCTTACAACTGTAGTTCAATTTGACATCTATTTTAGAAACAAGATCTGAATCCTAGTTCCAGGGTACTTTATGATTTATATTTGGAAAAAAATTGTTTGGTTTATTTTTTGGTGTGGTCTTTGTATAAAAAAATAAGAAGAGATGATATTTGTTTTCATTCTCTACTGCTTTTCCAGTAGTCTTCTTAAAATGTACTGGTTGCTCCAAAAATTCTGCATTCTTAATGTACATTTGATTTATTCATGACCATCACTATATTCCTCTAAATCTTTTTACATTCCTTATGCTGACTATTTGGATGGGAAAACTGCTCAGATAAAAATAAGAACTGACCTGAACCTTCTCTTTTCTCTCAAAAAAAAGTTAGAAAGTGTGAGAAAGTTGGGTTTACTTTTCTTTTTCTGACTTTTTTAAAGTTCATGTCGAAAAACTATAAGACTATTGAATATCAATACATTTTGAAAATCAAGAGAAAAACATCCTTCATAAAAAATTTAAGACTAGGAACAGGAACAAAAACCAAAGGAAGAATGACAAAGATCAAAATGAGGAATGAAGGAGCAAGAAGAAACAGACTGGATAATAAATGACAATGAGGAAGCAAAAGAAGGCAGGAAGGTCAATGGGAAAGTACGGAAATGTGCTCATGGAGAACCAAAAGCAGCCTCTGCCACACCAGACACTTCACCACCCATCTTCCCATGTTCAGATAACAGCCTGAAAACAAACCCTGCAAAGATTCTATAGTCACCGAGGGAAAACAAGCTCATTTCCTTCTCAGCAAGTAGCTGGTCCAGCAGGACTGAGCTTGCCCCCCAGTAAAAATGACTGTTCCCAGCCAAGGAATCATGGAGCCTCCTTTTCTCAAAGTACTTTTTCCAGATCAGGAGGTACTCATGCTTATATGTGGTTACCCACAGTCTTTTCATGGGCCTGGTGGTACATTTTTTTGGAGGTGTGAGCCTGGGACATCATGTACACTTTGCATTCTTGTATCTGAGAAATTTCTTCAGTTTTGTTCTGAGGTTTACAAGAAGTAGTCTGATGGCAGGTGTCCTCTTCCATTGCATATGAAAACTATTTAAACTCTTAATGTGAGAACCCCAAATAAATGCAAAACTGTGAATATTTATATATGCTAGAAATATGAATTAGGGCTAAAAGATAAAATACAGTTTATTTCCCCCAAAACAAAGGTAATTTATGCTATTAGCTATATATTTAATTACTAAAGGAGGGCAAGAAGGTAGCCAGCCTAAGTTAATGGCAGGCTCTGAATTTTCTGATGAACATAATTATTCTTACAGACAAACCACAATATGCTTCTTAGAGTGATGGGCAAGAAGCACTAGCCTTTCCACGTTGTGCCTACATCACTTTGTGCCTACATCGAAAAGTTCATGGAAAGTTTGGGTTAAAGGTGAGTCTATTTTGGTGCAAAAATCTAGAAATCTATGCATAGTTTTTCTAAAATATGATTTTCTGAGAGTTTTTAAGACCTTTCATATTTCATACTCCTATGCCCTGTGTATCATTTCCACATTTCCTCATTTAGCCTGTAACATTCTTGAAAGCAAGTATCATGTCTCATTCATCTTTATATTCCCAATATCTAGCACAGTCTTGGACCATAAAATCTGATGCCTGATTAAATAAAAAGACAATATTGCCATAGTGTGGCTGAAAGAGTTTTGGAGTTAAGCATCTCTTCCTAAAATATTTCAGCCATTGCATGTATCATTTAAAATTTAAAATAATGGCATTTATCATGCCAGCTTGTTGGAGTATGATATAATATGTATATAGTGTCAGTCTGGGACCTGTCATCATAGGCACTCACCAATATTAGCACTTTGTCTAAGTACACACAAAAGAACCTGGTGCAAAGACACAATCTTCACTAGCGCTATGAAGCTGAAGACCCATAGTTACACATTTGGTGCTCCAGATGTAATCCATTTAGAATCCCAGCATCTAAGGTTTTATGGACATCAAATAGTTGCACACAAATATTTTATAATCTGGAACTTGCAAGCACTGGCTTGTAAGGAGAAATAACGCACAGGCTCACAACCAGGGTTTGTAACCTCTTATTCATTTTAGGGGTTTATCGAATTACTTTATCTATATGTGAGAATAATTTTCCATATATAGCAATGATCAATTTCCTCCTTCTTAGACTTTAAGTTTCTTGAGAAAAGTCTACAATGTGTTGTGTTGGCAGAGGGCAGAGTTTTTATCATAATGTAACCACTGAATACTTGATAATAAAGAACATCCTTTGGAACAGCTTATAGCCATGATGGCATCTTTTTAAAATGGCTTTGATCTCCCCTTTGTTGGGTACCGATTTTACAAAAGTTCTTGGAAAGGGAAACGCAGGATGGCACCACACACACAAATGTACCTTATACTTTACCTACCATATTCACTCATTAACTCAACAATAGTTATTAAATTCCCACTATATGTAATATAATGGGTAAATCAAATAAGAAAACCAGGGATTACAATATCTCAATTGTGATAGGTAAATAAGACATACACAGAGGACAATAAGAACACATGATGGGGATCCTAAAGCAGATTTATCATTTGTATTTTTGATAGTCAAGACTTAGAATTGCCACTCTCATTCAAGCCACCTGCCATATTAAAATTTTTCCTGCACCTTTCCAGCAAACCAGTGATTCTCATCTAGGGGCAATTTAGTCCTACTCACCAAGGAGAAATTTGTCAATGTCTGGAAACATATTCAGCTGTCACAATTGTGTGTGGGGGTATATGAGCCTGGGGGAGCTACTAGCATCTAAAAGGTAGAGGCCAAGAATGCTACTAAACATCCTACAACACACAGCCCAGCAAGAACTATCTGGTCCCATGTATCAACAGTTTAAAGGTTGAGAAACCTTATACTAGACTATGACAGATAAGTAGAACTAAGATAATAATTCCTTTTTATTTTTGACAGGCAGAGTGGACAGTGAGAGAGAGAGACAGAGAGAAAGGTCTTCCTTTGCCGTTGGTTCACCCTCCAATGGCCGCCACGGCCGGCGCGCTTCAGCCGGCGCACCGCGCTGATCCAAAGCCAGGAGCCAGGTGCTTCTCCTGGTCTCCCATGGGGTGCAGGGCCCAAGCATCTGGGCCATCCTCCACTGCACTCCCTGTCCACAGCAGAGAGCTGGCCTGGAAGAGGGGCAACCAGGACAGAATCCGGTGCCCCAACCGGGACTAGAACCCGGTGTGCCGGCGCCGCAAGGCAGAGGATTAACCTATTGAGCCGTGGCGCCAGCCAATAATTCATTTTCATTCCCACTCCCCAGCACCAACTCAAAAGACTTGAAAAATCCCATTAAGGGTCTTTGAAGCCTTATAGAATCTATCATATACTGGATATCTTTGGAAAGTCTATTAGAGCACTTTTCAAAACTTGGATGTCCACTGAGCTCAGCCCACCTGGTTCCAGAAAATCCAACCCCAAGAGTGAGCCAGGAAGGCCTGAATAAAATCACCAAGTCGTCTGTGGCATCATTAACTTTTCTTCTACCGATTGTATCAGGACCTCGTCTCTGAGATACTGGAGTCATGGAATCTGCCTTGGTGGCAGAGGGCTCTCTTTTGAAGGGGAATTTAGTAAGAGAAAAAAAATCTTGGATAAAGAATACCATTATCCTTGGAGGAGCACTAAACTCAGAATAGATTTTACTTCTTCTCAGATATGTCTACCAACAGTTACATTTGAGAAATGTCATATATTTATATGGTAGAATTTATATACTTATATTGGGTGTCTGTATTTCCTGTGAGTGGGAAGGCTACCTGTATCCATGTGGGCCATGGTAAATTCTGTTTATAAAAGGAATTCTTACCATGAAAGAGACAGATGGCAAATCCTGGAAAGAAAATTCTGACATTCTGTTTTGTCTCTAAAGGTTAGTTACATTTTTATATGTATTTTTTTTTCTTCCCAGAATCATATGGGTATGTAGTGACACCTGGAAATATGTGAGACATGCTCTAAGCTCAGTTCCATTTGCAGTTCCAGAAAACACTCATCACTGATTTTTAACCACAAATAAGGACAGAGGATTCTGTGATGGTCATTGAGGCCCTGAGAAATCTGGTGTTCTTCCTGGCTTTCCCCAGGCAGAAATTGTTCACAGGGAAAAATTAATCATTCAATTATCTCTCATGCTTTATCCTGATTCTCATCCCTTAAGAGTCATGATTCTCACAGATACCCATCCACAGGCAAATCAGATCTCTCTCTTCCGCATGGCTCAGTTTTATTCCAACAATCGGGTCAGTAAAGATGTTAAGTATGAGTAGGCTTCGTATGTTGCCTTGTCTGAAGGTTTTTTTTTTTTCCAATTCTAAGGAAGAAGTTTTCAGTCTTGATATAACCTGAGCTAAATCATTAAAGAAGTTTTAAAATGCACTATGTGGGGCAGATGAGGAAGTGTTTTAGAGAGCAGGTGTTTTTCAGGAACACGTATCTGGGGCAGAAGATGACGTCACAGTACCTTTCATATGATACTCTACAGATTATGTTTTACCTAAGCATGAACAGGCAGACTAACTTGGCAGCACGGCAAGGAAATTTGTAATTTCTCCATTACAGTGAGTTGCAAAGCTGTCCTTCTTATTCCTCTGAGCCAACTATAAATACTTCCTTCTGTTTTTCTCTTTCCTTAACTTTGGGATTCTTCATGGCTTGTCTTAAATATATCTTCCTCTATTCTGTCCTAGTAACTACACACTGACATCTCCATCCAAATCCATCTGCATTCTAAAAATTACAAAAAATAGTAAGATCCACACTGCCCAGGAAGAAACATTGTCCTATGGTGCCTGTGTAACTTTTTACCATTTGATGTCTAATGTTCTATGCATAATGAGACCTAAACAAATATTCATCACCTTTACCATGTTATATAACAACTTTTCTGTTATCTTGCCACTTTGTCCCTCTTTCCCACTAGATTATAAGTTTGTAGGGCAGAGAATGTGCCTTATCCATTTTCCTTCTCTACGGTTACTGGCATAATCTCTGGCACATTGTATGCATTCAATACACTATTGCCAAATAACTGAACAATTCCACCTGCATAGCAGTTAAGACCTTTCACTTTGTGGATAAATGAGTTTTAAACCTTTCTTTTCGCACAGATTCTAGGCAAAAAGGCTACTAAATTGATGTAGTCTGAAATTAAAACAATGTGAGACCTACCCATCCTCTCTTATCTTTATAGTTCTAAGAGGCTAAACATCTGTTCTATTTCCACTCGCCTTACATTCTTAGGTCTTCGGGTCACTTTTTAAGCTCATCAGTATTTTTCAGGATTAAAGAAAAGCTCTAGCACCTTATAATTATTCCTGAATAAAATCAGTTCAACTGCTTCTCCTGTTCTGTAGGAGCCATATAATAGGAGCAGAGTTTTCAATTTAGAAATTATCAGCCATGGATGAGTGTCAACAGGACCAGGGAGCAAACCCATAGAGGCAATTGCCCCACAGGATCTGCAGGAATGCTGAATCACTTCTCCAAATAATGACCCTGTGAGCTCTGGGAGATGATCTTTGCCTCTTGCCAACTGTGTGAGCTATGGCACAGTCGGTGGCTCCCACCGTTTGATGTATTCTTAGCGGCAGTGTAAGGAGGAAAGACAAGGGTATAATCTGTGAAGTCAGATCATCCATTGTGCAAATGAGCAAAAAACCCACAAATGTAATGATTTCTTTTCTCAAACAGCTAGTTAGAGTTGGTGTTGAGTATAGTGTTAGATTCTTTTGAAACACTTCCTGCTGAACCTAATACCTAGAGAAGCCTGAATTTAATAGCAGGAGGCTGGAAATGCAAAAATCACATCAAACCCCTTGGCAACTGACCAGCAAGTAGTGGCTGCAGTGAGATCATGTCTTTCATAAGAACATTCTATTAAAAGAACAAGGCAAGCCTCTTTTGATGAGACCAATGTTCTCATTTCTTTTCTCACTTATAGAACAGGAGAGTAAGACTGTTTTGTTTCTTAATGAGGCTATGCTGGTAAAACTTTCTTTATCAAAGGAAAACAATTTCCCCAGTAACCATGTGCCTGTTTCATTGCATGGCTACATAAAGCATAAAAGTTAATAGTATGATGTGAGATATTAATGTAATTTTATTGTTTTATATCACTTTCTAAATTAAGCTCCAATTACTGGTAATTCAGAAAAAATACTGAACATACAGCAATATGTAACAATATACAATATACAACACTTTACAACATGTAGATGTCCCTGTCACTATGTCATCAGTAAATTAATAGATGAAATGAATAAGCATCAGTGTTTAGAGCATTAAGCCCAGTTAAGTTATTGAAACAACAAAACCAGGGAAAATTTGCAGCATAATAATTATGTGTCCCAAGTGCCTTCTCTTGACATGTTTGCATTTTACGTTAAATAGCTTGTAGTTGCTCTCTCTTAAGTATGACCCATATTATTTGATAACAAAATCATAATGATGATGCTAATGTATAAATTGTGCTCTATGTCAATGAACTTAATATAAAGTAGGGAATATCTCTGATTATAGATAAACATAATCTTATCTTGAGGGACACCTATAAAAATCTCAAACAGAATTATATCACAGTTCATTCAAGGTTACAGTATTGTTTTCAGTCCTACAGACAGTTCACCCTTGGGTGTCTCTGTAGGTTTAGAATCCCAGGAAAGAAATTGAGGTTGTAAATGGTCTAGATTCTCTATCTTCCTCCTTCAGCTGCTTCTTGTACCACAAAGTAGCACATACATTCATTTCACTTAAAGCTTGTTCAAATATGCATCCTTTCAGTTTTATTACTTTGAATTTCAAGAGCCTTAATTTTATTTTATACACTTCTTGGTTTTCATTATATCTGGAAGTACCACATATGTAATAGAAATATGTTATTCTTCCAGTAGAGGGAGCTCTCGACACTGATCGTAGGCCTGTGACATCTTGTGTTTTGACTGACACGTAGGGCATTCTGTTGCTGATAATTGGAAGCAGGGTAGAGAATCAGGGAGGTAAAGAACTGCCTTGAACACCTATCTGAAAAAGCAAAGTTTGAGGGGTAGGTTTTGGCCTATTAGTTATGACATCTGCATCCCAAATTGGAGTACTTAGATTCTATTCTTAGGCCTTGCTCCCGATTCTAGCTTCCTAACCAAGCAGACAATGAAGGATCAGGTGATAGGTGATGACTCAAGTATCGGGGTTCCTGCCACCCACATGGGAGACCTGGATTGAGATCTCACTTCCAGCTTTGGCCTGACCCACCCTAGCCCTTGTAAACAATTAGAGAATAAACCAGTTTATGGCAATGCTTTCTCTGTGTGTCTCAAACAATACAACAAAAATTTGTGTAATTTACCTAAAAAACATTATTCTCAATGTCACATAAACATGGTGATTACAGCTGGTATCCACCTTGTTCGTTCATATTTAGTTCACATTTATAAACATAGAAAATAAAACAATATCTAACCCAGGATGGCTTCCTGGTTATCTCATGAAGAAACAGATTTGATCTTTCAGAACTACTCAACACATTTGAAAAGTGCCCCCACCTGTCTTTGAATAGTGCATCATCAATTCCTTTCCGGCGAAGCAGATCTTGTGGCCCGTAAGGTGTGTCCTTACACTTAGAGTCAGTGTCACAGAGTAGAGTTTGCAGGAATGGGAAGAAGCCAGTACTAGGAAGGTTTCGAGGAGCAAGATAACCTGAAATTAAAAAATAAGAATTACATCACTATGATATATATTGCCAGAGAAGAGAAAGAAGTGCAATAGCTCAACTTTGTGAAATTACATCTGCATTATGACTGTCTCTATCCTCCAAATTAGCCCCACCTCTGTAACTAATGTTGGACACTGAACAAGAAAAAGTTTGGACAATGTTTTAGTTAACTTGATTTTGCTACATTAGTTAATACATATCAAAAGACTTCAAAATACCTGTGGCCCCATAAATCTCTCTTCCTGGGATATATTCCGAAGAAATACTTGAAGTAGTTTCAATGAATACTTCATTATACTAATATGAGATGTTAATAAAAAAAGAAACTGGGTGATGTTTACAGAGCGTGATTAATATACTAATATAAGATGCTAACAATAGGGGAAGCTGGATATCATGTATGTAGGGACTCTGCACAATCTCACAATTTTTATTTTGTAAATTTAAAATTAATGAAATAAATTTTAAAAGAAAATACTGGTTAAAATACTTTAAAAATAAATCACAGTGTATCCATATTAAATTCAATGTAGCCATTAAAAAGTCAATGTGGAAAATGTTTATATCATTAAAAAGAATTGATTAGAAAACAGCCCATTTGGAATGCCGGCATTTCAGGCCAGGGCTTTATCCCGCTGCACCACAGCACCAGCCCCAGTTTGTGTTGTCTTTAAGCCGTCCCGTTTACAGGTATTTCTTACAGCAATCACAGAAAGATAACACAGAAATTAATATGACTAGGATTGGAAGCTTTGAATTTGGGGAAACCGTAGCCCATCAAACTGTCCACTGGTGTTTTCTAAGAAGCCCCTCTTTCTGTCACCAAAATGAACCCTTGTGAAAACTGCAGTGAGCCAACGATACTTCCCATCAATATTTTCATTGTAGTACAACTCCCTCAACAAGCAAAAGAAGCGCAGTTGAATTGCCTGTTGGCTCTTTACATCATGCTTCCATAACAGAATTCTGCTGCAGAGAACTAGATACAGCAAGTCCTTTATAGGGTTTGTCATGAAATGTTCACGATTTAGGGTAGCCCACTCTGCTACACGGATCCCAGCTGTAGCCCCTCAGTCAGGGTATGCATCTGCAAATGGGGTTGTACCTGCTTGCTCTCCAATATTCACAGTGGCTGCTTTGAATGGAAGAGAGAGATAGAAGGACAACAGATGGCCAGACAATCCCTCCTCTCTAGGCCACTTATCAGCATGAGGGTGTGCTGAGTCCTGCAGTGCTAAAACCAATGGAAGCTCAAGCAAAGCCATTTGGAATAGGGAGGGAGAGGAAAATGGTGTCATAGGAGCTGCTATGATAAATCAGTATATACGAGCTTAGAAGAGGTGATGCTTTACCTCTGATTTTACCTTCCCTGACATTGACTACAACTTGTAAATTATTTGAGAGGAACTTCACAGAATTTAAACCCACAATATTCTTTGATGTGATATCTATAGAGGATAAGTCTACTTCATAGAAAAATTCATCGCAGGGTTTCTTTTAAAATAAGCTCCCATGTTGTTGAAAGCACAACAACACTTTGCTTAGTTTTTTGATATCTGATATTTAACCTGTCACACTTGGATCATGCAGATATGCATGGTTTAGATATGCACACATTTCAGAAAACACAATGCCATGCAGAGTGTAGACTGCCTACATTATTTATTTCACTATCATCTTTTAACCAAGGATTGTACACACCTTTAAGTGTGAGGAGTAGTTGCAACAACACCAATAACACCAACTGATTAAGCATCAGTTGCATCCCCTGTTCTATGCAAGGCGTGTAACACACATTCTATCACCCATCCTTCCTTGACATCCGTAACAAAATTTCTTATGCACGTCGACTTTTCGCAAAATATGGAAATCCTCTGAGCTAACAAGACAGAATGAAGTAGAATTAAACTTTATGTAGCTTTCTTATGAAGGAAAATTTTAATCTTTTGCCAAACTCAGTGATGAGTGCAAGGAAGTAACCAGTCAGAGCCATGGTGAAGTCAAACCATCACACATTTTAAAGAGCTACTAATTTTAACTTGAACTCACTGTTCTGAAGGTGTCTCTAGCACTTTCAGGTTCTAAAATTATGGTTCCTTTTATATTACCAAATGCTGGGATGAAGGAAAAAGAAGAACATTTCTCTGTCTTTCACAAACCTTTACGCAGCAAGCACGGAGAACACAAAGTTAAGGTTAATAATTGAGTGCTCACGTTGCTGGCCAGAGCAGAATTAGGGACACAGGCAGAGGAAGACCATGCCTGTGAGACCACAGCAGCACAGGCAGGTGATAAGGCAGATCTCAGGGTCTGAGACAGAGTGTAAAATCAGGAAATTGTCCTTGGTATCATGATTCCAAAGTCTCAAACCCAGAACAACATTCATGCTCATCTTTACGAGAAAAGCTACTGTAGATCCCGTCTATTCTTGGCATCCAATCCGGAAGACTCCAACTTAGTTTGGGAGTGAGGTGAGGCTAGAAGTGGGTGATAAACAGAATCCCCAGTTACTCAAGACTTAAGTTTCTCAGTAGCTCCTGACAGAGGCATTGTGCAGCCACCCAAGGGTAGTAGAGGTCATTCTCATAAAATGGATACAGCCCACATGATCGTCACAAGCTGATAATCACATGGGGATAGTCCAGTATTATTTCAGGGAACTGATCAAACCAAACTATAAACACTTTCAGGAACAGGCCACCAATTAGCAAAACTTAAATAAAATCAAACTGTTATTTTATTGTTGTAATAATGAAACCAGAACTATAAAACACTCAGTTCTAAGAATTGTTTTTAAAACAGACACTTTGTAAACAGTTGTGACATCAGCATATATCTATGTTTGCCTAGAGAGATCAAGCTTGCTTTTCCTTTCTCTTTCTGCACAAAAATACTTTTCCAGAAAAATATTAGTGACACAATGTAAACATTAGTGCAATGGTTCTCCAACTGTGGTCCCTGAAGCAGCAACATGAGCGTCATCTGAAATCTTAGAAATGAACATTTCAATCTTACCCCGATCTACTTCACTAGAAACCCTGGGTATGGAGTTTAGCAATCCATTTTACAAGCCCTCCAGGTAATTGCGATGCATGTTGATATTTGAGATCCAGGGGGTTAAAGTGCCAACCTTTTCACTAAAGACCAGTAAAGTTTTGAAGCTGATGGGCTATCCTGTATTGTCATCATTACTCAATACAACGATTCCAGTACAAAAGTCAAAGACCATGTGCACATCAATGGGCCTGGTTGTAATTCCATAAATGTTTATTTACCAAAATAGGCAGAAGGATGCATATGACCTGCAAGCTGAAGTTGCTGGCTGTGAGGTAACCGACCTCACACTCATCCCTCTCCCTCTCCTGCCTGGTTCCTGTCTTGCTTTCCCCTTCCCCCATCCTTCTTTTCTTCTTCTCTTACATCATCTGATCTACTTAACATCCTTGTCTTACAGTGTGTACTGCTTTCATGTTTCCCTCACACTCACCACCTCTTTCTACTCGGTTTCCAATTCTTTTTTCTTTTACTCCTGCTGCTCTCCCTCTTCCCTTCTTCCTTCCTGTCTCTTTACTCATTGATGCAGCCAAGAATGCAATTCTCTCCCAACATACAGTGAGAGAGAGAGAGAGATAGAGAGAGACAGTGAGACAGAGAGAAAGGTCTTCCTTCCGTTGGTTCACCCCCCAAATGGCCGCTACAGTTGGTGTGCTGCGGCCAGCGTAATGCACCAATCCGAAGCCAGCAGCCAGGTGCTTCCTCCAGGTCTCCCATGCGGGTGCAGTGCCCAAGCACTTGGGCCATCCTCCACTGCCTTCCCAGGCCACAGCAGAGAGCTGGACTGGAAGAGGAACAACCAGGACAGAATCCGGTGCCCCAACCGGGACCAGAACCCAGGGTGCTGACACCGCAGGTGGAGGATTAGCCTAGTGAGCCACAGCGCCGGCATCCTACCAACTTTTGTAAGAAATTCAAGTGCCCATGGCTCAGTGGCAGTGTCTAGAAAAGTGCTGTTTTCTATTTCTTGTATGATGGATGAAGGAAATGTCACAGTCTTTTCGATAATGAAACTGCTTCCACTTGACTTCGTTAGACTCAGGCAGTATTCTGTGGGCTGCCTGGGTGACATTTGTAGACATTATGGTAATGGTACAATTGGAGACTTTCCACAGTAGTCCTTTGTGTTTTTCTCAAAACAGGTCAGAACCCAACCTAGGTGGTATTTTTGTGTTTCCAGGTGAAAGGGGTTTAGTCTTTACCTCAGTGAAGAGATGAATGATAAATCATGGAAGGAAAATTCTTATTAAAAATACAGTTACTCATTTGGGGAATTATACTTTTCTTTTTTTCTGATTTTTAAAAGTTTTATTTATTTGAATGGCAGAGATGAAGATATCTTCTATTTGCTGGTTCACTTCCCAAATGCCCACAATAGTTGGAGCTGGCCAGTCCAAAGCCAGGAGCCCAGAACTCCATCTGGGTCTCCCACATGGGTGGCAAGTACTCATGTACTTGAGCCATCATCGGCTGCCTTCTTGGGTGCACATTACAGGAAGCTAGATCCGAATCATACTTTCCTAAACTTTTTGGATATAGGGTCACATTGGCAAAATAAGCATCAAGCCTTCTGATGATACAAACAGTGTCTCCTTATTAAACACCACAAGAATTGAACACCACCCCGAGAGTCCAAAATGAGACAGCATATCCAAAAGTATCACCTACAAATAATCAAATACCCCGATATAAATAAAGGAAATGACTCTCAGGAGCATATTGATAACAAATTCTGAAGTCTTTTTGGTAGTCTTCAGACAAATTTTGCTTTAAATTACATTTTCCAAGGTATAATTAAAATTGTAAGAGATATAACCTGGCCATTTATCTGGAATTCATGGAGCTGAACCTGCTGTCCTTCATACACACCACACAACTGGGGGTTCAGGCTGTTTCCTGAGGACAGGTGTACTGTTTCACCACTCACACC